AAATGTGATATATTTTAGTTAGAAATACATTAATTAATATATTCATTCAAACAGCACTAGAATGCGGGAAGAAAGAGCAATGGTGACAAAATGCAGACAGAATTTTCCGTAAGGGTTTCAAACATTTCTGAACACAATCATACATGTACTTCATGTGTACTGTTATTTTTAGTGCTGTATTTATAGATATAATTTCACGTATTAAAATCATATTTTCCAGCAATGACTTCAAATTCGGAACCACACCCATATCACATTTTCTTCAATAACTCCAAACATGTGTAAACATTGAACATGTGCATATAAATTCAGATTTCACTAGTTCTTTCCTATTCGAGTACCTCATACACCCCTGCATGGATTTGAGTTGGATTCGCTTTTTATACGTGAGCCGACACACTCGCAAACGCTGATTGGATAAAGATTGCGAGAATCTTTAAAGTTAATTGTTAAATGATAACGTTCATGGTAGCTGCCTAGAAAGCTTAATAACTTTGTTAGTTCTGATCCAATTTTGAATCCGTTTTCACTTTTATGTTGCTTAAACCTTTTGCTCATAGAATAAAAGTCATAACCTTGAAGAAATTCTACCGTACGGCTTCAGTTCTTAAAGATACATTGCTATACTTGAAAATTCTGAACCAAAAATGGATTTATGACAACACGATTTATGCAAATGAGCTAATTTGCATAATTGAATATTGTAATTATATGGGAAATTATTTTAGGTTTAATTTGATACCAATATCATTTCTATAGACAAAATAATGACAATGCTACAAATGATTTAAGATTCCAAGGTAAGATGTCTATAGATGCGTAACCATGGTAACGGAATGCTACAGTACAGAGCAACCAATGAGAGTTTGCAAGGGCATCCGGCAGAAAATTGAACCTCAAAGTGTAACCTTTCAAAAAAGTATGGATGCCATAAATTAACAGAGACGAACACGTTGGGTAAATTTTTTGAAACGATAGAGAGACATGGGTTTCTGACTAATAGTGAAATATTGGACCAAGGGCTGCTGAAATGACGTTATTGTACTATTATCATTATTTTCTTATATGCAATAATATTTGAAATAAACAAAAATCAAAATCTAAAGAGGTAGCAAAAATATATATTGTAAACTATAAGATGAAATCTTTTCAAAAAGGGAGCCAGTATTTTCCTTCCAATATACTTAAGAAAAATACCAGATACTTGATTAAATGCAGAAGTTAGATTTAAAATGAAGACATATCTAAATTCAAAAGATCTGAATGTCTAGTCTTCAAAATGGTAGCAAAAAATCAAAGCATTACCATTGAATAAAGGAACAAGTGTTCGAGACTATCTAACTCTTCAGAATGTTTGAGCAAGGAATATTGTAAAAAATACAATTTTAGAATGTTACATGGAGCTCATCAATTGTATTTGTTGCTAATTTAAAATCAAAATGTTTTCAGATAAAGTTACAGGTGTGTGTTATCTGAGAACCATTTCTCCAGAAAAATAATGTCCGTTCTGCAAAACGGCAAATAACCACGCGGTAGGATCTCTTCGGGACGTATCGAAACCACTCCGTCCCGAAAAAACCGTTAATTTGAATTTAAAACCTAACCCAGTGTTTGAAAATCAAGGATTGTGAGTCTCACACTTCACCATTTTTCTTCAAACTTGTTCCGTACAAAGCTTCACAGAAATACCTTTCAGTCGATACATTGTTTTTGTGTACAAAGTACCTCGTTTTAGCGGCGTTTTGGTCCCCAGCTGCGAGATAAAGCAAATTTTCATAACTTTCAACTGTAAGTCAAGTTATCTCGCCAGTCTTTTACCCATTCTCGCTCATAATTTCAGAATGGACTCCCATTACAACCTTCCATCGCTACGTTTTGATTTTTGGGCATCAAACGCAGCAGTTTCTAAATCATCCACACATCTCTTAAAATTTGACTAATACGTCCCGTCACCTTCCACTACGCCCCGCCGAGTCTATGACTACAAACGTGGAGTTGTATTCTAAAACATTTTGTTCATCGATGTGTAATTTTACATAGGTTTGCCTTGGTCGATTCTTAACACCAGCCTTAAGTTTAGCATACATACGGAGTATAACTATAACTGATTGCATGAAATTGATAATTTAAATGTTTGTGAAGATGTTGCTTTTTAACTTTAATTATATGTTATTATCCTGTATTTGATTTTGTGAGGAAACCAAGTGTCTGGTTTGAAACACAATATAATCTGGAATCCTGTTTTGCTAATGTTCAACATAAATAATTTATAAATTATCGGCCGAGGGCAGATTAGAGCGGATCAATCAATGATGTACAAAAAGTAACATGTAAAAGAAAAAACGCTATACTCACTGGTGATCCGCTCGATTACGCTGGTTACCAAAACGAATCGTTTTGGTAACAAGATGGCTGCTGTTCCGGCTGAAGAAATCGGTAAGAATTTTCGTTTTCCTTGATATCTCGAGATACAGCACGAATCATCCAGATCTTTTCGGCCGAAATATGGATAAGCAAAATATCTTTCTGGACAACCAAGTGATTTTAATCGAAATAGTTTGTAGGATGACAGGAACGCCCATTTAATCCCTCGCTTTGGTTACATATACGAATTGATGATAATACGACAACGGTCACGCATTTGAATACACTTGTAACCGAAACGGTTATGTTTAGCTATTGATAATCAATCAAAGAAATGTATATGTGTTATTTCTTTTTTTGAACGGCATCTTATGATACATATGTTTAAGTGCTACTACTGCAACACCGGGGATAATCAAATCGAACGTGTTATATAGAACATGAAATGAGACGGTACCTCACCGAGGACCTTAAAGTGCATAAACGATATCTCAGGGAGGAAGTCGGGGGATTTAAGTATAGGTCCCACCATTTTGGGATAACGGTACAGAAAATAAAGGACCTCCAGAGGGAAGGGGCCAAGGTCTCCATTAATGAGACCACCACACTACAACTCCACATCAAGAGACTCTCATTACCCTGTGGAGGTTAGCCTTGCCTAAGTCGATATCTTTTTACTTATCTGATCTTGAATTATTAATAATAGAAATCAAAATAAGTAAAAGAGACCGACTTGGGCAAGGCTATGTGGAGGTGAATACTTTAAAACTCACTTTGTCCCCCACCTATGCATTTGGCCAAACTATGTTTATTAACTTTCTAAGATAAAAGTATTCCGAATGGTTCCGTTGATTATTTTAGAAGTTGAATATAGTGGATATAGTGACTTAAAAGATACTGAATTTGGATGACCAAAATGAGTTGAAACCAATTGTTTTTCTAAACGGGGAAATAACATTGTCAACACTCATCTTAAGAGAGTTCAGTTTTCATTTCAATAACTCATTGATATCAAAATAAAGAATATTCAAACATGACCGTGCTCTATTTGAATTTCTAAACCAATCAGAATGCAGCATATCCAATAATGAACGTTCATTATTTCTCCATATACTGTAGGCAAGACCGTGCTGTATTGTATTTATGTATTTATGCACTAAACATAAACATGTAATACGTATCAGAATGATACTATACAATTTTATATCACAAAGAACATTTTGTCATGACTATACATATTTTCTAAGTTCATCATCATGCCACAGTGTAAATGTACTGTATGACATCCAAGGCAAAGTACTAACAAAGCCGGGTGTGAAAGAAATTATGGTCCCCTGGGGATTATGGTCCCCTTTCCTAACGGCCCTTTCTGGCCCTGATTGTGTATAAATAATAAGGAAAATAATTGTAATCAGGTCACCATTATATAAATCAATAGAGACTAGGACCATAATTTGATAGGACCACCTACGCTTTTACACCGGTGGGTGTGTGTTTATTTAACAAAAAGTTGATACGTTTCTTCAGGTTCAACAAAGTTATAGGTTAGGGTTGTCCAAATCTGCAAAATTTTCCAAAAATCTGTCATCTGATAGATTCTAGTTACAAATTGACTCTTGGTACAAATATTTCCACTCTAGACCCCTGGGAAATTTTGCCACGCGTCTCACTTGAAGTTTTGGTAATTTTGACAAATATGCCGTTTTCATAAATGGTTTATAACTCAAAATTAAACTATTGTATTTCAGGAATATGTATTTTTTCTTCATCATGTATGATTTTCAATAACCCTACAGGCACCACTTTTTTTAGCTTAATCCATCGGGAAACTGTTGTGTGTCAACCTTTCTTCTGTATGATTCCATTGGATTACATTATGAAACGTGTACCATATAAAATGATACATGTTTCTAACGTTATGCTGAAAATAATATAATTGACATCACTCATCCTTTCGCATTTTAACATTTTTTCAAGGATAGGGCACTTTAAACGTTTCTTAAAAATATTTTCAATTGTTCAGTAATTAAAATCTTTATATTGCAATATCGGGAAATCTAAATTTTAGGGAGATTTTGGACCACCCTATTATAGGTATATTGAAAATGGACAAGAATGGGTAAATCTTAAAACACAATCCGATTGGTATTTAGAATCGACAATGGCAACCTACAAACGGACACATCGATGGACAAATTGTTTTAGAATGCAACTCTACGTGTATAGTGATAGACTCGGCGGGGCGTAGTGGAAGATGACGGGGCGTATTGGTCAAATTTGAAGAGATGTGTGGATGATTTAGAAACTGCTGCGTTTGATGCCCAAAAATCAAGACGTAGCGATGGAAGCTTGTAATGGGAGTCCATTCTGAAATTATGGGCGAGAATGGGTAAAAGACTGGCGAGATAACTTGACTTACAATTGAAAGTTATGAAAATTTGCTTTATCTCACAGCTGGGGACCAAAACGCCGCTAAAACGAGGTACTTTGTACAACGAAAACGGTGAAGTGTGAGACTCACAATCCTTGATTTTCAAACACTGGGGTAGGTTTTAAATTCAAATTAACGGTTTTTCGGGACGGAGTGGTTTCGATACGTCCCGAAGAGATACTACCGCGTGATAACAATTACTTACGTATTCTATTATCAGGTGGCGGATCCCCATCAGTCATAAAATTACAAGTAAAGTTAGTTTCTGTGTCATCGGTGTTATATACAAAGAGTGTATATTTTCCCCCTTCATCTAACGTCACATGTAGGCTGAAAAATAAAAAATAATCATTTTTTCATTTTATTCTAAAAGTTGGCAAAAAGACCTGGGAGCCTTCAACATTGAAAGAGTACATGGTCACTCTACTATACCTAACCCCTATCTACATACTACTACCTTAAATATATATAAGAGTACTCACTTGCAAGCCAAGATTTTGTTATTTGCTTTACTAATTGCGTCAACTTGTAGCGTAACAGGAAATTGTGTGCTGATAATCTTTGTGCGGTTCTTCTTCATCGTAACATTCATCAGATGAAGTAAAGAACACTAAAATAAAACAATATTTTCAATAACAATCCATGGACAATTTAAACATTATGTAGTCATCCCCTAGACAAGTCATCTCCGGGACAATTCGTCTCCTAGACAAGTGATCTCCTAAGCAAGTCAACCCCTAGACAAGTCATCTCCTAAACAAGTCAACCCCTAAACAAGTGATCTCCTAAGCAAGTCAACCCCTAGACAAGTCATCTCCTAAACAATTCAACCCCTAAACAAGTCATCTCCTAGACAAGTCAACCCCTAGACAAGTCATCTCCTAGACAAGTCACCTCCTAGACAAGTCAACCCCTAGACAAGTCATCTCCTAGACAAGTCAATCCCTAGACAAGTCATCTCCTAAACAATTCATCTCCTAGAAAATTGAACCCCTAGACAAGTCATCTCCTTGACAATTCATTTCATAGACAAGTCAATCCCTAGACAAGTCATCTCCTAAACAATTCATCTCCTAGAAAATTGAACCCCTAGACAAGTCATCTCCTTGACAATTCATCTCCTAGACAAGTGATCTCCTAGGCAAGTCAACTCCTAGACAGGACATCTCCTGGAAAAGTCAACCCCTAGACAAGTCAACCCCTAGACAAGTCATCTCCTTGACAATTCATCTCATAGACAAGTCAATCCCTAGACAAGTCATCTCCTAGACAAGTCATCTCCTAGACAAGTCATCTCTTAGACAAGTGATCTCCTAGGCAAGTCATCTCCTTGACAATTCATCTCATAGACAAGTCAATCCCTAGACAAGTCATCTCCTAGACAAGTCATCTCCTAGACAAGTCATCTCTTAGACAAGTGATCTCCTAGGCAAGTCATCTCCTTGACAATTCATCTCATAGACAAGTCAATCCCTAGACAATTCGTCTCCTAGACAAGTGATCTCCTAGGCAAGTCAACCCCTAGACAAGTCATCTCCTAAACAAGTCAACTCCTAGACAAGTCAACCCCTAGACAAGTCATCTCCTTGACAATTCATCTCATAGACAAGTCAACCCCTAGACAAGTCATCTCCTTGACAAGTCATCTCTTAGACAAGTCAACCCACAGACAAGTAATCTTCTAAACAAATGATCTCCTAGACAAGTCAATATTAATAGCATCAAATAATTATAAATAAATGAATTATAAAATACAACATGTTCTTATTATTAATGTCATTTAGTTTAGTTTAGTTTAATATAGTTTATTTTTGTGTCACAAGCAATAATATTAAAATACATTTAAAACACTTTTTTAAAAAACATTGCTTCTAGCCGATGCCGGCTTATGAGACACCAAGTTGATACATGTGTGGGTAATATTAAAATTCCCATGTGAAAATTACTAAATGCACAATAAGACAGTGATAGAGACCATAATTTTTGTATACTGAGTTCACTGTTTACTTCCACTTACTAAGAGGAGACATCTTCCCCAAGGTTGATGTTCCTGGGAGCAAATGGAAAGAGAAACCCTGCTTAATCAGTGATATAAGGGCCCTCTGGTTGGCCCAATACCCTCCTGAGGGGTCCCCCATATCACAGTGGATCTACAGGTTTGCATCATGTATATATTTTGGCAGTATCACAGTTCTAAATAGTATGTAAAAGTGCTGTAAAGTGGCAGAATCAATATCATATGGCCTTTATCCCCAGACAAGCAACTTATGTATAATTGAATATCAACAAATAGAATACAGTATGAGAAAATATACATTATAATTTGTTGTTATGGAATTATCTCAAATAGAGGTACTGTTAAAGTCTTTCTAGATCAAAATTTCTTTTACTGAACATCTTAAATAATGTACTTGCAAAAGCTCTCTGTATACAGGGCGTGTGCATAAGTCTAGTAAACAGCAGAATATGATCATTTGAACCAGTATCAATGCTAGGGGCCAGCTTATTAACAATAGCCAGAAATTTTTTCCTCAAAACATTGTAGTGAGAGCATTTGAGAGTGAAGTGTATCTCGTCCTCAATCTCATTAGAGTCACATAAAGCACATTTTCGATCCTCAAGAGGTGTATTGGTATAACGGCCAGTTTCAATGTGTAGTTTCAATGTTCCAGTTCTCAGTTTTGCAAGAATACTTCTATGATGGCGTGGCATAAACATTTCAATGTATGCTTCAGTTGATGCACCATATTTAAATTGGCGATATGTTCTCAGTTTATTGCCATTAGTTTCATTATTTTTATCATTCCAGATATTTCGAAGAAAAGGATCAGTAGTCTGTAGGTGATTTTTAATAGCTTTGATACATGGTTTTGTCTCAATGTACTGATTATTCAAAAGTATACCACAAGATCCAATGAAATTTTTAGTACGAGAATTCCAACTTGATTTTCTTCTTAACGACCATATATGTATCCGATTATTTAATCTGGTATTTTCCATATTGTGGAGTCGCAGATATAGTCGGGCACATTCCAATTTTTGTTTGTGGATAGGGGGGCTCCAGCCCATGTCCCCTCTGGCTCCTTCATTGCTCGTCTTTTGGCCTACTCCTAGGAATATTTTTGTTGCTTTATTTTGTACATTATTGATACAACGATGCTCATTAAGACCAATAATTGAGGTACCATAGTTGATGATTGGTTGGACTATTGTATCATATAGCTTAGTATAAACTGCATAGTCCATTCCACCTGCAGCTTTGAATTTACATGTTAACACTGCCAGGGCACGACTAGCTGACTTTGCTATTTCTTTTGCTGTGATCTTAGCATCAACATGTTCACTTAGCCAGACACCAAGGTACTTGTAGGAGTTTGCATAGTCAAGTGTTTTTGGGCCACATTTGAATACATGATCTGATCGGGGCCTCGCAGCAGGGCGGTAGTGAACAATTTTGGATTTTTTCTTGCTGACTGTGAGTCGCCATTTTCGACACCATATGTAGAGGGCATTCAGCATACGTTGTAGGTCCTCTGCAGTCCCAGAGATGAGGGCTATATCGTCGGCATAGAGTAAAATGCTAACCACTTCATCTCCGACTTGAACACCACATCCGAGTTGTTTGATAATGTTCGCTATCTCATCAACGTAGATCGAAAATAATGTCGGACTCAACAAACAGCCCTGCTTCGAGCCATTGCTGACAGAAAACCATGGAGTTAAATGTCCATTGACACGGATTGAGCATGTGACATCTTGGTAAAGAGACCTTATCGCATCGAAGATTTTACCTTTAACACCAATTGTTTAGTTTAAACCATAGGCAGTTTCTATCTAATTTGTCAAACGCTTTGACTGCGTCCACATAGCAAACAAAAGTGTCGAGCTTAGATACTTTACGGTTGTTAATGATACTATGAAGACTTTGAACATGGTCGAGACATCCTCTTTTTGGTCGGAAGCCATTTTGTTCATCACTGAGTTTACCATTGGTTTCCAAAAAAGTTACAAGTCTTTTATTCAATATATCACAGTAGATTTTACATGGTACAGAGATTAAGGTTATTGCGCGATAATTCAAGGGGTCTGTTTGGTCACCATCTTTGTATATAGGGTTGATAATTCCTTTCATCCATTGACTAGGCACAACTCCACTGTTGAAACAGTCCAGTATTAGGTGATGCAATAATTTGATACATGTTGGGTTTTTGAGAGCTTCAGCAGGTATATTGTCTATGCCTGCGGCTTTACGGATCTTAGCACGGTTGACAGCCTGCGTCACTTCCTCTAGTGATATACATTGATTAAGGGAGCTGTCTGGATCAGAATCAGTTGGATCAATTTCATTAACTTCTTGTTTGACTTGTTCTAAGTGTTGGTCATCAAAGCTGCTGGATTCTGTATTTTCACTAAAGAGGTTGGAGTAAGTGGATGCCCAGTGACTCAGTACATAGTCTTTATCAGTGTGACTTTCTCCATCTATGTCACGCACCTCCCATGGTATGTTTTGTTTCCTTTCATTTGCTATGCTAATTTTGTCTATATTTTTCCAGAATAAAGCTGTATTTGTACTGTATGAGTCCAGAAGATTAGCTTGCTCTAGCTGTTGGTATTTCCTTTTATGTTTACGATGGAGTCTGTCGAAATTCGGCGCTCGATACAATATACTGACTTAAGGTGTTTACGTTGGGGTGTTTTACATTGTAACCATTCTTTTTCTCTATCATTGACTGTATTCCACTGTATTTGGAGTTCATTACACCAATAGGGTTTAGTTACTAATAATAACAATAAAATATACTTTATGTTTTAAAATTCATATTTGAATAATTTAACATATAATTATGTCTTGTTTGTATTTCATGTTTGTAATGTACTTTACTAATTTAAAAGTCAATGGCACATAGATAAGTAAAGAAATAAAATTAAATGATTTATAATTCAATCGTGTAAATGTTTGGATAAAACTGAACCTGTGATATAAAGCAAAGGTTTAACAGATAGTAATAAGATATTAACTGACATTCTACCTGAAACACATTTTAATCTAAATATCATTCTATTAATCATTTTCGAGTATTGTATAAGTATACAAGGTAATAACATCTAATACTTTGGGCTTTCTAGAGACCCTTGAGGATACACATTGCAACAAGCCATTTATCAATTATTCATGTAACACTTGTGTCAGTTATGTAAGGGATATACAGGGTGATCCAAAAATCATTCAGATTTTTGACATGTTGAATTTTTTTCTTAGTCCTGTCCTACAGACGTAAGTTTGTGGCATGTATGTTTTTTGCTTGTTTTAAATCATTACTATGATTAAGTGCAAATGTGCTTGGAATGAACAAAAAATTAAGAACTATTAAGGTATGCAGCGCAAAAATTGCAAAATTGCCCTATCAATAGAAAGTTCCATATTATTCAAAATGTGAATGATTTTTCGACCACCGAGTATAAAAAAGCCATCCATCTGTCAGGGCACTGTCTTATGGTTTTGGAAGCTGATAGTGAATGATACAACCCTCCTAAATGTGGTCACAATTCTTAAAGACCATAACATCAACATAAAACAAAGGAAAAACAAGATAAGGAGCAAAGAGAAAAAGAAGAAACAAGGCATAATAATCATGTTATGGACATCGAACAAAAAATAGCGACCAGATGCAAAACATTGAACATCGTCTACAAAAACGTTGGAGACTCACCTCTTGGTTACATTACAATAAGAAATTCTCAAATGAGACCAAATGAAGTTACTAGGAGCAATATTAAAACAATAATTCCATCAAATCAATTATGAAATCTCTTCAAACTTTGGTTTTATTATACTCAATATTAAAGGTGTTAAGAATATCAAATCTTCCTGATTCACTGATGACAAAATGCAAGAATTTGAAAGAATTCTAAATATCCAATATACTACACGCAAACGGAAGGTTTTATGAAACTTACATTTTGAAAAATCTATCATCATCTGTGAATTGTCATTTTCTCCCTATACTATTGACAAGTTTACTTCATTCCTATAGTAAACATAATTATGAATTGATTTTTTCTGAGTATGTCATTTTGCAAAGTTTTAGACCTTAAGTTCAAAGAGAAAAATGATACTGGAATACACTCTTTAATCTTGTGGTTCAATAAAGCAGTGATGCATTAAAGGAATAAAACCAGGATGACTAGTAATTACTTTTTATGACTAAGTATTTTGTGCCGTGCTAAAACTATTTTTTATATTGATGAGCATAAGTGGTCAAACTAATGTATTTTAGATCATTTATTGACTAGATGGGTTCTAAAGTGCCTTTCCATTAGTGAGATTTTGGTCCTTCAAAAGAGAACTTCAACAACATAATATAATAGGGCCTGACACTCGGGGTAGTTCAAGGTACAATATCTCTGCTGCTCATTTAGTTAACAGCATACAATAAAACCTGGATATCCAAACAAACAAATTTTTACTAATCTGCCAAAGACCATGAATGTTAAAAAAACTTGAAATGTGAACAGCTAGGAATCCAAGCACTTTTCACTTCTGGCTGGTCTTATTGATGTTTGGATCAATGAAACAAAAAAAGGAAGAGAGAATAAAATTTTAAACAAAAATAACAGAAAAAACAGCAGCCCCCCCCCCCCCCCCCCCCCCCCCCCCGGATATAATTAGAAATGACAGACATTAATATTTTGTGCTTTTGGCAAAATCTACGACCATGACATGATGTGACGCCTATGTGATGCCTATTATTAGCTTATGAAATTTAGGCCAAATCAAATAACCAGTATTCGAATCTTGAATTGAGCACCCATTTTGGAAATTCATTCTCTAGTAAAAGTTCCATGCCACTAAGGCATCAGCTTATATAATTTTCAACTGACAACCAATATTTCAGTTATTGCCTGGACAAATGAACAGACTGACAAACAGAGCTCAGCTTCTGTATACACCAACTTCTTTCGGTTGGATAAATATTAATATTTTCAACTGATCCCTTATGAAAGAAGCTATTAATCTAATAAAGAGTTCTAATGGGATGGAGTGTATATATTTATATGAGACAATCCCACATTTGTTATAACATTAGATCGATGAAACTTCATCGAGCAATTTTCAAAATAGAAATAACTATGCAGTAATGTTTTGGATTAGAAGTTTTTCAATAGGAAAGCATAGAAGACTTTAGGAGGCATTTCAATGAGTATAAAAACGTGATCATTCTATGGATTATTCACTTTGCAGTTGTTCCCGTTCCGCAGGGGAATTAGTTTAATCCAAGAGGATTTCCATTTAATTTGCTGAGCAGTTATTATAAAACATAGCAAAACATGGAGAATAGAGTGAAGCGCATATATAGGGTTAACTTTTTGCTGATTCTTATGATTATAGCGAGAGAGTGCCAACGGTTGGACAAACAACTACAGACTGACCTACTGAGTAATTATTCCAGAAACACGAGACCAATGATTAATGACACAACTATTGTCCAAGTAGATTTAGGACTACACCAAATTCTTAAAATGGATGAACAGAAACGGGTTGTAAAACTTGGATTGTGGTTTAGATTTTACTGGAATGATATCCGTCTGCGTTGGACCCCAGAGCATTATGGGAACATCGAAGAATATCGTTTTATGATGAAAGACATCTGGGTAACAGATATGACATTATATAACAGTGCTAGTGATAAACCCCCATCTATTGGATCTACCAGCTATGATATCCCGATTATCGTAAAACACACCGGTCATGTTTCTTGGCTCTTTCCAATGGTACTTAAAACATCCTGCGCAATCAATATCACGCACTTCCCCTTTGACATACAGAAATGTCCAGTTCAGTTTGGATCATGGACATATACAAAGGTTCAACTTGAAATGTTTCTAAAATATCCCAAAGGTGATATCAGTGGATTCACACCTAATGGAGAGTGGTCATTACTCCATTTCACAGCAAAAAAAAACATTAGACACTATGCATGCTGTGAAGATCCATTTACTGATATAGTCTACACGATTGTTATAAAACGTAAACCACTATTTTATATCATAAATCTTATACTGCCTTGTGGATTTTTACTACTTGTTAGTATACTGGGATTTTTGATGCCGATCCAGTCCGGATCCAGAGCACCATTATCAATAATGGTCCTTGTATCCATGACAATTTTACAAATAACTATATCTTCTAGCATTCCAATTCAATCCGACAGTGTACCACTGATTAGTCAATTTACAAGCTTCATACTTTTGATGATGTGCATGAATGTGATTCTGACAATTGGGAGTCTGAATATTCATTATAGAGGTCACTATGGTAACAAAATGTCTATGACAACGAGGAAAATATTTCTGAACATATTTGGGAAAATGTTAGGCATTCAAAAAAGGTTTGGTGGCCTTCAATCTTATTTCACTGAGTCTAATGCTTTGGAAGAAACAGCAGAACATAATATAACTGGTAGCCATGGAAACGCTATATCACTATCTGATTGTCATAGCAATGGAGGGTTTATGCCTAGTAACGAAGCTAACCATACAACTGACATGACGGAAACCTACAACAACAACAGTACATCTCAAATGTATGCATTATTACAACAAATTCAACGTGAAAAACGTGAAATTCAGCAGATGAAAACAAAGTTTGAAAATTCAAATAGAGAGTGGATGATGTTGGCACTTGTGGCAGACCGACTTTTTACAATCATCTTTTTAATTGTATCAATTGTAACCCTTGGCTGTATATTCAGACATATCATTTAAAATGTGTAGTAAAACCTGTCTAATCTAAATAATACTAGAACTTTCTATTATCGTATGATCTGTAAAATGAAGCCTTCTGATTGGTCAGTTCTTGTGCTGTACCAATCTGTATTGCTATTGAGATTGTCCCCATTGATCATCTCCGTCGCAATACAGAAAATATTGGTAGGGAGGGGACATTCTCAGTAGCAATACAGAGGATCAGATGATAAAAATGTTATAGGATGATTTGAAGTGCAATACAGGATATATTCTGCTCTTGATATTCTGTATTGACACTCGACTTTGTCTCGTTCCAATACGGAATTTCTCGAGCAGAATATACCCTGTACATTGTACTTCAAATCATTCAATAACTTATAATAGAGACAAATAAGCATCTGTTACATTTTGTTTGTTAATTAATGAGAAAAACTTTCATAACAAAAGATTTCTGAGGTTTTTATTACAAAATTTTTTCATAACAAACAATTTAACTGTACAGTGTAACAGGTTATGATTGGTTATGTAATTTGGTAGACGAGTACAATGCTTGTCAAATTTCTATTCACTGTTATGGAAACCAACTTCAATTTCTTGATTAATTTCGATCATTTTACCATTACCACAGTTAAAATCCAGAATATTAAAAAAAAAAGTTCAAAGCAGAATAATTACTGAAGCTATTTTCTTCAAAGCGTTTAGTATTTCATAAGCTTTTAGATTTGATTGGATTGTTTTAATACCTAATAAGTATAGATTCCATGTAATTGGAGAGCATTTGGCTTGTTTGCTAATTTACCTGCATATCTATATATATTTGTTGCAAATTATATGTAAAGTATTTACAATACATATAAGGTGTGATCATGAAGTTATCCTATATAGCATTTAACCTCTTGACTACATGGAGTAACATTTGATTTCTCATCACCTAAGAGATGACCTTAAAACCCAGAGTGACAAGAAAATCCGTCACACAATTTTTCACTAAAATTGATCTTATTTGAACAATTTTCATCCAATTTACACAAAAATTGTTTTCAAAAGTGTAGAAATGATCTCTGTCATCTAATTTTACTAAGTTGAGCATCTAAAGTTGTATAGGTATGTAGTTGAATGTCAAAAGGTGGAAAAAATGAAAAATTCTCTGGTTTCAACCGATTTTACAGTCTGGAATTTAAGAGGTTAATAATGAAATTTTTTAAGAATGTACAGTTTTATTAACCCAGCAAAAAGTACATGTATGTAGTAAAACAAAAATATTAGATTGTTTGCCATATTAACAGGAAATCAAAGCACCCATTTGTACATTTATATCTGTTCATTTTGTCTATTCATAATATAACAGTCTCAGATAACTATGAGAATGTTGACCTAAAAGTTTGGGTGCTTGAGATAGCACAACAATGAGGCAATGATAAGGATGACCTTATTACAGTAATTGGTACCATATTAAATTTCAATAAAGTACATGTACATTCATTGGTGTATATGTTTTACAAAGTATTACAATTCTACTCAAGATTTCAGTACTTCTTGTACTATTTTAGTATTGATAAAATCTATCGAAGAAAAGGTAAATGATTATAACCAAAAAGTGTCAATTAATAAATTCTAATTTTATTAGTTATCCCAAAAAAATATAAATCAAAGATATCTACTGATTTACTTTACAAATGTCCACATTTTGAGGTTTGCCAACCAAACCCGAAGATGTTTTTCAACAAAATATACCATCACCAGGAGATGATTCCATCGCCAATACGATTTAGGTCATCCAGAATATTAAAAGCAGAAACCTCACAAGGTTCCAAAATTTTGGAAAAGAAAGTTTTCAAAATTTGTAATGTAAACGTTCATTCCAAAGATGAAATACAGGGTGATCACTAAGTTCTGGGAATTTATCTGTCATTTCATTATTTTTTAACCAATTTACTTGAAATTTTCAAGGTAAATGGGGATTGTGATTTTGGGTTGGATAAAACAGTCTCATTGTCATCTGATTTCACAATGGATAATCATTGTTACTATAGCAACGTGACAAATGGCGTAGCGGGTCAAGTAAAATAAAAATGAATTCAAATTTTGCTTGATTCAAAAGTATGGTTGATTAATACCTATTTGGTGGACATATTATTATGATAATTCTGTGATTTTTATATTTTTTCAAATACTTCTAACTTTAGTTTCTAAAGCAACTTCTGTATTGTGATATACGAGTGTACTTTGCTCTATTTTCTTATCATTCGTCAGACTCTCAAAGTCACAATCATGACTCAAAATAGCGGGGAGTTATCCTCCATTATGGCTATCCTTCCCACTCATCAAACTGCCCATACTACTCTTGAAGAATAAGGGTTCACACAAGTTGTTACTGCCCCATATTCACCATACAATATTCACCAGATGAAGCACCATTGGGCTTCACTACATTTGGGCTGCTGAAGCATCATATGAGATGTCATCTGTTTGATTCCGATAAGGGACTGATTTCAACGGCTTGAGCAAATCTTCAAGGGATACCAAAGGGAGGTTTGGAACATATCTTTATGGACTAGGTTTGTCAACAACGCATTTGCGTCCAGGCTTATGGCAACAATTATCAATGAAAGGATCCTCTCAGCAATTAAGAATATTTCTGAATAAATGATTTCAAGAGTACTGATCATCTGCCTCTAGTAAGAATAGTTTGAAGCAACCATCTAGGCAAGATGAATATGTTTGGCAGGAAATTTTCAGATTAACATCAGTCAAAATTTGCTGACCCGCAGACCACTTTTACTTTTTTTATAATTACAATAAAATAAATTGCAGAAGTGATATGTACATGTATATGAAACATTGCTTGTCAATTCAGAATTATACAATGTACACCTGCTGAAATCTTGAAATGGCAGACCAATTCCCAGAACTTAATGATCACCCTGTATATTAGTCCATTATCAAACAGGTGACACGAGTTAAAACATTAAAGGGCTTTATCTCTTAAAATATCCCTAAATATTTCATTATTTTGTGAGATACTACAATGTATGTTTTGCAACATAACAGGTGATGATGATCCTTTCCTGGAAATACCAAGAGTTGAAAATGGTTCATCTAGTAAGCAGCATGACATGTGCACATTACAAGGGGTGCATGAACCTTTTATAAATTCAACAAGGAATTTAATTAACTAGCAATTTTCTCAACTCATGATTATAGAAAAGTCTACTGATGGTGCAACTTCTGAGTTTCTTTCAACTTTGGTTTATTTTAGGACAAGAAATGGGCACTCAATTCCTTTAAGAACTCCTACCTTATCACAAACATCTGACTGCCAATGAACCCTGAAGTCATCTTTACTGTTTGTAACATTCACTGTTAGATATGCTTCATCAATGCCTAGTTCACCCGCATCGTCAAATATGTCGCCTCCCACCATAGTGGAAGCGGCTGTAAATGCAAGTGTGAAATCTCTTATTTATGGATTTCTGTTTATTTTTAAGTTATAGTGTGGAAAAACACAGGTATATTTTACTCATAGGCGTTTTTAATTTTAATGACATGTTTGAGTGAAAATAATTGTGAAACATAGCCTTGACATACATGATAATAGTATTATACTATTATTATTATATTGCCTATTTTTTATTAATATATACAGAATAAAGACCAAGATTTTATGATTTATGGCGTGATATATGACCGAAAAATTTATTTTGTCCATTGTTAAAAGACCGAAATCTGAGGTCTTTGGCAATGGCCAGAATAAAATTTGAGGTCATATATTTGACATAAATCATAAAATCAAGGTCTTTGTTAAGATTCTAATATGATAAACAGACAAGAAGAAACAAATGTTTGCATTTATGAATTTTAGTGGTCATACATACTCCAATATAGACCAGTAAATCAATTGTTCTAGTTAATGTGATGTCACGTATCATATTAGAATGAAAATTATATAACAACATATGAATATACATGTATTCCAAGTATTAATAATAATAACAGAAATAAATATTATAACAATTCAACTGATAAGGTACAATTTAAGGCTCTAAGGAGTAACACAGCAGATTGTCAAACAGGCATTTTAATATCACTTCCCATATAAACTTACCCCCATAAATATGGAGTTAATTTTTCAAATCACCCCAACAACTACTTGTCAATTGAAAACTTGAGGTTGAAAATAAGCTTGATAATGTAGGGGTTTCATTAGCAGCAGGCAACACTAAAATAGTTATTGAATCCTACGACCTACGATTCAACTACATAATAAAGGACCCACGGTCCTGTGCTCACACAGTGTAGTGGATATGCATAAAATGACTGTTGATATACGATAACTGAAAATGTGTTCCATGCGCAGTTGCATTCAATCCAGCAATTTGATTAGTTCATATCATATGAACACATGCGCAATGACCACATATTTTTCTAGATAGATGTCACTTGCGTTCATTATTTCACACCAGTCCCTTCCCATGATGCACCTAATATTGCGGGAATATTTTCCTTTAGTGATAAAACAAATAACTCTCATCTTCGAAACATGTTTTCCGTTCCTTGGCAATAATCTTTCATTTGGTACCGATCCAACCGCCGAAAAGTAATTCGAATCGTTCTGAATCGTGGGAATGAAGAACTTTCTTTTTTGCGCATGCGCATAGAACACAGGATATTCGGCCATTTTTCAACTTTCAGTTTCGAAACATAATTTCATGCATCTATTTTGCATATAGCAGTCGTTATAGGCTGTCCTTCGTTAAAAATAATATACGGAAATGAACCTAAGGAAACAAAGAACTCTAAGAACTACCGATTTTTAACAGTGGACGTGTCTTGAGGAAGAAATCTACTCTGGAGCTAATAATCGTGAGGTGAAAATTGCCATTATTTTCATTTTAAACACTCCTTTACATATTCTTCAGATTTCTCAGCAACTAGTGGATGGATTGCTACCATTTTGGGTAACTTTACTCTGTGGTGTTGTTTGAATCAGCATGTTGATTGTTGAAAGGATTTCATATGTTTTTACTGGATATATCTAACAATCGTTTTCTACAAATTTCAGGAAGCATCAAAATCGAGCTCCCTTAAACTCTTTATAACAGTAGACTAGTATCGGAGGGCTTGCCCGACCCTCCAGACAAACCCCTGTGATATCAGACTAGAGGATATAGTCTAACATGAAGTCTGACATTTCCAGCCAATTTTCAAAAAATGTCAGGATTATAAGATATAGTCTAAGGATAAAGTGTATGATATATTCTCGAGGGACTGGAAAGACGCAGCATAAAACTGCCAGTGAAGAAGAATACAAATCATTGGAGAAAGAAATCAAATTATATGAATATTACCACTTACCTATGATCAGAATTACAACTAGCTTCCACATGCTAATCGTTTTGATATCTCCCCCACAAAAAGAAATAATTAGCCTAGATCTAGATCAGATTATACACAGATCATGTGATGTTTTCAGAGTTTTGTTTTTGAAAAAATCAACTTTATTTTTTTACTTTTCTATCAATATTGGTATTCCTTTTACTATTATTCATATTCCACAATGAAGCCAGTAGATTCTTCTACATTGTTTTAAATATTTGGTTTAGTATATTCCCGAAATAAATCCGTGAATCAAATATTTGTCCTGGTAACTTTTTTCTTCTAAATTTCTGACATGACCTCGACCTTGTACTGGACGAAATGATTTTGTTTTACCACCGTCAAAAAAGAATCGCCAAATCTAGGCCAAATATATAACAGAATTCATTTATCAGTGAAAAATTAAATTGAGACCAAGAAAAATATTAATTGAATGTACATAATACGGACATATTCTGTTTCTTTCAATATGTAAGTATTTGTTTCGTTTCAAAATACGGGAATAAGTTTGAAATTTAGAGACCGTCTCAAAGTCAAATCTAGAAAGTGGAAGCCTAAATATCCAGCATTTTTCTTCAGTTTATCTCATATTTTGTTCCATAACCACCATTTATGGTGGTATAATGGCGCTGCCTTGATCCAGGTGGTAGTATTGCACAAGTGTAAGCCAAAGTCATGGCGAGTTCTAACCAGATCAACATAGAAATGAGAAGTTTTTTGGAGGAGGATTTGGGACATTCTGGCGAAATGGAAAGCGAAAGCAAAGATGCAAATAATTCATTTCTTGCTTTTATCGAAAAACGACATTTGGAACGAATTGAAGGCACAAAGACATTCACACAGACATGGAGGATGAAAGAAAGAGTATGTTTCATCATCAATGTTGTTCATTTAGTTTCTTCCACTTCCAGGACAACTAAAATTAACCAAGTAAAAATGTCAGAAAAAAATGTCGCTAAACCAATCAGCGACGATGTCATCTCAATACAGATTTACATTATAAGCGGATGTCATCTTTGAACCCTGGGGGTTCTCCCCCTCTTGATCTATCATAAACATCCTCAATATTGAGTTACAAGTCATTTGTGTTATAAAGAGTGGCTTCTAGAAATTTGAATTGTTCAGTTTCTATCATTGGGGAATCTACTCAAAGAATATACGCATTTGTTTGTAAACACGAATAGATGCATTTATTATACATATGTTTGACTTACCATAGCTACCCTGAAGTGTATTCATGCAGAAGACTGATTGAGGCCTACATTGTTTCTCAAAAGTCGATATCTTTCAGCTCTAGTTATACTCCAGTTTCTTACCTCAATCCATTCTATCATTTATTTGCTTATTTCCCCCTTGTTGACAAAGGTACATGTATGACCAAAGGTATTTCGTTCTCTTGCTTGCTGTATCTTATTATCATCACGCGAATCTGTGATTTTACTTATATTTATTACAGATGAAGACAGTGAGTGTTGCTCTCGTGTTGTGTCTTAATGTAGGAGTAGATCCTCCAGATGTTGTCAAGACAACACCTTGTGCCAGACTAGAGTGCTGGATAGGTATGTCACATGTATACATATATGAAAAATTGATTGTTTAACATATTGAGCCAAAGAATTTCTGCTGTGGTACTTCACCAAACTGCTTCACTGCTTTTGGTACTTTTTGACTTTATAATGCTTGTTTGACCAATTTAAAGTATATGAATGTATTTATTATACTCAATTTAGAAAACCTTAGATGTATTTGAACCATGTACTTTCTTTAGAATGTCCAAAAACAAAAAATGAAAAACAGGCAAAAAGATAATTACTATTATAATTTTAATATTGAAACATTTGCAAAGTTCCTTAAAACAACAAGCTGTAATGCCTTACTGCTAATAAAATACCTACTTTATAATTTTTGACCTCTTACTATACATGTATGTCTTAATACTTTGTAACCTCTTCCCTTATAAAAAAAACAACCATTTTTTCCGAAATTCAATGGTTTCATTGCATATCATGTAACCATCATTTCAACCTTGAAGATCAAAGGAAAAATCATTATATCAACCATTCAAAACCATTGCGCAACCATTACTTCACCCAATCTTTTCAACCCTTTTTACATAAAGTTGCAATGGTTACGTAACCATTTTTGAGAAACCATTGCAAAACCATTACAACCATTACCCATTGAAATTAACAGTTACAATTGATTGCAACCATTGATTGGGAACTGCAACTATTGCAACCATTAATCCTCAAAATGAATGCTCATGGGCAGACCTGTAGCCAGCTTTTGCACTTTTGACAAATTTACAAGGGGATTCATATTATATAACTATGGCCAAAAATTGGCCAAAATCACTTGAAAAGTCCTCAATATGGTGAATAACTGCATGAATTTGAAATAATGTTGGGCTATGGCTATGTTGATATTATTAGTGTTTTTTTAAGTAAGCATGTCTGTAGTCTGCAGTCTATCACACTCTTCTCTCATTAAAGAATTTTTTTTGGACTTTGTGTGTCTCGGATCTTGTTCTCAATGACAAGTCTGACGTCACTTCATGCACTTCCAGAACAACAAAAAAACATACACTTATTTGTATATATCATTTAATCTAATCCCTAGGATTTTAAACACTTATTTCTATGACTATTGCAATCACTTATCAGGTATCGTTTTTAAGGAGAATGAAAAATGCAGAAATCTTGTAAGAAAATAAGGATTCTTTTTTGTTTCAATTCAATATTGTTTAATTTTGCTGGCTTATTTTCATTAAGAAAATTGTAGAAATACAAATTAAGATTTCACATTATTGAATTCAGATAAGGTACAAAGACAGAGCAGCAACAGTTGCACAGACAGAGCGGCAACGGTTGAAATGCTAATTATAACCATTGAAAAGCTAATTATAACCATTGAAATGCTAATTATAACCCTTGAACAGCCAATTAGATCTGTTCAGTTCTGTTTTGATAGTTTAACAAAATCATTACAAATTAATTCTTTTTTTAAGAATTATTTTTGTCTGAATAATTTATTTTTGAATTCCCCCTACCATAATAATGACACAATCATAGTAAATTAGATGAGATTCACATTAAGATTTTTGAAGCCAGCTATGGTCTTGATGAATTCTCTTTTTTCTAGCGATAGTTAACTTAAGTTCATAATACAATTTTGAGACATATCCAACTTCAAGTTCATGCTCATAGGCATAAAACCATGTCTAGTAAAAGGAAATATCATCTATTCAAGTGTTTAAGATATTTCCCTTTCAGTCATTATGATTAAAGTTTAATCCAATTAGTAATTAATATTTTTTGATTTGTAAATGATATTGAAGAAAAGACAATCAATCCGGCTCTTGCCTAATCCAAAGCATAAATACAAGGATGTTGATGTATCAAAATCATGTTTTGGAAACATTTTCAGTTTAATCTACTTAATTGTTGTAATAAGACTTCTTTGATATTGAAGAAGCAGTTATTTTGGCACTAGCTTAATCCAAATCATAAATAAGAGGCAGGAAATACAATCTTTGATGTTTCATAAATGTATGTATGTACTTTTAGTCAGAAACGTTTTTTTGTTGAGACAGGAGAAAAACAGAAAATTTCCACAGAACGTTTTGTTGTATTGTTCAGTAAAACTGAATGAATCAAGAAGGAATTTCCAAATAAACTACAAGAATGACCAGGGCCAAAAATGAATACACTTGATTCTCTTCAATAAAATAGAAATACTATCTCTATAAACATGAACTTGAAGTAATATTCAGTACCAAAAATGAATAAACCTTATTCTTTATAGAAATAATATGCCTATGAGAATGAACTTGAAGTCATATCCAGTGCCAAAAATTAATAAACCTTATTCTCTTCAATTAATTAGAAATAATATGCCCATAAACATGAACTACTGTATTTTGAAACATAATAATGCATTCAATTTAATTGTATGTTCTTCATGTTTCAAATTGTCTCATTCTTAAACTAAATAATTTCCACAATATGGTTGAAAATAGTTGCAACCATTTGGTAAAATGCAACTTAAACAATCAATGGTTTGTAATGGTTGCAAATGATTCCATAATTTCAATGATATGCAACCAAAGTTTTCAACCAAATTTTAATGGTTGCAATGTAATGGTTGGAAACCATTTCAATTGGTTGCAGCAATGGTTATGCAATGATTTGTAATGGTTGCGCAATGGATTTTAACGGTTGAAATTCGGAAAAAATTGTTGTTTTTTTCCTAAGGGTTAAACCTCATCTTAGAAGCTCCTTTCATTACTTTACAGTTCTAAACCCATTTTCAGATCCTTCAACAATGAGTGCCCAGAAAGCTCTGGAAACAGTTGGATCTTACCTCCAAAAGCAATATGAAAGATGGCAGCCTCGTGCCCGCTACAAACAGAGCCTTGACCCAACCGTTGATGAGGTAAATCTTGAAACCTTAGAACTTTCGGGAAAATGAATTTCTTCTTTCTTATTTTATTTTGGCAGACAAGGGAACTCCTGATTACCCATACATCATCGTGTGTATCTGTTTATAAACTATAAGACCAAACCTGTACTGAAAACATATGTACATGTATCTCTTATTTTCAATGTAAAAAAAGTTTTATGTATGTGTTTACATTGTAAGTTGAAGGTGAAATGGATATTGTGGCACTGTAATCATCATTCTGTGCCCAAATCCTCAGTATAATTATACACAATAGGTGTATTTCTTATTTTCAAGGTGAAAAAATTGTGTATGTCTCTGCGTCGTAATGCTAAGGAGGAGCGGGTATTGTTTCACTATAATGGCCATGGTGTGCCTAGACCTACCATTAATGGAGAAATATGGGTTTTCAATAAGGTAAGCAAACATTTTCATCTTCTCCATTCATTTACAGTAAAATATGTGTAATTGTTTCCACTAAATACAAATTAAATCAAAAAAACATAATCTATCGAAAACAAGCTACATATACTGTACTTGAAAGTTAAAACATCATATTTTGAAATAATGTTAATTATACTTAATAAGTAATATATATTTTAAATTGTATTTTGATGTTTTTATTTGACAGAGTTACACTCAGTATATTCCCTTGTCTGTGTACGATCTACAGACTTGGATGGGGTCGCCATCTATATACGTGTATGACTGTTCAAATGCTGGTATCATTCTCGAGTCATTTAAACAATTCTCTGTGCAGCGGGAACAGGAAGCTGAGGTTTGTATGTGTTTCTGTAGCTACGCAAAATTAATCCTCCAATTGCTCGGGTCCAGACGTAATCCACTTTGTTCTTTCCTTCAGAGTTGATGATGTTTGGACCCTTATGTTTGATGGATTCAAAATGAGGAACTTTTTTTGTTGAATTAAGCAAATCATAAAGTGACATCACTAATGTAGTTGCCAGAGTAACAGATACAGAGTCTTCTTTATATTCATGTACGTGAATGAATATGTTCAGAAGCAAGTTGGAAGTTTTATTACAAAATCATTCAAAAACTTAAACTTGCCAGGAGATTAGCATTTTAGGTGCATCACACATTAAGTATATTGTAACATATGTAAATAACAAGTTTTTGTATAAATTGTATATATTATGATAGCTTAGACTTAGTGTAGTGTAGTATAGTGTAGTTTTGTACAATATATTCATTTTGTAATGACTAATATGTCCGGTCATGATATCTACAATATAAGATATACATGTATCCAAATTCTAAAGTTCACAGATTCATGAATATTGTTTTGAATAGCTTTTTGAAAATAAATAAATAAAAAATAATAATAAAAAATAGAAAATATAAGAAAATGAAATTAAAAAAGTGTATATTCTGTTTCAGTTATCCAATGTTAACAGCAGGGACAGTCCCATGAGGCAAACATCTCAAAACAATAAGAATTGTATTCAGCTCGCAGCATGTAGCTCATCCGAACTTCTGCCCATGAATCCGGAACTACCTGCTGACCTCTTCACTGCCTGTCTCACTACACCCATAAAAATAGCCCTCAGATGGTACTACTTTTAGAACCTTTATTTCCATACTAAACTTCATAGATTGTAATATCGATATTTTAAAGTACATTTTTGAGAATGATTTTTTCTTGATGAGTTTTTTGGAATGAACATGTTTTCATTGTATTTTTGATTGATTTTTAAAAATAGGAAAATGAATTTATAATTACTGATTAGAACAGAAAATATATACCTTTCTCGTACAAACTTTGCAATCATACTACAGATCTAATAGAAAAATAGAAAGAAAGAAATGTCACAAAGGAAGCAAGATTTCTCCCATGAGAGTCAGGTCATTGAGAAATGGAGCTTGACATAATATGTTAACTCCATTGCAATTATTGATTTTTGACACTATAACTGGGCTTTTTCATGCACATCATACATCATTTTTACTTAAACTCAAACTTGTATATAGGGGCTCATATGGTAGCCAAAGGTGGGCCCATCAGTGAGCAAATTTGAACCACATTATTTATCTCGGGAAACATGTCAGATTTAATGATTTGGAACTTTGACGCCCAAAAAGTGACCATTATGGATAGCTTTTCTAGGTTTTATACCCCCGAGGTTATTTTCGAGGGGGTCTCAACTCTTTCTTAATAACTTTTAAAATATTAAAGATATGTGTCTGAAACTTGCAGGGTACCTTCCTGGGGTCAACACATAGATGTATTGAAGGTTTAGGATTATTTGGAATAACGGTTGCTATAGTAACCAAGAAAATGTGTTTCCGAACTGGCAATTTTCAGCAATTTTGGCCTGTAGCAACCTGGTTGAAGTTAGATATTTTTTCTATTGATGAATTTTCCCATTGTTAATTGGTTTCAAAAACACACTACAACTGTATTCTTTCATTTTATTGCAGATTAGAATTGACACCATTAGTATTAAAGGTCCATAATCGTACATGAATGAACCCACCCCCCAAAGTCTATAAAAAGTGGGCGTGGCACCAGACATGTACCAGTTTGTAATTCATAAGTTTAAACACCCAATAAATAATGTTGATATTTATGTTACCCTGTTTCCAGTGGTAGTTGAAGAAGTTCTTTTAAAAAACTAGATATATTACCATGGAAACCATATATTTATGCTGCATAGCAACAGAACTATGGTAATGAAATAGCCAATAATTTGATCGAAGCCCTCGTGCATGTGGTCCCATATATACAAAAATCAAATGTCCTGTATCTCTCAAAGATCTTAAAACCTTCCTGGGGTCAACACAGAGCTGTATTGAAACTTTGGGATTATTTGGATTAATGGTTGCTATAGCAACTAAGAAAATGTGTTTCCGAGCTGGACAATTTATGGCAATTTTGCCCCACTGCAACTTGGATATTTTTTCTAGTGATGAATTTTCACATTGATAATTGGTTTCAAAATCACACTACAACTGTATTCTTTCATTTTATTGCAGATTAGAATGACAACATTAGTATGAAAGGTCCATAATCATACATAAATGAACCCCCCCCCCCAAGTCTATAAGAAGTGGGCGTGGCACCAGACATGTACCACTTTGTAATTCATGAGTATAAAAACCCAATAAATAATGTTGATATTTATGTTACCATGTTTCCAGTGGTAGTTGAAGAAGTTCTCCTAAAAACATAATCATATAATAAATATATACATATAATATCATATATAAATATATTATCATGGAAACCATACATTTATGTTGCAATAGAAACAACTTTGGTATGTTAACGCAAAGCTTAATGAAATTATTGTTCATTTGACTATTCATTTGGCCATTTAGAGAAAACAACAAATGTATGAGTAAACTATATTGGCTGAATATATATCTTAGTAGTTTACATTCTTTGAAGTTCACATTTGTATGAGCTACTATTCTAGTATATCTGACACATCTCTATTCTATAGTGATACTTTTACATTTGCTTGCAGAACGTGATATGTGATAGGCCCCAGAGTGATGGCACTCAGAAGACTGCATATGATATCAAAAAATGAAGCTTGAAAGAGATAAGTAATACAGCATACTATGACCCTGTCATTTAACCAACATATGAAGCTGTTAAGTTCTTAAACCAGTCTATTTCAGTTCTCCTCAGTCCTTTTTGAAAACTTCACATATATAATTTTGAAGCTCATATATGGGTTCTGACTCTTCTTGATCTGTCATAGCTGGCCTCATCACATCAAAAAGATCTTGTCGTAATATCTTTGATGTGCACCAGTCTAGTTCTAGTACACAAGATTTTAACCCATTGCCTCTGGGAGATGAGAGTACAGGCTTGTGTTGCACACAAACTCTTCAATTACAGCCTGTGCTTCAATTGTAATATTTGTAGATGACCCAATACATTAATTGCCTGTGCTTCAATTGTAATATTTGTAGATGACCCAATACATTAATTGAATGCATCTTGGTATTTCTGGCTATTGATTCATTGGCTTTGCTTTCACGGTTTCTCTGAGATCATCATTGAAGCTGGCATATATGCTAGTGGATCTCTTGAAGGTGTGTTAACTGGAAACCATTATAACAGATCAATCAGAGTGCCCAAAATCTTCCTAAAGTTGCAACAAAGGAATTTGTAAGACAAGTTTATCAGCAAGCTACCAATCCCCATGCTCTCACAAAGGGTTATTGTCATGTAATATCATGATTCATCCAAGCTAGCAGAGAATGAGTTTGACCTCCACTTACTCTGTTGAGCGTTTACAAGACCTATGTCCACTATTTTTCACAATGGACCAGCCCAACTATGCTCTATATCTAGCAGCACAATATGTCATGCTTGCTAGCCTCAAGCATACAAACCAAGAGAAAGAAAGGCTATTGAGAGACCTTGGGTTTAGACCTACTGCATGTCAGATCCAGAGGCAAGGTGGAATTTGAAAAAGACTTGTGAGTGACACCAAAAGTTTTCAAAATCCAGTGAAAAGAATAAAGATGAAAACATTTGTGACAATCGAGAAGGACATCCTGATAACATCTGACAAGTTTAGAGCTGAAAGGAATATTTTTTGACAGTTAGTTCTTATATCTCAAGAGAACAAGAAAGTTTAAGAGTATCCGCTTAGTCCAGTGTCATGGGCGCTAGGGTCTCCTGATGGTCTGCCAGCGAAGGCAGCAAAAGCAACACTCCTAAATGCTCTTGAGAATCTCCAACATCACCCTTCAAGACCAGCAAAAGATGAATCCTTCTACATATATGATGGTAATGCTATCTATCACAGCTTAGTGCAGCGTCTATCCACCTTTGAAGAACTGGCAGAGCAAGTGTTTGACATGATACCACTGAAGTCAGAGAGGGTAGATTTCTTAACTGACAGCTATCAAATACATAGATTCAATAAAAGAACCAGAGAGAATGAGAAGAGGAACATCAAAACCCTTCATGATCCAAGGACCAAATCCCTAAGAATTGGTAAGAATTTTTGAGCAACAGCCAAAACAATACCCAACTAAACAGTCTTCTCCTTTGCGAGTGGCAAACAGATAAGTACTCAGCCAAGCTGAAGAACAGAAAAGTATGCTTTACATGTGCAAAATTCTCACTAGTGATGGTCTAAATGTCCGATCATATGTTGATAACAATCTACTGTCAACACAAGAAGAAGCAAACACCAAGATGAGTACATGAGAAGATGTTTTGATCAGTCAAAGAACATTATTGTACATTCCCCAGACACAGATTTTCTAGTCTTGATGATACACTATTCTCACAGGTTGTAATTGTGTTAGTGCATTTGTTCAACGAGGAAAAACCAAGCCCCCAACTCTGCTATTCAATAGCCAGAAATACCAAGATGCATTCAATTAATGTATTAGGTCATCTACAAATATTACAACTGAAAAACAGGCTGTAATTGAAGAGTTTGTGTGTAACACAAGCCTGTACTCTCATCTCCCAGAGGCAATGGGTTGAAATCTTGTGTACTAGAACTAGACTGGTGCACATCAAATATATTACGACAAGATCTTGTTGATGTGATCAGGCCAGCTGTGACAGATCAAGAAGAGTCAGAAACCATATATGAGCTTCAAAATTATATAGGTGAAGTTTTCAAAAAGGACTGAGGAGAACTGAAATAGACTGGTTTAAGAACTTAACAGCTTCATATGTTGGTTAAATGACAGGGTCATAGTATGCTGTATTACTTATCTCTTTCAAGCTTCATTTTTTGATATCATATGCAGTCTTCTGAGTGCCATTACTCTGGGGCCTATCACATATCACGTTCTGCAAGCAAATGTAAAAGTATCACTATAGAATAGAGATGTGTCAGATATACTAGAATAGTAGCTCATACAAATGTGAACTTCAAAGAATGTAAACTACTAAGATATATATTCAGCCAATATAGTTTACTCATACATTTGTTGTTTTCTCTTAATGGCCAAATGAATAGTCAAATGAACAATAATTTCATTAAGCCTTGCGTTAACATACCAAAGTTGTTTCTATGGCAACATAAATGTATGGTTTCCATGATAATATATTTATTATATATGATATTATATGTATATATTTATTATATGATTATATTTTTAGGAGAGCTTCTTCAACTACCACTGGAAACATCGTAACATAAATATCAACATTATTTATTGGGTTTTTATACTCATGAATTACAAAGTGGTACATGTCTGGTGCCACGCCCACTTCTTATAGACTTGGGGGGGGGTTCATTCATGTATGATTATGGACCTTTCATTCTAATGGTGTCATTCTAATCTGCAATAAAATGAAAGAATACAGTTGTAGTGTGTTTTTGAAACCAATTATCAATGTGAAAATTCATCACTAGAAAAAATATCCAAGTTGCAGTGGGGCAAAATTGCCATAAATTGTCCAGCTCGGAAACACATTTTCTTAGTTGCTATAGCAACCATTAATCCAAATAATCCCAAAGTTTCAATACAGCTCTGTGTTGACCCCAGGAAGGTTTTAAGATCTTTGAGAGATACAGGACATTTGATTTTTGTATATATGGGACCACATGCACGAGGGCTTCGATCAAATTATTGGCTATTTCATTACCATAGTTCTGTTGCTATGGCAACATAAATATATGGTTTCCATGGTAATATATCTAGTTTTTTAAAAGAACTTCTTCAACTACCACTGGAAACAGGGTAACATAAATATCAACATCATTTATTGGGTGTTTAAACTTATGAATTACAAACTGGTACATGTCTGGTGCCACGCCCACTTTTTATAGACTTTGGGGGGTGGGTTCATTCATGTACGATCATGGACCTTTAATACCAATGGTGTCAATTCTAATCTGCAATAAAATGAAAGAATACAGTTGTAGTGTGTTTTTGAAACCAATTAACAATGTGAAAATTCATCAATAGAAAAAATATCTAACTTCAACCAGGTTACTACAGGCCAAAATTGCTGTAAATTGCCAGTTCGGAAACACATTTTCTTGGTTGCTATAGCAACCGTTATTCCAAATAATCCTAACCTTTCAATACAGCTATGTGTTGACCCCAGGAAGGTACCCTGCAAGTTTCAGACACATTTCTTTAATATTTTTAGAGTTATTAAGAAAGAGTTGAGACCCCCTCGAAAATAACCTCGGGGGGTATAAAACCTAGAAAAGCTATCCATAATGGTCGCTTTTTGGGCGTCAAAGTTCCAAATCATTAAATCTGACATGTTTCCCGAGATAAATAATGTGGTTCAAATTTGCTAACAGATGGGCCCACCTTTGGCTACCATATGAGCCCCTAATATGTATATCCTAACATCACTAATCTGAACACCTCACTTTCCTACTTTTATTATTATAAGCTCGTATAGACTTCCATGTTATAAAACCTCAAAATCCTCAAAATACATGCCAATCACTTTTGGCTGTTCTTTTTTGTACATTTAAAAATTTTATTTTTAGGTATGTCCTTCAAAACACTCATAAGCTTGTGCCAAGTATAACACTAGAGGATGTTGATAAAATCCCCGGGCAGCTTAATGACAGGAGAACTATGCTAGGAGAAATGAATTGGATCTTCACAGCTATAACTGATACTATAGCATGGAACACACTACCTAGAGGTGAATATTATAATGGAATTACAGATTTTTGAAATATTTTTCATAGAGAATTGTCTAAATGAGAAGGTTAACAAATAGAATTTACTTTCAGAATAAATTATGTGAATTAATGCAAAATTTGGGTATTTTATTCAAAATAAAACTGAGAATGGATTGTTTGGTTGACAACACTGTCCCCTTATTTAATTATGTATCAGTGTTAATTTCACACTTATATGTCTTTGCAGAATTGTTTCAAAAATTGTTCCGTCAAGATCTGCTGGTCGCGAGTTTGTTTCGCAACTTTTTATTGGCTGAGAGAATCATGAGGTCATACAATTGTACTCCTACATCGAGTCCAAAACTACCACCAACATATCAACATCCAATGTGGTAATTATGAATTTTTTTGTGAAAAATGTGATTTTAAAATAATTCAGATTGCTGTGTCGAATATTATATCATGCCAAAACCCAAAAATTATTTCAAGTAGCTTAAAGAGCAGATAAAATATTGAATTGAAATGCAGTACCTTATACCTTTAAAGAGGGGATTGGTCCGAACCTGCTATTGTGAATGTAAAAGGATTCTCTTGCAAAGATAATACTTCTTTTCAGCTTACTGTTTAGCTGAAGATTTAAATATCTGATGCATTTTCCATTAACACATATACTGTATATTAAATTTTGGTCATAGTGAAGTTTAACGATTTTATAATTATTTGCTAATGACTGCTTATGTAGGCAAGCATGGGATTTAGCCCTGGACCTTTCCCTCTGTCAACTCCCAAAAATCATGAAGGAAGGTGGACAATTTCAACATAGCAAGTTCTTTGCGGAGCAGTTGACAGCATTTCAAGTGTGGCTATCATACGGAGCGGAGAGTCGGCACCCTCCAGAGCAGCTTCCAATTGTTCTGCAGGTGAGGGAGCATTGAGTTTTTCTTATGAGGGAGCATTGAGTTTTCCTTGTGAGGGAGCATTGAGTTTTTCTTGTGAGGGAGCATTGAGTTTTTCTTGAGTTTAAGTCTAATCAGCTATTATATGTCAAGGACTGTATTTGCATTTAGATACAGGTATTGAATCTTTAAACATGTAAGAGACCACTGCAAAATTTTATGTATGATAGGTAAATACATTTAACTTGTTCAGGGGGTATGAATAGCCATAAGTTGAAGTAGCCTTGCAGGTTGAAAAACTCCCATAGGTTAGAATAGCTCTGTAAGTTGAAATGGGTCAACTTGAAGAAAGTCCTTAAAGATATGCTATACAGATATGTAGGTCAGTATTACATAATCGTGAAATGAATAAGTCTGAATATATCATTGGTCAGAAAACACTAAAACCTGCTTGAAACTGTAAAAGTTTATACACTCTATTCCACACTGTATAGAAATAAAATAACTTACACTATAAGTAACTGTGAGCCAATCATTGCACAGAAAAAACTTTATGCACTGTTTATAAGATTCAGTGAGACAAGTGGGTCAATACTTCGTGTACTTTATGTGCTCTCACACAATTACCTTCCCTTGCATAAAGTTGCTGTACAGTTATATGTAACTGAATATTGTATATTCATCACAAACAACCTTAGCAAAATGATGATTCGAGGAAATGGACGGTTTGCTAAAACCAATAAACCAGGCAATTCAGGCCAATTTGGAAAGAAACTAGATAGCGTGATAGCGAATGAGGATAGCAAGTGAAATATATTTTGCAAAGGTCAGCTTGTAAACTACTGGGTAACCCTAAATGATGAGAAATATGTACAAAATATGTTTTGCATGATTTATTCATATCCCAATGATTTAACTCCTTCACTGCATCTAATAAGGTATATAGATACTAATTACGGGACATTTAGGAATTAAGTGACTAGACCAAAGCAAGCATGTTTGAGATTTTAATGATTTTAAATAAATTACCACTTCATTATTTGCTTTTAGACATTCAATCAGTTTTATTTGTCCAACAAACCATATTCACAATTGTTCAATCCAACGAAGATTAGGGGGGATAAGCTATAGAGACCCCTCCATTTGCCCGTCCATCCATCCTTCAACTAGACAACAGCAACACCAAAGTGTAGCAAATCCCATCGAACAGCCATGGCTGGCATTTTTTTTACAAACAAAGTATACAGCAAATATGGCAGCCATTTTTCAAAATGGCCACCTTCTACCAAAAGTGTCATTAGACAGTGTGCCACGCTTATAGTATTCACGCATCAAATATGAACAAAATCGCTCTACTACTTTTCGAGTTATAGTAAAATACGTTAAAATGACGGCCATTTTTCAAAATGGCTGCCTTCTACCAAAAGTGTCATTAGACAGTGTGCCATACTTATAGTATTCACATACCAAATATGTACAAAATCGCTCCACTACTTTTCGTGTTATAGTAAAATACGTTAAAATGGCCGCCTTCTACCAGAAGAGTCATTTGACAGTGGGCCATGCTTATAGTATTAATATACCAAATATGAACAAAATCACTCGATTACTTTTCGAGTTACAGCAAAAATCGTAAAATAACGAGTAAAGGCCGCCATAGTTCAATTCTTTGAAGCAAATGATTCTAAAAGTACAACATATCTTTGAAAAAATATCATTCTGTTAAGTGAAATTGTAAAAAATATTTTGCAATGTGTGAAATTGAATTAAAGCACATGATTCAATGAATAGTGGATGCTTCAATTCACTTATGTCTTCTAGTCTAGGCTTTGAATTCGGACTACAACACTTGTTCATAGTCTAGAATCAGGACATATGTTAAATTTAATCATCTACAGTGCATTGAGTCATTGGCTTAAATCCTATAATATAATATGCCTATCAATATAATATGTAATTTAAGTATCATCTCAATGCTTTAATTTTTATAGAATTATTTTAATATTTTACTAACTGTATAATATGTAGTTTGCATTACTGTTGATAAATAAATAAATGATTGCACTGTTCAGTTAAGAAATATAGCAATTGTATTATTTAAACTGACTATACACTATAGAAATGATTTTCATTGAAAAATCAAATCAGTACCAAAATTATGGTTACCCTGTAGTAGTGAAAGGCACATTAGAAATGAATATCACCCCCTTCAATCTATTTTTACAGGTTTTTATGATTATTTCAGATTTTTCTATAGTTTGCGTAACCAGGACGGTGAATTTTCTTAATTTTTCATCAAACATTTCGTCTTACCAATATTTACTATATCTGTCAATTTTATCAAAATCGCGCCGCTACGTTTGAAAATAATTCAAATTATGTAGTTTTTCCCATTGAGCTCCATTATAAAAATGGAATTTTCAAACTTAATATTTTAAAATTCTACGTGGTGAAAAGTTGCATATTGAGTAGTTAGTTAATGTTATGGTGTTAAAAATTCAAAACAAAAAGGAATAAAGAAAAAATGCCACAGAGAAGTCTCAATAGAGTCTCTTTAATCCCAACAAAATGGTTTAATAGTCATTATTTCATGTGCACTATTTAACTTTCTTTTTCAGGTTCTCCTAAGCCAAGTTCATAGACTAAGAGCTTTAGATCTACTTGGAAGATTCCTTGATCTTGGACCATGGGCAGTTAGTCTGGTATGTTATATAAGTCTATCTTAAGTAATTTTCAACACATGTAACACCCAGTTATATAAATTACAGATTACTTGCTGTGTAATAAAATACCAGAAAAAGAAAGAAATAAAAATGAAAAAAATATGGCTCATATTATTTTTGTGACTTTTTTGCTCAGGTGTAACTTTATTCTTCTGTTAGAATCCACCAATCATATTTCATTCTACTTTCGGTGAAAACTTCTTGTACTATCAATAACATTCAACGATTCTGCAAGGAATTGTTCCTCGGGGCAGACACATTGTTCGAATCATTGGAGGGTTAAATTCGTATGATAATTGATTTACCAATTAACAAAACAAAGCTTGTCATTTATCCTATAAAATTAACATTTTATTTTTTCTGTTTTACTTGCAGGCTTTATCTGTTGGGATATTCCCATATGTTTTGAAGTTGCTTCAGAGTTCTGCAAGAGAGCTACGCCCCCTATTGGTGTTTATCTGGGCAAAAATTCTTGCTGTTGACAGTGTGAGTGAAATGTGAATCATTATTTTCTTTTGCCTTTTTGGCTCACATTCTGAGTTATAGAATTGCTCAATTTCTAAAATTGCGTAAATGGTCTCTCATGTTTAATAACATGTGTTTTAAACCACAAAAGACCACTGCGAAAGTTCAGATTGATGAGATATCTATTTCACAGATTGCTTAGAGTTTGACAACAATTAATTTGCTTTTTTTGTAAAGTACTTCAGGGTGTTTGACTGAGTTTGGTCCACAACTCATACAAAAGGCTGTGGTGTGTACTTGTATGTCTATGTATAGGTGCACATAAAAGAACACAGGGCTCCTCCAAGGAGAGGTTCCTGGGTCTGCCTTTCATGATTTCATGCATTAATTACGACAGTATAAATATGGGATATGCCCAAGAGGTATCGCTCACCTTCATTGGTGGTAAACAAAAACAAAAAAACAAGAACAGCCAAAAGTGCCCATTCAGAAAAATATATCCAACTTTTGAAACCCTATGATATTGAAACTTAAAACATGTTATTAAGTTATTATGAAAAGGAAATGTGATATTAATTTTATTTTTATTTTTTTATTTTCATGTTTCAGTCCTGTCAGGCAGATCTGGTGAAGGACAATGGGCACAAGTATTTCCTGTCCGTTTTGGCAGATCCTTATATGCCGGTAAGTTATAAATTTTCATAAAATCAACTTAATTACCAATCTATTTCAACGGTTCCCCTTTCTCTCTGATTCTACATAGAGATTAGAACTAGTGAGTTGGTTTGATAAGCTTTACTACAGTACTGATTTTGCAGAGAGTCACATCAGCATGCTCCCATTGGCGCTCCAATCGGTATAGCGTCCGCAGGTTTGTCGGCATGCCAATAGGCATCGCCATCAGCATAGTTCTGCCGATGGGCAAAGTCATCGGGACGGCATTTCCGTCTGCACAGTATCTGAGGAGTAATACATTTCAAATGAAAAATGTATTCATGGTGAGAGAATACATCGTTCCCACACTGGGTCACTATGATCTACCCCTGACTCCAGTTGCCATGGTAACTATAATATTAACCAATCAGATGGCAGAATTTAAATTTTTACTACGTAAATTAATATCACTTACCAATTATGTCATTACAATATGCTAAAAGCTACCATAGTCACCTTTTATTGGAACAATTATTTTCTACTTTCACTTTCACTTTCGGTTTCCCGGAAGCCCCGCCCACTTTACGTCATAGTTGCGCATGCGCACCATTCATTTTTCTACCATTTTGAAAGTCACACAAAATTTTCAAAAGTGCGATAAATTGGTCCAAAAACGAGCGTTACAAGTCTACTATGTCGACGAATACAACGCAGTTCGATACAACAGAAGGGGTTAATACCCAGGGTGATCAGCGAGTTAGCCCAGCGCGCTCGGACAAAGGTAAATCACCGGTTGTGAAGTCTAAAGTTCTAGAAAAAGTTCGGCGTGGCCGTAGAGAAAGTCGAAGTAATTCAACTTCAAGTGGGTCAGACTCTGACACTTCGTTTAAAAGACGTAAAAAACATCGTCACAGAGATTCGGCTTCTCCTAAACGGCGACGTCACAGAACTAAATCTATTTCCTCAAGTCCGAGGGGTAGATACAGATCGAGATCCAGGTCTAGATCCAGGTCTAGACCAAGGAGATCACGTTCTCATTCCTCAAGTCCGAGGGTGAGATACAGATCTAAAGATAGACTTCACAATCGTAAAAGGTCTAGATCTAAGTCCAGGTCTAGATACAAGTACAAACATAGATCAAAGTCCAGGTCTAGATCAAAGTCTTTGTCCTCAAGTCCGAGGAAAAGACACAAATCTTCACATCATAGATCTGCTTATAGGTCTCATAGATCTCCTTCTTTAAGTCCAAAGAAGAAGTACTATCGTAAACAATCTCCTTCTATAAGTCCTAAAAGGAGACGTTACAGAAATGATAAAGATTCACCCAGGTACGATAAGTATCAATGGGAGAGAGATCAATTTATCAATCCGAGAATTGATCAAAGACAGGAAATGTTTCAGAATTTCTTGCAAGACCAGCAAGTTCTGAGAGCGATGTATGCAGGATCATCTGCATACATACCTCAAAATATTTCCAAGAGAACACAGTCAAGGCCATGGTCTGTGAATGATGATCACACTCAAGTAAATGATGATCACATACAAGAACAGGATGATCACATTCAAATAAATGATGATCAACAATTTAAATCACCTCCTACTCTTACAAGAACCATTTCTCTTAATAGAGATGATGATTCAGTTACTATAGAGTTGGAGAATGATGGTGAACAGGAAGATCCTGATACTAAGCCATCAAATGAGGTGGCAAGAGCCAAATTAGAATTTTTGGCAGCCACTGAAGTCGTTAAAAAATCTTTCCCTGAGATAGCAGAGATGTCAACACCTAAGAATAAGGTCAAATCTTGGTCTCTAGTGAAAGATAAACCTTCAGTATTGACTAATTCTTTACAACTGCCACTTTGCCCAGGTGTAAAGAATAACTTGATTGAAGGAGTCAAAATCTTTAACGACTTACCCCAGGATGCCTTTTCCAAAGATTTACCAAATCTTTGTAAGAAAAGATACAAACTTCCTAAAGCCTTATACCAAATCGTACCAGATGAGGATAAGTTTGAACCCTGCAAAATAGACGAAGATTTTTCGTCCATTGCCAAAACATTCAAGAAGAATGATTCGCAAAAGGCCAAATTAGACCCTCATTTTGCGAATCTGTCATTGAAGACATTGACAGATTGGGAGGGTGTGTCTAGAGAAAATCTAGTTACTTCCTCTCACACTGAATGGTTCATTGGTTCTGTTAAACCACTGTTTGAGGATCTGTTAAAAGAAGAAGGAATGGATCCTTCTTTATGTCAGAAAATAGAACAGGCTTTGACATTAATTAAAGCAGCTGGTCACTGCATTGAGGATGGGTATCGTCTTAATGCTTTTTTGCTCAATCAAATAGTAGCATGCAGGAGACATTCTTACCTTTCCATGAAGGCGGATAAAGATATCCCCTTTGCAGATCTCAAAGAACTTATGACTCTTGAGCCCCAAACTGGGAAGTTGTTTCAAGACAACTTGGCCAAAGTGAAAGAAAATTTGAGGAAAGCTAAAAATGATATAGCGCAGAATCAAATTCTAGACTACACCTCTAAAAAGGAGGACAAAAACAAACCCAAAACTTCCAATAAGTTCCAGAACAAAGACAGTTCTTTTCGTGGAAAAGGACGGGGTTCAAAGAGTTTTTCTCGAGGAAGAGGCAGAGGTAAATCTGTCGGTAGAGGAAAGTCCACTGATAAACAGTGACTTATTCCAGGTCGAAAATTACCTCCATACATCGTCAAACGACAAAGTGGGTGGGAGGTTGATGGAATTCTGGCAGGAATGGAGTCAAATAAATGCTTCGGCAAAAGTGATAAACCTTTTAAAAGAAGGCTATTATCTTCCATTCAAAGAAAAGCCAAAGTTACAAAAGACTCCCCTTTGGTCAGAATTCCACAATCCTCTAAAAAGAGAGGCAGTTTTCGACCTAATCAACACTCTCCTAGAGGAGAATGCTATAGAACAAGTAGAAGACATTTCTTCCCCAGGGTTTTACAGTCGAATATTTCTGGTTCCAAAAAAGTCATCCGACAAATGGAGACCCGTGACAGACCTGTCAACTCTAAATCTATTTCTGAATGTCCCATCATTCAAGATGGACACTCCAGAAATCATCAAAAGAAATCTGGAGAAGGGAATGTACATGACTTCTATAGACCTTCGACAGGCCTATTTGCATGTCCCTATCGCCAGGTCTCACCAGAAATATCTGAGATTTGCCGTGAAAAATCGGGGAGTCTTCCAATGGAAATGTCTTCCATTTGGTCTAGCAACAGCTCCTTTAATTTTCACAGAGATAGTTTCTCAGATCAAAAAATTCCTTCATTCAATAAATATAAAGATGTTCCAGTATCTCGACGATTGGATGATAATAGCATCATCACACCAAGTAAGTTCAGAGAACACAAAGACTGTGTGCAACTTAACGAAAAAGTTAGGCTTTCTCCTAAATCTGGAGAAGTCAGAGTTAAATCCAACTCAGCAACTTACTTACCTGGGCTCACTTTACGACCTAAAGAAAGGTCTAATGTTACCCACTCAATACAGAGTAGAGTTACTCGAAACAGAGATACAGCGTTTCCTAGCGAAACCTTTACAAACAGCAAAATTCTGGAAAAGAATTTTGGGTCTCCTAGCGGCAACAGAGAAAATTGTGCCACTAGGGAGATTGTTCATGAGGGAGATGCAATACGATCTCCAGAGAAATTGGAATGCCTCAAAGGACATGAACATTTTGATTCCATGGTCCAAAATGACAAGACAAGACTTAGTCTGGTGGCTAAACAAGGACAATCTTGTGAAAGGTGTTTCAATTCAAATGCAGAATTCAATAGATCTAAAACTGTTCACAGACAGTTCAATGACAGCTTGGGGAGCACATTTAGAAAATCTAGAAGTTTCAAAGATGTGGTCCAAACAAGATCTGAACCTGCACATCAACATGAAGGAGTTGATGGCAGTAGAGTTAAGTCTCAAACATTTTCAACCTCAAGTACAGGGGAAAAGGATACAAGTATCCTCAGACAATGCATCCACTGTGGCCTATTTGAAAAATCAAGGCGGCACACATTCTTACCAGTTATTCAAGGTAACAAAAAGAATTCTGCTATGGAATCAAGTCAACAATATAGAAATGACAATACGTCATATTCCAGGGAGATTGAACATTCTGGCAGATGCTCTGTCCAGAAAGTCTCAGATTCTGTCAACAGAGTGGAGTCTGAAAAATCAAATTTTCCATGCAATTTGCAGGAAATGGGGAAAACCTCTAGTAGACCTTTTTGCGACACGACACAACACGAAATTACCTCTATTTGTGTCACCAGTCCCGGATATGCTAGCATGGGAGGTAGATGCTCTAAGTATGGATTGGAAAGGTCTGTGGGCTTATGCCTTTCCCCCGACACCATTAATCTCTCTAGTTCTGAACAAGATGTTGCAAACGACAAATGTAGAAATGATTCTCATTGCCCCATTATGGGAGAAACAAGCATGGTATCCCAGACTGTTAGAGTCTCTTGTAGAGAAACCTCTACACATTCCAGTAGTTCCAAAAATGTTGAAACAGACAAGACAATGGGTATTTCATCAAAATCCCAATATATTCAAGCTTCACGCTTGGAGGCTGTCAAACAATCCTTTAAAAACAAAGGCTTTTCAAACAAGGTTGCAGAAAGAATTGCAAAACCTCAAAGAAACTCCTCGATCAAGGTATATGACTCGAAATGGAGAGTCTGGGCTAGTTGGTGTTCTGAACGGAATAGAGATCCATTCAGAACTTCTGTTACTGTAGTAGCCGATTTTCTGAATTGGTTATTTGAAGATAGAAAACTTCAACCAGTTACTATAGCAGGATACAGAACAGCCTTAGGTAATACTCTGAAAGAAACTTCGAATTTAGATATTGGTTCAGATCCTTTGATTTCTTGTTTGTTATCTAATTTCAAACAAGAAAGACCGAGGAATATCTCTAATAAAATTCCAAACTGGGATTTAAATGTGGTCCTACAAGGTCTTATGAGACCTCCTTTTGAACCTATCGAGATAGTTGATTTAAAATTTGTCACGTGGAAAACAGTTTTTCTCACTCTGTTAGCATCTGCAGCAAGACGCAGTGAGATACATGCCTTGGTGCTTAAGAAGGTGTCACATAGTATTGACTGGCAATCCATTTTTCTAGGATTCAAATCTGACTTTGTACCCAAGACCTTACTAAAGGCTGGAGGTACTGTCCTGAAGGACATTGAGATAAAAGCCTTAACAGGTTTTTTGACACCAGATCTTCAAGATGATAAGCTTTTATGCCCTGTTAGAGCATTAAAAGTTTATATGAGAAGATCAAAGCCCATGAGAGATAAACAACAAAGATTGTTTATATCATACAAGAAAGGCTATAAAGAAGAGATACATGCTAACACAATAACTTCATGGGTGAAGAATTGTGTAGCAAAGGCATTACAGTCTTTTCCCAAGCATGCTGAGCAGGTTTATAAGGTTAAAACTCACCAACTCAGAGCCTTATCAACTTCCATTGCTTTTGCGAAGAATTGCACTCTAGACGAGATTATTCAAGCTGGAAGATGGACTAACTTTAACACGTTCGCTTAATTTTACTTAAAGGAAGTGTCCTTGAAAGACTTCGAAGGCAACCACTTCATTGCTGCGAACAAAACTGTTTAAGTAAGTTTAAAAGTCTTATAGTTCATTATCCTACCAATAAAAGGTGGAAAGTTTTTTGTTATTCATATCCATTTATTTGTTATCAATAATTAAGATATGAATAACAAAGGAGTGTGCTTGGATAAATTATTTTCACTTGTTACTTTTAGTTTTGCGTTGCAAAATTATTTAACTTAATATCCTATGGTAAGGATAGTGATTCAAGTACGAATTCTAATCAGTTAATGCTGTTTTTGGAGTATTTTATTTTCTAAGCTAATATCCCTCCACCTGCTCTGGTGGGATTCAGCATATTGTAATGACATAATTGGTAAGTGATATTAATTTACGTAGTAAAATCCCAAAATTTTATGTAATTTTGGTTTTTATAAGTTAATTATACTTACCTATTATGTCATTACATCAAAAGCCCTCCCTTGCCACCCCGCTTATCAGCTTTAAAATAAGCGTTTCACCTAGTGAAAAATGAATGGTGCGCATGCGCAACTATGACGTAAAGTGGGCGGGGCTTCCGGGAAACCGAAAGTGAAAGTGAAAGTAGAAAATAATTGTTCCAATAAAAGGTGACTATGGTAGCTTTTAGCATATTGTAATGACATAATAGGTAAGTATAATTAACTTATAAAAACCAAAATTACATAAAATTTTGGGAATTTATATGTTTTAATTCAGAAATGTACAAGGTATATTCCGACCAAATTTCAGGATGTTTGGACCAATATTTACAAAATACCAGATACTTTTACCTTATTTATTGATCACCCTGTATCTTAGGACTTTTTCCTCATTTATTGATCACCCTGTATCTTAGGACTTTTTCCTCATTTATTGATCACCCTGTATCTTAGGACATGTCTTGATGAAGCAAGATGGAGAAAATGTGGATGTTCAAAAATATAACTGTCTAGTATCACTTGGTTCCTTGACACAGTCTATCTAAGACTGGTGTTTGTAGTTTCTAATAGGTAATTTAGGATACGCTCTATCCAAGCTTACTGATTATCCCACCAAATGAAGTTTGATTAGGGATGTAGAGAAGTCATCTGTCCTTATGTATGTATAGTATCTACATAGGGACTTGTTTCTGTAATTTACACCCTGGCTTTAATAAGGAAAAGCAAACTGAAAACTGGACTTTTGAAAGTATGTATTTTCCATTTGAACTGTTTATGACTTATGTTGACAGATTAGTATTATACAGTATCTATGCCGTGGTCTACATTTTGAATGTCATAATATTCTCTTACACTGGGTGGAAGTAGAATCGGTAAAAATAAGTGTAGCCAGTTCTCAGGCTCTGAGATTAACCTATGATAGTCAGTTTTGTGTCATAAACTAATGACATTTTGGGTAGTGGTGGCTCACACATACAATACACATACATTCACATAACACACATACAAATGGTGGCCATTTTTCAAAATGGCCACCATTTGTATGTGTGTTATTTTACATTTTTTATTATAACTCAAAAAGTAATAGAGCGATTTTGTTCATATTTGATATCTGAATACTCATGAGCATTGCATACTGTCTATGACAGTTTGGGTAGTAGGCGGCCATTTTAAAAAATGGCCACCATTTACATGTATGTGTGTGCGATTTTTTAGAAATTTTATATGTGGCTACTTAAAAGCATATTACTTCTTCTGATGAAAACTTGGCTCGTGAGCAACCACTTAGTTAATGGTGGCCTTTCTTATGTGTGTTAATTTATGATATTTGCTATACATTTCGTTTGTAAAAATGCCAGCCATTTCTGTTCGATGGGATTTGCTACGCTTTGGCGTTGCAGTTGTTCTGGTTTTCTTCTTCCAGTTGAGCTTTTGGCTATTCCAATTGGTTTACTTACCCCCGACTAAATTGTCATTGTCATTTGGGCCTATTTTATTTGTTTTAGCATACCTACTACATTGAGACATCAGGATATACTCTGTATGAAAAACCTCCCAGTAAATAACCTCTATATCTTCCCTTGAAATGTAATCATCACTACTCTAGTTCAAAAGCAAAACTAATTTATCAAGAGTAATTCAACATACTTTCACATAGGAAATGACTTGCTAAATTATTAATTTGACGATTATATTTAGGGGTCACTCTGTACTTTTGTTTAATAGTTTTGTTTTCAAGATCCTGACAAACTTTAAGGTCATGTTGTTCGAGACTGAAATTATCAATTTATGCTTTTAATTTACTAAGTGCATGTTCCTCTTGTATATAAATAGTGACATCAAAACTATAGATTGGTCTTTTTCATATTTTCCTTGTTATTTCTTTGTTTTGTCAACCTGATAATATGGTAATGGTTAAATGTATAAGATGTGCTATTTATATTATATTAAAAAGTGACCACATTATATTTGTTAACTTTTCAAATATGACTGTCCACTGTTCAAATTGGGAGGTGTTCACATTTGAATGTTTTGTAACATGGGGATGAGAGATTGTGATGTACAGTGTATATTGGAAAAGGTTTTCAGTTTCACATTGGGAGGCATTTAAAATGAAGATGCATTCTAGCACATATAGATATACAGGCCTTACTGTATATTGTTCCCTGTAAAATTAGCTTTCATGTGAGTTAGATTTTCAGCTTCTTTCCTACATATTTACATACATCTAAGATTTTACCATTTTGATCTTTCTAATCTGAAATCTTCTCACATTGTGAACATTGTACTACAAGAGGTACCCAATGATGAATAAATAGAGATTTTCAATCAAAATTACTTGTACAATAACTGGAAATAATTATAGTTCTTTGACAAAGTAAATATTTATTAATTTGCCATGTATTTAATTGACAGTAGAAGCCCTCATAAGAACTTCACAAAGTATCATTTCCCTCATTATCTGTGCTCCAGAAGCTTTTTTCAAAGGGTGCATTTTGATTCTCACGTATCGCCCAGTCTGGAAATATTCGCAGTGGTATGTTTGTCGTATGTAGCTCTGAGTTCCGTCAAACTTCAAGCACGTTTTCCAGATTGAGGCATCCTCGCTGACACCGATTGTGAAGTCGTTCAGAACTAAAATGAATGCAGTTTTTAAATAGAGTTTGTAATCTTGATGTTCGATGCAATTACGATGCAGTTTAACAACTATTGATGTATTGCAAAAAATGCCATTTGCAGCTTATGATAATTTGGTTTTAATGACTTGCAATCAGTGTCATTTGTACCCAGTGATATTTGGTATTTTTGAATTTAATTTTGTTTTGCAATCAATGCCAAATGCAGCACCTAAATATATGATATTTTGCAATTGATTATTATATTTTGCAAGCAGGGGTATTTCGCAACTAAAGAAGTGTTTCTCATTTCATTTTGAATGAATGACAAGTTTGTTATTATGATCATACCTCCCCCATCATCTCTGAAAACGATCTCCACTGCCTTTACAAGGAACCTTTGTTTTAAGTCTACTTCCCACCATGGCTCTAATTCAACCTTCGTTCTACTACAGTTACCTTAATATAATGAGTAAATATGAAGAGAACATTAAGTAGGAACAAGCCTTTTGTAGCCATATATAAATACATAAACTGATATAAATGTTATTCTTAATAAGTATAAATATGGGTAGAGATTAAGAAAGTCATCCAGAATCAAATGATTAATTAAATGAAAAATCAACTGATTCAGAATAATTACTCTTAACATTAACTACAACAAATCAACAAATTAAATTCTGATGTAAGAACGATCTTAGAATAATCTGAAATTTTTTTAGAATAAGACTCAAATATAATAGGCATTTTTAATACCTCTTGTATATGAAGCAAATTCATCGCCATCTACTGCTAGATTGGCTATACCTGGACGTGTCCCCCAATTCTGCGAAGATGATTGGACTGCCGGGTTACCCCTAGCAACATTTGCTGAAAAAGAAACCTTTTTCATGTAGTTTGGTTTTGAAAGATTCTATGGTTAATGTTGATTTTCACTATGCAAGTATGGAGATTAAATTTGACAATTTTGGCCAAAAATCATTTAGAAAGTGCTTGAAATAATGAGAACTGCATGATTTGAAAGAAGTTCAATCCCAGAAAATCCCCCTGTTTATGGGCCTGGACCCATATAAGTTATACTCAGCATACCTAGGATAACTGCAGGTGGATGAACAGTCCAGGGTACCAGTGGCTCCTCCTTCCATTCACAGTTCAAAACTGAAAAATGTACAAGATTATTGAATCAAAAGTGTTTAGGCAATATTAGTAAACAGGAAATATCACAAATTGTTGTTGTTGTTGTTGTTGTTGTTGTAGACTTATGGGATACCCCAACATTAGAAAGACCAAAACAATACCGTAGCAAGTTACCAACCTTATAACAATGAGATAATTAACATGCCAACGCTGAAATCAATTGGTTCCATACAGGATAAGCAATTAGAATGGTATATTATTCCAACCTGAGGTCCAGGAATTCAATACAGAATGTTAAGAATGTAGTGTACTGAGTTGTTTATACACGGCATTATACATAAAAACCAATTATTTTATAAACTTCATTTGCACATACTAAAGATGAAAATGATAGATAAAATACAAGATTTGTGATTTTGAAAATTATTTCTTTCATTGCATTCTTACGTATCAGTTTCTTACCTTTTTCTAGTTGTTCTAGCTCATTCAGGGTAGTAGCCCGAACAAACACCTCACACATCAACAATTCTCGCTTCTTTGGGGTTCCTCTTGAATCAGTTAGTAGGTTGAATCCAATCCTTACAAATCTAAATATAAATATATGTCATTGAGATTATGATGTATATAATAAATAGGTAGTAAGCTAGCACCCAAAAATGTATTAGTTCGTGAACAAATTGAAATTACTTGTTTCTTATGTATTTTTATGTGATACTTCAGAAAATGTTTGTCTGATGCGCCGTATCCGGGGCGAAAGTTGTCAAATTGGCGTTTTCGACCCTAAAATGGAAAATTACAGGGGGTACTTTATCATCATTGAATAAATCCTTCAGTTGGTCTTCAACCATCATAATAATTTTATGGGGAGTTGATTGGATCATGCTGAGGTAGTATGTTAAGGTTCAATCACCTGTCATTCATGGTTGCCATGGAAACCACAATTTTCATTGAAAAATCCTTAATTTTGGCCAAACCTGTAAAGGGACATAATATAGAATGAGGATTATTTTTCAAATCAACAGATATAAGAATATTTTAGCACACCCAAAATGGCCTGGGAAGTTCAAGCATTTGTTTAAGCATAAAGGATATTGCAATTTATATAATTGGTAAGTGTCAAAGACCATACTACTACATAAGTGATCAAAAGTGGGCGTCGCCCCCATAATAGTAAATGATTACCATTCTCTGAAAAGACAGAGTTTAACTTGACTGTTGCGATACATCTATATTGAAGTTCTTTAAATATACTTAATATCATGCATTTCTGGTAAATAATGTACATATAAGTGTAAAAGTTGTTGCATGGGGAGCGGAGGGGGGGGGGTGGTAGTAACAGAATTTGGAGGGGGCAGAGCTAATCAGCCTTAGTATAATTCTCATTTATATAGTTCTGGATATTCAAAGGTTACATCTTCTGGGTCTTCTTCATTTTCATTACAATATATAGGTACTACATTTTACATGATTGGTGTCAAAGACCATACCATTACATAAGTGATCAAAAGTAGGCATCATCACCTTCATAATAGTAGATGATTTCCATTCTCTATAAATACAGGACTTAAGTAGAATTTTCAATATATATATATATATATTTATCATTTATGCTTCTTTGATTATACTTAATATCAACCATTTCAGGTAAATAATGTACATCTCACTGGTGTCAGTTGAGAAGATATTTATAGTTTTCATTGACTTAAACTACTTTATAGTCGATGTAATACTTTGATATTTGAACTAAACCAGGCTTATATGGCATATACCATCGCTCGATACTGACCAGTGACATCTGAGTTTAATAGTTATTGCATGAGAGGCAGGTTGAGAGGGGGGGGGGTTAGTAATTGAAACTGGAAGGGGGCTCATAATACTTCATTCTGGATTTACTAAGGAACATGTACATATTGTAGGTCTTCTTCATATTCATCTCAATATATAGGATATTACAATAAACATGATAGGTAAGTATCCAAGACCAAACAATTACATAAGTGATCAAAAGTGGGAATCTCCCCAACAACTGTATATGATTCATTCTCTACAAACAGAGGTCAACTTGAGTTTTAAGATCATCCAGTGATCTCCCCAGGATTTCTTCTTAGGTGGGTACAAAATTTTCATTTTCACAATTTAGACCAAAATTGGTCAAAATATGCCAATTTTTCATGATTTCTCTAACTTTCAAGTGGGTGCATATGGATTTTAAGGTGGGTGCAAACCTATTTTCAAAATCTCAGGTGGGTACTGCGCCCACTTGCTTTACTGCTTGGAAGATCACTGTCATCTATACGTCATCTATACTTCTATTATTTAAGAAATATAGACTGAAGAGCAGGTGTTATATTGACAAATACACTCCACATGGCTATGCAAGGGAGTGAGGGGTTCGAAAACTTTTGTACCTAGCCCTAAGGGGTCATTGTCAATATCACACCTGCTCTGAGGTATATATTACAATTCAAACATGAAAACTCCCCAAAATTTTTCGAATATTCAACTTATGGTCTGCCATTACTACAGCCCTCTAGATGTCACACATTACTCGTATTACCAAGGGTAGTGTTGACATATATACTCCTGGTAAAATGTTGACTTTGTTCACAGTTTATAGAAGGCGTGAATACAGTCATGTTCAAATATAATTTATATAAACCATTTCTCATAAATATGTTTAGTAGTATAGTTTTTACATGAGGTTAGGGTGGGGAAGTGGTTTCAGACCTAGGAGGGAGCTCTACTCCCTCCCAATTATTCTGTTACTACTCCCATCTAGGGCCTGGCATAATATATGCAGCCTTCATACCTTCGCTAGATGAAGTAAGTGCCAGGCTTTGAAGGGGCAGGATAGCACATTTTAAAAAGATGGAGCACCATATTGAGTCCCAGCTGAATGACTCTCAAATCTGCAAGTGTTTAGTGGTATGAGAGATTGTTGATATATCAATATCATGCGATAAATCACAAGAATGAAAATGATCAGACTATGAGAAAGCTCATCTATAGTTGTTATTGTATTGCCATAACTAGACATTCTGATACTCATAGCATCTTTCTGTCTCACCTGAAGGGCTGGGAAGAAATAAATTTTCATGGTTTATCATGATGATCACTAGAAAGGATATGGCATTTCCCACCTGCTACACAGTAGATTTTTTCTTGGCATATTCTGGTCTTATTCAATTAAGTGTAACTGATATAGTTGCTTCTTGTTTGCATCCTTATTCATGAACTCATTCCAATCTTAAGGGACTCATGTATCTCTACATTTGATAAGGTGATGTGCCACCACCCACTTTTTCTCCTATCAGGTTCGTTTATAGAATTTTGGATTTAATTATCACATAATCACTCTGCTGTTAGAAGTATCTTGAAAAACATGTATTTTCTGCCAGCATCAGAAACAAAACAACCCATCAGAGAATCCATGAAATTTAGTATGATATTTCCTTAGGGCCCATATGGGCCCAGAGAGTAATATTGTCACAAGGAATAAACACATTTTCAATCCATCTCTCATGTGCATTGTAAAGACTACATATCTTTCATTTATAAGTCCTTCAATCAATGTGTTAGGATAAGCACAGAATACAGCAAAGTGTAGTGCTGGACTGCAAACAAAAGAAGACTGATTAATATAATAAAAAAACATTTATGTTAAGCGACAATGTCTTACACCAGCAAAACCACATAAACCAATTGAAATAAAAGTTTAGACCCCATAAAACAATCAAAGACTATAAAGGAACCGACATCAGTCTTCTTCCACCTTGTCAAGAGCTTACTACAAAGCACTTATCGTGCATATGGCCCATATTGTAAACCCTGACATTCCAGCAGAAGATGAACATGGATGGAAACTGAATGACTCCACCATTGCATTGGGTATTGACTGGTATTCTCAGACAAATGATTGTTGATATAGCACCAGGAGATGAATCAGAAAGACTCCAGAAGATGTATCTTATGAAATCCAGAACTCTGAAGATGAAATTGATACTTAATGCTGACTTGTTCCCCCCACCCCTCCAATTCTGTTACTACCCCCATCCCATACAATAACTATATACAGTATATTGAGATAACTAAGAAGACCCAGAAAATACTCTATGAAGAAGTCCAAAAGAAAGAATTTATTCCTAAGGCTGATTAACTCTGCCCCCTCCCAATTCTGTTACTAACCTCACCCCTCCTCATGCAATAACCATTGCACTGAGTTGTACATTATTTACCAGAAAATATAAAGTATAATCAAAGAAGTCCAATGTAAATGTATCTCAAGTCAAGATTAACTCTGTTTTTTATAGAGAATAGCAATCATCTACTCTAGTATGGGGGCGACGCCCACTTTTGATTACTTGTGTAATTGTATGTTCTTTGACACTGACCAATCATGTAAGTTGTTATATCCCATATACTGAGATGAATATGAAGAAGACCCATGCAGAAGATGTACCCCATGAAATCCAGATATATGTAGATGAGATTTATACTTAAGGCTGATTAGCTCTGCCTCCTCCCAATTCTTTTACTAGCCCCCCCCCCCCCCCCCTCTGTACCCCCCCCCCCTTGCAATAACTATGACACTTAGATGTACATTATTTACCAGAAATGCTTGATATAAAATATAATCAAATAAGTCTAGTGTAAATGTATCTCAAAAGTCAAGTTAAACTCTGTTTTTATAGAGTATAGCAATCATCTACTATTATGGGGGCGACGCCCACTTTTGATCACTCATGTAATTGTATGTTCTTTGACACTGACCAATCATGTAAATTGCAATATCCTTTATATTTAAACAAATGTTTGAACTGTACTGGTTATTTTGAGTGTGCTAAAATGTGCTGATATGTATTGATTCGAAAAATAATCCATATTCTACATGATGTACATGTTCAGGTTTTGCAAAATTAAGGATATTTTGAACGAAAATTGTGGTTTCCATGACAACCATGAGTGACAGAGCATTGGAATTTTACATACTACCTCAGCATGATCCAATCAACTCCCCATAAAATTATTATGATGATTGAAGACTAACAGAATGATTTATCGAGTGATGTTAAAGCACCCCCTGTAATTTTCCATTTTAGGGTCGAAAACGTCAATTTGACATCTTTCGCCCCGGATATGGCGCGTCAGACAAACATTTTCTGAAGTATCACATAAAAATACATAAGAAACAAGTAATTTCAATTTGTTCACAAACTAATACATTTTTGGGTGCTAGCTTACTACCTAAAACTGCTAAGTGGAACAGTTTTTAAAGTCCCGTGAACCCTGCACGTCATATTATTAAACTGAATGTCTGTAAGAAGTTTGTTTTAATTAATGTTTTTTATGAAAAAATAGACGATGATTTGGCACACAAGGACTTCATTCAATGTGGGATCCTCTGGCAAAGTTTTAATAATCATAGTCTTATATTGATAGAGTTATGGTTGTTTCAAAATATGCTCCAGATGTCGTCAATTTCGCTGAAACAAACTTGCAATGTTCAAGGAAAACTGTTCATAACACGGATGCATTCTTCCCCATGGGTATGGCTCAAGTTTTTGCAGCCATTGCTTGTTGGAGTTCTGCAATTGCGGGAGGGTTATTTTCATACACACTATCCTTTAAATAACCCTATATATAGAAGTCAGGGGCATTGAGATCAAGACTGTGGGATGACCATGGGTTCTCCGTCCTAGGAGAGATAATCTTCTCAGAGAAATGACTAGTGAGCCAGGCTATGCTATCATTAGAAGTGTGAGGAGTAGCTCCATCCTTTTAGAGCCACTGTTCTTGTCTATTGAAGCCTCTATGACACTTTAGAACTGCCTAGAACTTCTTGGGAACGCCAATATTGTGCTGTGTGTTAACAGTATCAGTGTTGCCATTATCAACCTCAAACCAAAAGGGGCTGATGATTTCATGTTTGGAAATTGGCAGCCCAAGCTGTTCATTTAACAGAATGAAGGGGCCTTTGAAGCACTTCATCTGAAATTTGTGATCCCAGAACACATTATTTCTTCAGTTTACATGTTCAGAAAGAAGGGAATGTGATTCATCCGAAAACCTAACATTGGAAATGGACGACATTTGGAGCGTAATTTGGAACGACCATAACTCTATCAATATAAGACTATGATTATTGAAACTTTGCCAGATGATCCCACATTGAATGAAGTCCTTGTGTGCCAAATTTCAGAGCAATTAACCTCCATTTGAGAAAAATATTGAAGAAATGGAGGGTTGCATTTTTTTGGGTCACCCTGTATGTTTACGTCCATAGAGTACAATAAGAAGGTTGATGTTCAATTATCAACAGAATAACCAAGTTAATTTTATTATGATTTGAACCTCCCCTCTCCTCATATGACAGATTTTTAAAATGTTGATTTGTCTTTCACTTGAATGTTAAAAAGGTAAACACTATTTGCTGACTAAACCTATATCATTTACCCTCTCCCCTAATGAAACTATTTTTGTTATTTGAGCCTGGCCATAGGAAAACCGGTCTTATCACAAAAATTGAAATTGTGCTATAGAGGCAAAAATGTGCCCAAGATTTAGAGGAAAATGTGCTAAATTCTAAGACTTATTGGTTTATATATGCAAGGAAAAATTGTTAAGACACAAGCCATGGCTCATTTGAAAGGTCTCTTTGTGCTTTTTAAGATAAACAAAAAATCAGAATATTGAAAAAATTGTGATAAGACCCCTTTTCCTGTGGCCTGGCTCATTTTATAAATATTGATAATTGGATACCATCACTAAAAGAAATAGAAATTTAAACACCCTAACACTTTGTTATACTAATACATACCTCCCAGAATGGAACTCTTTACAATGATAGGTCTGTACAAAGTAGCTTTGAGACCCCTTGAACTCTAAACAACTTTCCCATCTGGACCCATCCTTACTGACACTTATCGTGAAATCCTTCATTAGATCTGTCGTCATCATGAAAAATGATGTCAACGATTAAATGTGGGGATCATTGTGGATGAAGTCAGAAAAAGAAATGAAAGAGTGATACAATTTGTTTTCTCAGGTGTCTCAAATAAACTTTCATTGAGTTGAAAAAGTTGTTTCCTATAACAATTTTAACTTGTCAGTTATTGGATGATCATCAGATATGTATGTTAATGTATCCTTAGTATAATGCTTACAGTGATCTCCCCGGGATCCTTTCTCAGGTAGGTGCTAAATTCTCATTTTCTCAATTAAGATCAAAATTGGTCAAAATATACCAATTTTTCCTGATTATTCTCATTTTCAAGTTGATACAAATGAATTCTCAGGTGCCCACTTACTTTAATGCTGGGGAGACCACTGACTTATATATTAAACATAAAGTACAGTTAAACCTGTGTATCTTAACACCTCTCTAATCTGAACACCTTCCGATATGAACATTTTTACCTAGTTCTTATCTCCCATTGGCTCAAATTATTAAAAACCTTGAAATATATGAACATTTGCTAATCTGAACAATTTTGTCTAGCATCATTCAGATAAGACAGGTTTAACTGTCTCGGAGAAAAATTAAACTTTTAAATAACAAATTGTTCTTTAAATGGACAAAATCAACTTGCCATTAAATTCATCAGTTCTGTAGACAATTTCAACAGCTTTGATGAGGAACTGTTGCTTCAAATCAACCTGCCAATGTGGGGTATACTCTGCCTTTGTCCTGCTACAGTTCCCCCTGTGGTACTCGGGAAAATCATCTCCATCAACGGCAAGGGAAGCTATTCCTGGTCGTGTGCCCCAATTTTGAGATGACGATTGGCTGGCTGGTTTCTTAAGAGCCACGTTAGCTTTGACAAAATGAATAAAATTAGTATAATGTATGTAACACATTGCCAATGTATGCAGATCAACCGAAGATAGCCCATGAAATTCATTTTGGGTCAGGGTTAAGGTGTAGGGTTGGCATAGAGTGACGATTTGGGGTTAGGGTTTGAATTGGGATTAGGGTTGGGTTTAGGTTTTGGAATAGGGGTTATAGGGTTTAGGGTTAGAATTTGGATTAGGATTGGGGTTAGGAATAGGTTAGCATTATTTGGGCCATCTTCTGTTGCGATTCAAAAATCATTACTGTATGATAAAAAATTCAAGTTAAGCTCGCACCTCAGTTTTGCACTTCTTATAAAACATATGGCTGAATTCAACTATTATTGTGTAGAATTCACCAGAATTAAATCTATTATTGAAATACGTGTTCCTATGTATTTCATCTTTATTTTATACAGTGGTATAATTATTTCCAGAGTAAAGAGCAATTGCACTTTTGCTATCATTGTTTGAAAAATGACAATTTATGAATAGCAGTGCAATTGATTTCAATAAAGCACTCTGTATTTTCAATCTAATATCAGCTGTCTAATTAAAATTGACATTTGGTATATTTTTATGAATGTTTAATCTAACACAGGCCATCACTGAATTAGAAAGAATAAAACTTGTACTTGTACAAGTGAAATTAATTTGTTTAATAGTCAATGTAAAGGTTTACCTAAAAGATGCGTTCGTGGATGATGATTCCAAGGAATAAAGTCACCTTTGATTTCATTCAAACCTGAAATGCATTTTTAACATACATGTGCTCGTTAGAGTCAATATTGTGAATCTTAATCTCACAATGCACAACCATCAAACATAATATAAAATATTTTTGAAAACCCCATTTGTTAGAAACTTAATGAAAATATATTAAACTTAATAATAGATTATTTATTTCCTTAATAAAGAATATTGTACAACTTACATTACACAAAGTGGAAGACCCCCTTTTGGGGAAATTATCCACAAAATAGGAATTTCCAAAATGACTTGATTTAAGTTGTTTATCCTTCCCCCTCCATCTTGGAAATCTGTGAACTGTGAAGGAAAAACATTTGATCTGATTTGAATATATTAGGATTGAATCGACAATGTTACCCTTTTCTATGATGATCATTTCTTCTCTTAGTAGGTTCTTTATGTCATCAACGTTATCATCTGTAATGCCACCTGTATTGCCTCCTCCAGTCGCTGGTGTTGTTGGTATCTTACTGATTTTTTCAAGGATGTTTCTCAGTTGATTTTGAACATAAACTGAGCTTCCACAAGTTGTGTTAGTTCCAGTCGGAATTCGAATTTTGCTGACCTCTTCTCGGATTAAACTTTTGATGATGTCATCCATAGTTGAACCAGTTGACGGGCAATTCTTATCGAGATCTGATAATTAGAATATTTATTCGTCTATTCATAAGCATCATTAATTTAGGTCATTTTGTATTGTAATTTAGGTCATTTTGTATTGTAATTTGGGTCATTTTGTAAAAAAATCTATGACTACTATATAACAATATAAATATAGAATCTCTTGCCTTATGGGTATATATAAATAATTTGAGAAAAGAGGTATATATAACTAACTATTGCTGGACCAGTGACCCCAAGTGGATTAAATATAAAATTAGACATTTTAGTGACATCCTCCACGACCACTCTAATTATGAATTGGTTTCTGTGTAAAGCCTACCAGATTTTGAATTTTTCAATGCGGTATCTCTACCTGTTTCCCCAAGTTGAATATTTTCGAGTGCATGTTCCAACATGGTTGCAACTTGTTCTTCGAGACTAGAGTTGAGGCATTGCATTCCATCTTCACCTCCAGCTTTTGTAAGGTTGGCCAAACCCTTGTGGAATAACTTCAGTTCATCATCTAGAGTGTTCTCAATACTTGCCTTTATGCCTTTTACCTTTTCAAGTACAGATTTGCAAGTTTTTCCTAAAAGGATGTCAGATTTGTATAAAACTGAACTGTAGCCTATATAATAACTAGGGATGTCAAAGGTCAGATATCTTTCGGGTCTGGTTGGGCCAGAAAAAATGTATGCTGGTCAGGTAATTTTGAGTTGGGTCAGGAGAAAACAGAAAGGACGATTCTCGGTTTGGAGAACAGTCTCCTGGGCTAATAATTTTTTAATGAAAAATATAGAAATATTACCCAAATTAACCTATAAATATTCAAAAGAGGACATTTAAATCTACAAGATGTAAAATTTACAAATTGGTCTGAAGCAGGGATAAAGTTCAATTTGACCGATTCAATAAAATACAAGTCTCGATTTGGGGGAAAAAGTTCATCAGTGTACTGTGCTAATATTTTTTCGCGAAAAATCTAGAAATATTACCCAAATTAGATTATGACTGTTCAAAGGTAGACATTCAAATCTATATTATGTAAAAAAAATCAAATTTGTCCGAAGCAGGGATAATGCTCATTTAGATTGATGAACTTCGTTCTCCAAACCGAGAATCGTCCTTTAGCATTAAATCATTTGGGAAGAACTGTAAACTAGTCCCTTAACTCCTGATTTATAAGTATTCAAGAATAAGGCAAGCCAAACGCTTGAAAATTTGCAGCAAAAATTTAAGGATAACTTCCGAGTGTTTTGACCTGACCCGAAATTGGTACGTTGTTGTTCGTGACCCAACCTAAGATTGGGATCGATGTCGCATCCGTGTGACCTAACGCTAAAGGTAATGTAAAACCAGAACAACTTGCATATATTGGGGACAAGAAAAAGCTTCTTTGATAAATGTGTCACGGGTCGTTTAAAATGTATATAGTCTGAACCTTAGATCCAATAACATGTTTTAGTTACTATGCCTATGAAAACTCATAAATGCTTTATATGTATTTAAATGTCTGGAAGAACCATGAACACTGTATTTGTGTTCCCCTGTATCAAAAATGATTCCAATAATTAAATAGAAAAAATATAAACATGCTGTACATTTTATATCTTTGGCCTCATTTGGTTTTTGGAAGATCTGCATTTTATGTATTTCAATTACGTATTGGTAATGGGTTGTGAGTCTTGAAATGAACCATTTACAACAAGATTATTGCATGGAATTGTTAGATGTATGAAATATTTTGTTTAGGGAGAAGTCAATCTTTGACTACCTCTCTAATTAATATACTTTTTTAAAGTCAGTTTCTAGTTTTTCCTGTTATCAAAAAGTTTATCAATTTTGCCAAATTGATGTCAAGCCCATTTGTACATGTGCAGCATATGTTTTTTTTTTAATTTTTACAATCTAAATATATTTCAGGAATTATCAAATTTTTAATCATAGGCTTCTATAAATAAATAAGTATGAACAAATAATTATAAGCAAATAAATTGATATATAGATAAATGAATAAATTAGTAAAAAAAAACTTACCTGCTCCGGCAGATTTGACATCAGGAATAACTGATAATGTTAGAATTAAAATCAAAAGCTGCTTCACCATATTGTCTGTTGCTTTATTTGCAGCGTTATAAGTGCTACGTGATATTTTCTGGTATTGTTTTTATGTTTATAAATGCAACTACATGGTGGGCCAAAAAACATCTATATTTTTAGCTCATATAACTTTTTTATGTCACCACCAAAAATGGTGACATATTGTTATGGTCTCCGTTTTTTGTGACGGCGGTTGGTGGTTGGAGGTTGGCGTCCGGCGTCTGTAACAATTTCTTACAACTTCCTATAACTTAACAAATACTGTTTAGACTGACTTCAATTTTTTTCTAAATCATCTACATGTTCTCAGAAGTTCAAATCTGACTTTAGATTTGACATTTGACCTTCAATGACCTTCTCAAGGTCAAAAAGGTATTTTTTCAACTTGCTTCACATTGACTAAATTTTTTTTCAAAATCATCTACATGTTCTCAGAAATTCAAATCTGACTTTAGATTTGACTTTAGATTTGACATTTGACCTTCAAATCTGACTTTAGATTTGACATTTGACCTTCAATGACCTTCTCAAGGTCAAAAAAGGTCAAAAAATTCCTTTTTGCAACTTGCTTTAAATTGACTAAAAAAATTTTCAAAATCATCTACGTGTTCTCAGAAATTCAAATCTGACTTAAGATTTGACATTTGACCTTCAATGACCTTCTCAAGGTCAAAAAAGGTCAAAAAGGTCTGTTTTCAACTTGCTTCAAATTGACTAAAAAAAATTTTCAAAATCATCTACGTGTTCTCAGAAATTCAAATCTGACTTTAGATTTGACTTAAGATTTGACATTTGACCTTCAATGACCTTCTCAAAGTCAAAAAAGGTCAAAAAGGTCTTTTTTCAACTTGCTTCAAATTGACTAAATTTATTTTTCAAAATCATCTACATGTTCTCAGAAATTCAAATCTGACTTTAGATTTGACATTTGACCTTCAATGACCTTCTCAATGTCAAAAAAGGTCAAAAAGGTATTTTTTCATCTTGCTTCAAATTGACTAAATTTTTTTTTCAAAATCATCTACATGTTCTCAGAAATTCAAATATGACTTTAGATTTGACATTTGACCTTCAATGACCTTCTCAAGGTCAAAAAAGGTCAAAAAGGTCTTTTTTCAACTTGCTTCAAATTGACTAATTTTTTTTTCAAAATCATCTACATGTTCTCAGAAATTCAAATCTGACTTTAGATTTGACATTTGACCTTTAATGACCTTCTCAAGGTCAAAAAAGGTCAAAAAGGTCTGTTTTCAACTTGTTTCAAATTGACCAAATTTTTTTTTCAAAATCATCTACATCTTTTCAGAAGTTCAAATTTGACTTTACAAGTTCTCAGAAGTTCAAATCTGACTTTAGATTTGACCTTTGACCTTCAATGAGGTCTTTTTTCAACTTGCTTCAAATTGACTAAAAAAAAATTTCAAAATCATCTACGTGTTCTCAGAAATTCAAATCTGACTCTAGATTTGACTTAAGATTTGACATTTGACCTTCAATGACCTAACTAGGTGGTGACATTTTGTCATGTTAATGCCTTGTTGAAAATCCTTGGATTTCAATAAAATTCTGGCTGGAATTGCAGGAATCAATTTTACAATTGTTCCCGAAGTGGGATGAATCTTAAAAAATTCACCCTGTGAAGTGAAACGTATATATAACTTAGCAGGGAAGAATAGAAAAAATCAACTTTTGTTACCTTTGCAATGATTTTTTTTAAAATATGGTCAAATTGAAGCAACTTGAAAATCGACGTATTTTACCATTTTTTACATCAAATATCTCAAAAAAGATATTCATTTTATCGAGACATATAGTTGGTGGTGTCCAATGAAAGATAAAGTACTCATTAATCCTTTGAAAATACTATAAGGTCAAAAGTAGGTCTTTATTTTGCCAAAAAATGTTGAAAATATACATAGTCAGCCTAGAGAAAACATATGCCTAAATGTTTTAGAACAGATATATCATTTGAAGTTTTTTTTTCTCCAGTATGAATTCTATAATATACATGAAAATTTGAAAGATTTGACTTTCTTCTTCATTTGCTGCTCTCTGAAAACCACTTGTAATTTTAGGAGTAGCCAGGTATCATAGTAAAAAAAGTAATATAGCTCTTTTTGTTCATATTCGATATGTGAATACTCATAAGCATGACACACAAGTTTTATGACACTTTGGTTAGAATGCGGCCATTTTGAAAATTGCCCCCATTTTTGCGCGTGATATTTTACGTTTTTTACTATAACTCAAAAAGTAATAGAGCGATTTTGTTTATATTTGATATGTGAATACTTATAAGCATGGCACAATGTTTTATGACACTAGTTTTGAAAAATGGCTGCCATTTACATGTACATAGTGTGTGTGATTTTGATGAAATTATATATGTGCCTACTTAGAAACATATTATAAGTGAGTGACAATTTCTGGGTGGTGTTCGGCAGTTAGAATTTGGCAGTTGGTATTCATAGTTCGGCAGTTGGTGTTTCTTACTGTATCTGTAACAAATGGCAGGTGGTGCCATTTTGTATGTTAATGCCTTCTTTACATTTGTATTCACACACTGTTTACACCTTAAAATTGCTGATGCATGGATGTACAATTATTGCACATCAGGTTTTCTTCAAAATACAAATATTATTAGATTGAGAGTTCACTTCTGGGTAACCAGACAACTCATCCCCCAGACCACTCATCTCTTGACAACCCACCCCTTGACAACTCATCTTCTGGATAACTCATCCCTTAGACAACTCATTCCCTGGACAGCTCATCCCCTGGGCTACTCATCCTTTGGCACATTTGAGTCATTCAATGTTATATTATCAATTCATATTTGATATCCAAATGATTTTTAAATGTTTTGGCTATGAATATGATCAGTTTTGAGTTTCAAAAACATGGAGGGGAAATTTAGAAAATTGTTTAAAAAACTATGGTGTTGTCATGGAGATAGACCAATAAATCTGTGATTTGTTTTGTAAATATTTACTTTTAATTTTACTTTTAATATACAATTCCAGTATTATATTATTATTGATTGAAGAAGCTCCTTTGATGTTCTAATATGTTTGTTGTCCATAGCTCTTTAAAACTTTTTTTTTGTCATGAACTATTGAGTCATGTTATATAAGGACAAGAGATGATGGTTTTACTGGCAATGTTTGTCTGATACCAAATAAGTATACTCATAATTTTATATCAATAAAACGAAAAATAATATTTTGAAAGATCAAAGGTGTATTTATTTAATATTTATTAACTTAATACAAATGAATGTACAAATGAGGCTACAAAGAATGTCCTCATAAATGACCTAACAAATAAATTTTTACATATGACAAACAACTACAACTAACAAACATATAAGGAACCAAATTATGAAGGAACATGTAAATGAAACAAATGCATCTTAACATCTTATCATTCCAGTACACTCTAGACATTTTCTGATTTTCAATATATTTGACAGAATATTTAGAAATAAATATTTTCCACTGTTTCAGCCATTTTCCAGAAATATGAATAGAATATTTATTGGTACATTCACACCACCAAGAATATTATATGATTTAACACTAGACTACTATATACTACATAAAATATATGCCTAACTGTAAAATGTAAAATATGTGTTACTACAAAATGTTTTTTTGCGCAGCAGGATTCAGCCTTTTTTAATTAAGTATTACTTTCTAATATTCGAAAGGCATCACTAATATATTTTGCAACCTTGATGCAATCTTGATTCATACAAGTTAAGAGGTATATAAATTGATTTGTGTGATTTTGCTGTATCAGATAATTCAGTTTGAAGTAATACTCTTTCATTTTGATATTTTTTACATTTCATTATAAAATGATGAAAATAATATTGCAATGGACACACAGTCTTTCTTCAATTGGGGTTCTCTTTGGTTTTGTATATCTCCCTTGCTTGATTTGGAGGTTGTGAGCACTTATCCTCAAACGTAAGGTGTTTTACAAAAACCAATCGGTGACTAAAATCGCCTTTCGATTTAAAGCGTTTTCTAGTGACTAGGGTCTTATAGTGCTGATACAAAATAATAGAGGGTGAGTTTTCAAACTAAACAGAGTGCTCCTACTAAAATGGATTTGCCTACATACCCCTGAGACTCTTATCTGATAGATAGAATGTACAAATAAAACAAGTTTTGCTATTATAATAAAATCACGAGCAAAAAACATGGCACACATCGTGCGCATGCACATTAAATTTTAAATCAATCAGATTATTTGATTATTTTCCGCAAATGAATTATTTGCTTCTGAGCACTTACCATTACAAGCTAACCACAATAAACAAACCTAGCAGAGATTACTCTAACTTCATTTTATCGAAATTTCACCTTAAACTCGTGACAAATGCATTATATTATGCATACGCTGGTATGAAGCCTTGGAGACACTCATTTTGGTAAATATGATTCATGGTATATACTTCTCTGCAGTTTGGGGGAATATGGGACATTAAATGTTAAAATTCAAGAATATATGCCAACTATAAGACTTATCAATTAATTTGTATCAGCACTCTAGGAGATTTTGTGATTTCACCTATTTTTCAAACTGGGTTAAAACCTAAAGCACCTTTCTAAAACGCATGGTGTAATTCCAGCAAATGTGTCTCAGTTTCAATCAGGTTTAAGTACATTCTGACCAATTGTATCTTCATACTGACCTCATTTTTGTGAAACATGCCTTTATGTAACATTCAAAGTTTTTTTCCTCTAGTATGGATTTTATGATGTTTGTTAAGATCTGACTTTTCTAAAAATCTTTTAGAACAAACATTACATTCGTAGTTCTTTTCCCCAGTATGAATTCTGTAATGTTTGGTAAGTGTAGACTTTTGTGCAAATGTTTTTGAACAAACTTCACATTTGAAGTTTTTTTCTCCTGTATGAGTTCTGAAATGTGATTTAAGATTGGTCTTTTGTGCAAATGTTTTGAAACAAATATCACATTTGTAGTTTCTTTCTCCTGTATGGGTTATATAATGTATGTTAAGAGAAGATTTACACATAAATTTTTTGGAACAAATATCACATTTGAAGTTCTTTTCTCCAGTATGAATTCTATAATGTACTTTAAGTGTAAATTTACGAATAAATGTTTTAGAACAAACATCACATTTGAAATTATCTCCAGTATGAATTCTATTATGTGAGTTAAGATCAGTCTTTTGTGTAAATGTTTTAGAACAAACATCACATTTGTAGTTCTTTTCTCCAGTATGAATTCTATAATGAACGTCAAGATATGACTTTCTTGCAAATGCTTTGGAACAAACATCACATTTGAAGTTCTTTTCTCCTGTATGAATTGTATAATGTGAGGTATAATGAGCTTTCTCTGAAAATGTTTTAGAACAAACATCACACTTGAAGTTCTTTTCTCCAGTATGAATTCTATAATGGACGTTGAGATGAGACTTTTGTGCAAATGTTTTAGAACAAACATCACATTTGAAGTTCTTTTCTCCAGTATGAATACTAAGATGAGCATTAAGATTAGACTTTCTTGAAAATGTTTTAAAACAAACATTGCATTTGAAGTTCTTTTCTCCGGTATGGATTTTATAATGTTCCAGTAGTGCAGACTTACATTTCCACACTCTGTGGCATATATCACAAACATGTGCTCCTTTATGGCCATTTTCACATCTCTTAAGACCACTTGTAATAATTTCAGCCCCATCATTCATCAAAGAAGTAGAACTATTTGTCATACTTTTAGCAGTATTTTTCCTGTCAACATTAATCATCACACCATCAGCATCACCATCAGCATCACCATCAGCATCACCGTCAGCATCATTTAGCCCATCATCAGCATTATATCTGATAGTTTTGGCATTAGTTATCACATCATCAGCATTATTCACCCCACCATCAGCATCATTTATCACACTTTTGGCATGATGTATCATTTCATCAGCATTATTTACCATACAATCAGCATCGTTAATTACATCACCAGTATTAATGATCTTGCCACCGTAGTCCATGATACTTGCCATAATAAAGGTAAATACCAAATGTTGTTTTCCTAATTTAAGTGTGAATAAGTTCACTGGTCCAATGTCTGCCTCAATATTCCAATATTTATAAAATAATACAAGTTTTAGAATAAAGTAAATACATTTATTTAATGATGGCCTTATGAACTTTCTAGAATATCAGAATTCCCTGATTATTCAGTATTATTATGCTGTAGTATATGGAATCTGTGCTAGTTCTTGTGTCACTCTATAAAACAGTTTGATGTCCAAAGCATCTTTTCCTATTAAAATATCATTCCAATGCCTTACACGTATATCATGAAATGAGCACTATTTTTGTAACGCCTTATTAAACACATACTCCTATGTAGTACTAAACACTGGCTCAGTATTTTCCTGGTATCATCTTAATATACACTGTAGTTCTATTCCTGGTGTTATTAGAATCACTTTTTTAGTTCTAAGTAAACATTATTTTCAGTATTTTCCTGGTGTCTTTGATTTATATATAGCCCTTCTCCTCATGTTATAAGACATGTTAGAAGCACATGCTAAGTGTAGAACTGTATTATGTTGTAGTTTCTCCAATTATACATACTAGTATTACCAATTTTAATTCTATTTGTTGTTCAAATAAGCTTATATTGAACTTACTATGAGGTATTTAGTGAACCATTGTACCCATTACTGTAGAATTCTTTAGATTAGCTAAGATAAACATGTAGGTAATATTAACTTGAGTCTCATTTTGTTGTTGGGCATTTATCCACATTTAAACCACACTTAGGTAGCAACACAATAGTATGAACTGTGTTTTATTTTTAAGAATACCCAGCTATAACAAAGAGGAGTGCATTATTTTTCTATTGTTCTAAGAATGTACAGGGTGTCAAAAAACAACGGCACCCCCCTCTACAGCAAAAGGTACTTAATGTTACATGGTGTGTCATATCTCATTTTAAAGACAATTTAATTCTGGAGTTACCTGAGAAATATCATCTTTATATCATATAATTTTACAGATTTACAACTGATTCTTAGTAGTTGGTATGACCATCAGTTGCTGCTCGAGCAGCAGCTTATCTGGATGGATATGATTTCAATAAAAATTCAGATAAAGGTTTAGCATTGGATAATCCTCTTAGCACTTTCCTCACATTGTTTAGAATTACATCCTTAATGTATCTTTTTCCAAGAGGCTCTTTTTCCATCAATTCCTATACCCTGTTTTTCAGAACTGAGCCCATATGTTCAGTGTTGTTGAAATCTGGGCTAATTCTTTCATATTGCACTTTCTTAAGATTTGACCTTTAACCAGTAACAGAGCAGCAAACAAAGTACCGAAGTAGCAAACGTTGAAACAATGTAGCTTTTTTTAAATAAAGTTTTATTAAATGAAATTTGATGAGTAACTCCAGAATTAAATTATTTTTCAAATGAGGTATGACACGATATGTAACATTAAGGACTTTTTGCTGTAGAGGGGGGTGCCGTTGTTTTTTGACACCCTGTATACTTGGCATTAGTTATCAAAAACCTTTTGTATTTTGTTCAGAATTGTATTCAATTTTGAAGAAAACACTCATCGACTGGGCACCGGTATGGAAAATCGGAGCAAATGTGACCATGGCATATTAGTATACCCTTTCAATAGTTAAATAGTAAACACAAAAGAAACAAACTTAAAACTATACATGCCTTGTTAAATGCAGTGCCCTGAAGCTGAACTAATACACCCACTCACTTCTCAATACACTTACCTCATACTCATAACAAAAGAAATCAATCTTTCCTAAAATTGGATCATGGACCACTTACCTTTGATAAGAGTCAGTGCACGTTGTGTGGTTTAAGTTAGATGAACAATTTGTCTTGGGTCTTAGGCGCTTTGCCCCTTGGCCATTATTTTTTCTAATCCCCAAGACTCATTGTCTATCCATTACTTAAAATTCAAGTGCAACAAAATATCTGTCGAATAGCTTATACGAGGTGTGATCCAAAAGTCTTGGACGCTCAACTCTAACTTTGCTATTTTCTAATATACTGGTAATTACATATTGGAGCAAAAAGGATACCAGAATGAGGTTTGCTTATAGTGCAGGCTACCTATGAGCCAAATATCAACTTGACCCCCGCACCCAGTATAACAAGTCGTCATGGGTATCAAATTGTTCGTCTTGTTGAGTACATTACAAAAACCAATTTTGACAGATTGAAATATGGGTCAGATTCGATAAATATGACATAATGTTATGTAATCTATTATTATGACATAGCATTTTTTGTAAAGCATTTTTGAGGAAATGATGAAAAGAAATCATGGGCTAAGCAAATATTAATTGTGTATATACTTTAAAATAAATTTTAATAATTATCAAAAATACTTTGGACTTAGAATTATGTAATTATTACATAATTTCCATTGTTTTATGAGTAAAATTACAATTTGAATTGCCTTCGTTTTAAGATAACAGAATTTTTGTTCTAAATGATATAAACCTCCTGTGCTAAACTAATTCAAGCAATAATAATATCTTATTATGAGTACAAACCTTTATAAAAATACTTAATCTTATTGTAAACAATATATGTCATGCATATGTAGCAGCAAATAACAGTACGTGAACGGTGTATTAAGACACAATGATAATATCATTAAACATTTATTCAGATAAACTTATCCAAATATTCATACATATAAAAATCAGGTAACTGTTATGATCATTTTAAACATGATAAATATCAAGTTTTTACATAAGGGCTTACATCTTTCAATAGAATCATTATATAATATGAAGATGTGATTATTTCAAACATCTTTATTCTAAACATCTGGATATGGTTTTTCCTCAACCATCATTGTGTTTTGGCAATTACCCACCTCACAGGAACAGATAGACATGGACAATAATCCTGCAAGTAGGCATCTACAAGCCTGATTAGTGCGAAATCCATCTTTACAATAGATTTTGGTAAGATCCCTTAATTCAATGGGGGCAGATGCTCTCAAAATCATCTTAGGAACCAGACTTCCATCAAAAAAGTAGCATTCGGTGCCTTCTGGTTTCCAAAGTTTGGGCTTTGCTATGTGAGCACTATGTCCAGATTTGACATTGGGGGTGTACTCCATATACTCTGCACTGTAAGAGCCAGTTGCTGTTATGGTCATTAGCCTTCTTTTTTGAAAACTTCCAGCTAAGATGATTGATTCATCACTTTTTATTTTTTGTCGCATTTTGCACACCTGACTTGCACATTTTGTTAGAAATTAGCAAGATTTGCCTTATTTTACCATTCCTAAGAAACCATCTATAATTTGGGCCCACAAGACTACATATCTTGCGCACATCATCTTCATAATTTTCGACTCGCTTTGGTTGGCATTCTTCATGAGGTTTTTGAGTTGTGTCGAATGTACAGATTGCTCACAGATTCTGCATAGTCGCTGGCGATGTGACAATGTGACTTTACCACCTCACCGATAGACCTGGTTTTCTTACAGATGTTTACAAATATCTTCTGCAGACTTACATCAGCCAGAAACATGCTTCACTTTCCATCTCGATTCACTATACTGGAAATAAGGCTAGGGTTGCTGTCAAGTGCATATTTCCAACTCATTGTCATATTCTATACACGAGATGGTTGAATAGAATCTTTTGTGCTTTGTTGTACAGGGTGGTCAAAAAATGGAAACCCTGCATTTTCCTCATATCTTTGTCATTTTAAAACATTACTCCCTCATATTTCACACATTTGTACATCATTCACTATTATACAACCCTACTATATTTCATGACCATCAGACCAATAGTCACAATTTTACAGCACTTTAAACAACATGCTTCAGGTTTGGGCATTATCACGCTGTAGTCAAACCTGCACAATTGTAAATGATCCAAATGCATTCTTCAGCAGATATGGCCTGAATGACACGAATGATCTCACTTTTGAGGTCTGCAATTGTCCTAAGGTCATTCTAATACACTCTATTTTTGCCGTATCCCCCCACAAGTAGGGACATTTTGGACTACATGTGCAGGTTTGCTGAAAGCACAATAGTGGCCACTGGGGCATGTTCTTTAAAGTGCTGTAACATTGTGACTATCAATCTGATGGTCATGAAATATAGTAGGCTGGTAGAAAATTGAATTATGTACAAATGTGTAAAATATCAGTTCTTAAAATGACAAAGATATAAGGAAATGGCGTAAGGTTTTTTTACCACCCTGTAAATGGCCTTTTTGGGCCTTCTGATTGTCTCATATGCCTCACAAGTCTCCACATCAGGTCAGATTTTATTATACTGTGGTAGAAACTGGACGTTGTCATCATTTCTATATTTTCCCTTGATGAAATTGCATTCGGTGTTGGTGTCACTTTTGGTTTAACTCAACAACCTTTGGTTTTCATAGTTACATATATCTGTGTCTTCCAGCGAAATCTTGTTTGTTTTTCTGTTCGGCTCCTTGTTATCATTATTATTTTCTTATCGTTTATACAAGACCATGGCCATAGGATGTGTTGATCCTTTCCCATCAATAGTGTCTTCGTTTTGATCAAAGTTATCGATTGCAGCATCCACTAATAAAACCAGCATTTCCATTATCGGCAGGTTTTTCAATACCACTGCGTTTTTTTTGTATTTTTACAAAAAAGGTGGCCATTTTAAATTGAGGAGTCATATTGATAATTCCTTCTCCAGCAGAGGTCCTACACCCATAAGGCATAACCTTGAAAGTCTGAATTTAAACCGTTTCTATCAATCATTGAATACTGATTGTTTCAACTAAAAGGAAAAACCATTGTACAATGATAAGCAATCATTGTGCAACCATTGGGTTCAACCAAGTGAAGTCAACTCTTTTTCAACGACTGCGCAACCGTTTCTTTACAATCATTGTAATCTGCAACCATTGTAAACTGCAACCATTTCACATTGAAGTGTAAATGGTTGCAATATGTTTTGTTCAATGGTTACAGAGTTCAACCCCTGCAACCATCCTGAATTAGTATCGTTCCAAAAAATTATCATTTTACCTGAATTAAAATTATCTTTTAGTAATGATTTGAATTTACCTCTATTCAACAACAGTATATTAGTATATTTTTTCTGAAAACATACATGCATGTTTATTATGGTAAATTACTAAATTTAGTATACTATGGTACGTTTCTTTCTCTAGTACGGATTTAGGAATGGGATACCAGACTAGTTTTCCACTCAATGCCATATGATAATGATGTATCTTTAATGTTAATTATGAAAAGAATCAAGCAAAATTCCAATTTGGTTAAGAAATTGACCAAGTAAAATCTTAAGATTTTAAACTTAACAAAATCACGTGATTCACCTAAACACACTTACGGACGGAAGAGTGGCTTTTCCATATTCCTCAAACTCCGTTTGGTGGGATAACAAAGTATTAACTAAACTAGCTACAAATAACCTTTTGTTGAATGCATTCAGCAAGACAATCCTATCTGGATGGCCATAAGTTCTGCATAGTGTGGCTGATAAAACGGTTACTGTATGTCAAATAGATGTATATATTGTGTATATTGTGTATATATTACATAATATTATATCCTCATATTAATTATGTTTACAAATTGTGAAAATAGAATTGTGCTATCACATCCTTTTATTCATTTTTTGTATTTGTTCAAGTTAAACCAGTTTATTGCATTAAAGCGTGTCTTGCAACGTCTAATTTCACATTTTTTTACATTATTACATAATAATTACATAATTATGATTAATATTGATTATAAATTTCTTTAAATTTTGTCATCAATTTTTTTCTGAAAGCATTACCACCATTATCTGTTGTTATACTTTGATAAAAACCTAACCATAGCTGTTTTAAACCTTGAAAATATAAAAACATAGAAAACAATAAATTATGTAACATTACGCTAATTATCTGGAATCTGACCCATATTTCAAAATGTCAAAATTGGTTTCTGAAAACTTCACATCATACCGAACAAAATGGTACCACATACGTCTTGTTATACCGGGTGCGGGGGTATGTCATAGAAAGAGGCCTCACTGGAATGTACCTAGCCTGTACTATTATGTGATGTCATTTTCTTAGAATTTGACATATACAGCCATTGTCAAATGAGACCACTCTAAGAAATTCTATTTTATTTTACTTAAGCCATGTAAAACATTTACTTATTTGAAGTAATTCTTAGTAATTAAATCTTACTTGGAATTAGTCAGAGAATCAAGTAAAAATAAGTAAAACCAAGTAAAAGCTCAAGGAGCTCTCAAAAGTATCCTAGTAATTCAACTTATTTATATTACTTAATATTACTTAATCCAAGTAAATAAGTGAACTGAAATAGGCAATACTCATAGGAATTTGAATATATTAATAAGTGTTCTATTTAAAGTATTATATTTACTTACGTACTGTTGTAAAATTTATTTGGTCAAATATTTCTTTTACTTTGGTCAATGTACTCAATATTGCTCTTACTTGTGTCAATAGTCACATTTTACTTTGTGAAGTATTTAATATACCCTGCCCAAGCTGGATGATATGTCCGCTGAAGTATTGTATTTACTAATGTACTGTTGTACGATTTATTAGGTCAAGTATTGCCTTTACTTGTGACAATACACTCCACCTACCCTACCCCTAGGTTACTATAGCAACCATATTATTCAGTCTACTGAGTTTCATGATATGAAACTTTCCCAAATTATTCAAAACATGTTTAGACACATTGTGTCAAAAATTCAGTTAGATTGAAAAGAGACCAAATAAATAGAGGATATCCTATGATTTATGAGTGATGTGATTTTTATCCACAAATGGATATGATATCTCCACGAGCGAGCATAGCGACAGAGTGCAGATATCAATATCCATGAATGGATTAAAATCATATCACGAGTAAATCATAGGATGGTCTTTTTATTCCATAGTTAAAGTCATCATCAGAATCGTCGGGAATTAAGTGATTTAAAACGAATTTTCCAAACGATACGGCGATTGACACTTAGCCTTGTTTTGAGTCTGAAGTAGCAAAAATGCTATGGTTCAGTGAAAATTCGTCAAAAATATCATATTTTACCACTGATTACAAAAATACCGTTTTTATTTTGACATGTTATCCTATGCATATCATGCTAACTATGGAATAAAACACAGCATCATTCCTGAAACATATGGAACACCCTGTATAAGGTAAATTATCAAGATTATAATGTGTCAAACTTCAATTTGTTTACATATAAAATGAAATGTAATGAAAGAGCAATTAAAACTTTTGGAGTATATTAACATGATTATAAAATGTATACAGTAAAACTTGTGTATATTGAACATTTTTTTGCCAAGAAAAAACGTTCACTGTAGGTAGGTGTTCACTAGAGAGAGGGTAATTTATACAAAGTCAGTGGACTATGTGCGTAGGAAGGGTGTCCACTAGAGACAGGTGTTCACTAGAGAGAGGTGTTCACTAAGACAGGTTTTACTATACATTTCCAAAAACATGATAATTTTATGGGTTCAAATAAAACCTTACATTAGGCCTTATGATTATGATAATACATGTATTGTGATACTGCACTAGCCATATGATGTTCTCGACAAATGTACATAAAAATATACCAATAATGAAACAATAATTTACACATTATTAAGCTTAGATTGAGATTCATTTTTTGTTTTAGAACATGATGTGGCTAGTGAAGAACTGCGAAATACGATAGTGACATCTATGTATAACCTTAACCCTATTCTTGATTTATGTTTCTAGAATATAAAAGTTTGTTTCCTCTAGCATGAATTTTATGATGTTTTTTAAGATTAGACTTTTGTGCAAATGTTTTAGAACAAACATCACATTTAAAATTCTTTTCTCCTGTATGAATTCTATAATGTATGGTGAGATGATGTTTTTGTGCAAATGTTTTAGAACAAACATCACATTTAAAGTTCTTTTCTCCAGTATGAATTATATAATGTATGGTAAGATGATGTCTTTGTGCAAATGTTTTTGAACAAACATCACATTTGAAGTTTTTTTCTCCAGTATGTGTTCTGTAATGTATGGTAAGATGGTGTTTTTGTGCAAATGTTTTTGAACAAACATCACATTTGAAGTTCTTTTCTCCAGTATGAGTTCTGAAATGTATGGTAAGATGATGTTTTTGTGCAAATGTTTTTGAACAAATATCACATTTGAAGTTTTTCTCTCCAGTATGAGTTCTGAAATGTATGGTAAGATGATTTTTTTGTGAAAACGTTTCTGAACAAACGTCACATTTGTAATTCTTTTCTCCAGTATGAATTCTATGATGTGCATTAAGATATGACTTCCTTGCAAATGCTTTAGAGCAAATATCACATTTGAAGTTTTTTTCTCCAGTATGAGTTCTGTAATGTAAGTTAAGATTAGACTTTTGTGAAAACGTTTTTGAACAAACGTCACATTTGAAGTTCTTTTCTCCAGTATGAGTTCTATGATGTGCATTAAGATTTGACTTCCTTGCAAATGCTTTGGAGCAAATATCACATTTAAAGTTCTTTTCTCCTGTATGAATTGTATAATGTGAGGTAAGATGACAATTTTTTGAAAATGTTTTAGAACAAATATCACATTTGAAGTTCTTTTCTCCAGTATGAATTCTATAATGTTCTACTAGTGCACACTTCCATTTGTACACTCTATGGCATATATCACAAATATGTTTTTTTCCTTTGTGACCATTTGCCCGTCTCTGAAAACAACTTTTACCACTAGACGTATCATCATTCATCAAAGAAGCAGAACTGTGTATCATATTTTTGGCCGTTTTTATCGCATCAACATTAATTATGACACCATCAACATCATTTATCACACCATCAACATAATTTATCACACCACCAGCAGTATTTATCACACATTTGGGATGATGTATCATTTCATCAGCGTTATTTACCATACAATCAGCATTATTTGTTCCACCTGCAGTATTGATAACCTTGCTCCCCTTGTCCATGATACTTTCTATAATAAAGGTATATTCCTCTCTGAGGTATGCCTCAGTAGTCTAATATTTATGAATAATATTAGTTTTTGAATAAAGTAAATTTATTTAATGATGTCCTTGTGAACTTTCTATAATCTCAGCAGTCCTTGATGCTTTGTTATTATAATGCTCTATTGTATTAGATTTGGATTACACTTTTGTGTCACTCTATAAAACAGTTTGATGTCCAAAGCATCATTTCCTATTAAAATATAATTTCAATGCCTTACATGTATATCATGAAATGAGCACTAACGCCTTATTAAACACACTTTCCTATGTAGTTCTAAACACTGGTTCAGTATTTTCCTGGTATCATTTAAATATACACTGTAGTTATATTCCTGGTCTTATTAGAAGCACCTGTCTAGTTCTAAGAAGTATTAAACTCTATTTTCAGTATTTTCCTGGTGTCTTTGAATTATACATAGCCCTATTCCTGGTGTTATTAGAAGCACCTGCTAAGTTCTAGTGTAGTACTGTATTATGTGTAGTATCTCTTATGCATATCACCAGTCTTAAATCTATTTGGTATGCAAATAATGATAACACCTCTATTATATACCTGGTATTAACTCATTGATGACCAACCCCAAGATATTTCGTCTGTGACGTCATAATCGTATCTGATCAACCCTGAGATATCTCAGGGTGCTGTTCAATAATTGTCATGTAATCTATACCAATTATCTTACCAAATATTGATGGGGTTACTAGGGGAACATGGTTGGGTGCAATTGAAATATATTGTCATTGGCTTCGCAAATTACATAAAATGTAGCGCATAGGGTGTTGATACAGTCTATTTTATGCTAACGTGAAAATGTGCAATTGCTTTGGCCAGCAATGAGTTAAGGAAACTATTGTCAACATTATTAAAGTAAGCTTTATCTTAGCTTAAGATAATAGGTTATATTTGGTTGTTTGCCATTCATCCACATTCAATAGTATTCAAGTATCTGTTGAATAGCTTATCTGATAGGTGCAAATATGCTTATGGGAGTAGTGATGTCGTGATTTCTGACATGTCACTATTATTCTGGCAATGCATTGATGTCTCAAACAAAACATTGATGTTTTGAAAAAATTAAATCTGCTTAAAATCAGCTTTTCTTATCTTGTTTTCATGCATATGTCTCATTCCTTAATTCATTTTCCAGCAATTCATTGTACATTGTATATATACATTACTCAGTATAGACATTAAGTCGTTGTACTTTTAATAACTTCATGAATTGCCACTATACAAATAATTTTGAAACCTGTCACATATTAATAAGGTTAAAGGTCACAATACCATATTTGGAGTAGAATATCGATGTTGCATTCTGGGAGCCAATCCTTCTTACTGCGTGACCAAATACTAACATTGAATTTTGGGAGATTCCCCCCTAGTTATAGTAGATATTATCAGGAAAATTTCAAAAATATTCCCATCTTGTTGATCTTGCTTACTTCCTTATAATGTATCCATGTTTTCCCTGGAAGACAATTAGTGAACATCATGAATCATGGGATATAAAGAAATGATTTATGCCTTATTTGGGATTCATTTGTCTAATATGAGTCAAAATGCAATAGCTAGCTGAAATTGTAGTGCATACGTATCTACATTTATGTATATATTATCTTTTCTTGACTCTCTGATGTCATTACAATTACATATAAGTTACAAATCCTGATTGGATTAGGCTCAATCATTGAATTAAAGAATGTAGACAAATACAAGAAAAGTTAACCTAAATTTGATAAAATTCCATATGTTGCAGGCCGAACACAGAACAATGGCTGCTTTCGTTCTTGCAATGATCGTCAATAGTTACCCAAATGGCCAAGAGGTGGCACTACAGGGGAATCTTATAGCGATATGTCTGGAGCAATTGAGTGATAAATCGGCACTTTTGAGGCAATGGCTGGCTTTATGTCTCGGGAAGGTAATTGTGCATGTAACAGTTAAACCTGTGTATCTGAACCCCTCCCCAATCTGAACACCTCTCCAATCTGAACACCTCTCCAATCTGAACACCTCCTCAATCTGAACACCTCCAATCTGAACACCTCTCTAATCTGAACACCTCCCCAATCTGAACACCTCCCCAATCTGAACACCACCCCAATCTGAACACCTCCCCAATCTGAACACCTCCCCAATCTGAACACCTCCCTAATCTGAACACCACCCCAATCTGAACACCTCCCCAATCTGAACACCTCCCCAATCTGAACACCTCCCCAATCTGAACACCTCCAATCTGAACACCTCCCCAATCTGAACACCTCCCTAATCTGAACACCTCTCCAATCTGAACACCTCCCCAATCTGAACACCACCCCAATCTGAACAACTCCCCAATCTGAACACCTCCCCAATCTGAACACCTCCCCAATCTGAACACCTCCCTAATCTGAACACCACCCCAATCTGAACACCTCCCCAATCTGAACACCTCCAATCTGAACACCTCCCCAATCTGAACACCTCCCTAATCTGAACACCTCTCCAATCTGAGCACCTCCCCAATCTGAACGCCTCCAATCTGAACACCTCCCCAATCTGAACACCTCTCAAATCTGAACACCTCCCCAATCTGAACACCTCCCCAATCTGAACACCTCTCCAATCTTAATATCACTCAACTTGAAATCTTTTTCTCAGTCATAGTTTTTTTCTCCTATTGACTCATATATGAAGAAACCTTGAAATGTGAACACCTGCTAATCAGAACATTTCATGCATGTCCCTCTGGTATTTGGAATTTCACTGTATTGGAAAAACTTTAGTTTAAAGTGTAGTAAAATCAAAGAACACTTTCAGAACTTATTGAGATATTTTTATTGATTTTGAAAAGTGTTTTTCATATTGTGGTTTCTCTGATGAATGAATGTGGATGTATAGTTGGCACAAATCTATTTAGCCATCCTAAATAAAATTTTAGGTTTCAATTTGATGAATTGAATTTTAATCACAATTCGTTCCTTCAATGAACAATGTATACTATCTAGAATTAAATTGGATTGAAAACTACTTTTTAGGTGTGGACAAACTTTGATGCTGCTAGATGGTGTGGGGTGCGGGACACTGCCCACGAAAAGATGTACATTTTGTTAACAGATCCAGTACCAGAGGTAACAATGCTGACTTCTTGATTTTTTTGTTTTTATGAAAAAAGTATGAAAATATTCATGCTCAAGGATAAACTGCATCAATTTATAACCATCTTAAATGAATAGATACTGCACTTTGCGGATATTTAAATATGATGTTTACTTATAACTCTTTTACCTATTGTTGTGTTGTTGTTGGTAAGGCCAAAATGAAATTACCATATTAACTATATCCCATTGTCTCCTGAAGGAGAAGCCTCACAGTCAACTGTAAAACAACATTTTTGACACACATAAACAGCATGTCTTAAGTGTCAACTTATTTTAATTACTAGGTACGTGCTGCGGCTGTGTATGCTTTGGGCACCTTCATAGCGAACAGTACGGAAAGGAGTGACCACGCTAACAACATTGACCACAGTGTAGGGCTAACACTCATTAACTCCACGTATGATGGCAGTCCACTCGTTAGAAAGGTCAGTCAAAAAGTTTTAGGAAAAATTCTCTTATTGTATTGTTTGTATTCATCTAATGTCGAATTTCAATTCAATATATTTCATAATTTCTTAAAATTAGAGTGTCTAAAGCCGTGTGATAAAGATATGTTCATTAAGAGAAAATGCAAAGTTGTCCTGATGTCCTCTTTCAGTTATTAAGTACTAGATATAAAGAATACATTATTTATTTGTTTTCACATGTTGACCTTGACCTTGGTATCATAATGGTGTATATGGTATTAATGAGTCACATGGTCATTTCTAGCTATAAGTGTATACAATAATATTACATGTGGAGTACATACTCCTGGATTGTATAATGTCATTCCTAAGGAATAAATTGTGAAAAAGTATTGAATTCCACATTCAAAGAATGGTTGAAAATTCCTAAATTGTTGTTGATTTCTGTTAAATTATTAACAACAAAAACAGAATGGCTTAATATGTAGGAACCTATTAAAACTTGTTCAATAATATTTATTCATTATTTTTATTCATATTTAGTTCTGCATGATCTACCGACACATGTTGTTGCTTAAATGTGCTTTGAGAGAGGATGGCTCACACAAACCTAAACTAAACAATAGTTTTATTTCTTCTATTTCAAAAATTACATTTAGAAGGACGTAATGAGTTTTTTTAACACTTCATTTTTTCTTACATTGAAGTTCAGAAGTTTTTTTGCAGCTTCCTCAAGGGATAACCTTCTCTGCCTGCCCCCCCCCTCTTCCTCTTTAATACCTGCATTTTATTCAAATTTTGACTGAATCCAAATGTCTTCTAGGAGCTAGTCTATGCATTACTCTGCCTTGTACAGCAATTTGAGAATCAGTTTGCTGCAATGGCATTCAGATTCCAAGAGGAAGAGAAGTCTCATCACAGGCATAAAAGAACAAGCTCTGGGAGTGGTGGGTGAAAGAATGTATTATCCATGTATTGGCCTCTATGTGCAGTGGCCCCTTCATGCATTTGCCTCTCTGTGCATTTGCCTTTCCGTGCATTGGCCTCTTTGTGCATTTGCCTCTCCATGTATTGGTCTCTCCATACATTGGCCTCTCCATGTATTGGCGTCTCCATGTATTGGCCTTTCCGTGTATTGACCATTCCATGCATTGACCTTTCCATGCATTGGCCTCTCCATGTATTGGCCTTTCCATGTATTGGCCTCTCCATGTATTGGCCTCTCCATGTATTGGCCTTTCCAGGTCTTGACCACTTCGTGCATTGGCCTTTCCATGCATTGACTTCTCCATGTATTGACCATTCCATGTATTGACCATTCCATGCATTGGCCTTTGCATGCATTGGCATCTCCATGTATTGGCCTTTCCATGTATTGGCCTCTCCATGCATTGTCCTATCCATATTAGCCTGTCATCTTAGTTTTATACAAATATTTGTATTACATGTAATCATATAAAACTAAGTATACAGATTAGACATATTATATCTTTGTGTTCTCACTGCATGAAAGCATAGTGGAATGAATACTTACTTGATTTGGAACATATAAATGTCTGCATGCAAATGTGATAAACACATGTAATATTGTGAATATTGTATGCATAGTGTAGTGACTTTTGTACATGGTAACCTATCACACTTCATAATAGTGACTTCTCTTCTTCATATTATGGTAAAGCATCTTCAGTTTATGGACGTACCTGATATGTATCTGATGTTTTAAGTACACTACAGTGTAAGTACAAATAAAATGAAAGGGAATCCAAGAATATTCTTTTTGACATAGAACAAAGTACATATTGTACTATGCAAGATTTGACATTGTCTCAATTCGGATGATTGATGATTTAAAGGTACAGACCAACCCATAAGAAATGTCCAAGCTTATGGGTGAGAATACATCTTCAAAGAGACAATATTCAATCATACAATGTGTTAAAACTATTTCATAATATTGAACAAATATTTCACTCTACTGAGGTGAATACCTGTACATCTTTCACAAGTGATATTCCACGAAGCCCGAAGGGCAAGTGGAATATCACCTTGTGAAAGTGCTATTCACCGAAAATAGAGTGAAATATTTGTTTTATTATATCACTGTCTAGCTAAACATCCCTAATATTATTAAGTCATAGGTTAACATTGAAATACATACGAATCTACTCGGTTCGTCTGCCATTTGACTTACACTGAACTAAATTATTTACACTGAACGAAAACAAATTCTTTGAAAATTCCCGGGAGCGTGGGATATCGCTAGATATCTCACGGTTGTCTTATCTGATTAGCATTGCCATTGAATATTGCCAGATATCCCATGACATGTGACCCAGTTTTGACCAATCATACTGTCGCTAGCTAGATAGCGATATAATAACAAGAATTATTCAATTTTATTCTATTAGTTGGATTGTGTTGAATCACAGAGGAGGCAAAAGCCCAGATTTCATGTTCATAAGATCCTAGAGACTCATCTTTACCCGATATAGGTTCATCAATAAATTTTGGGGTATTTCCCCATGTAGAATTGTTTTATTAAGATCATATGCAGATTAGGCTGGATCTATGAATGTGATAGGGATGCCATGTAAAATTGTAGCCTGTGTGCTTATCTGCCTGCCTAATTACGTTTTAATCATCTCTAACCATTCAGGGGCGGATCTGGGAACCAACAAGGGGGGGGGCCCAAATTTCTGATCAGAGAAAAAAACGTCCGCGCTTGCGCGAAAAAAAATTTTGGGCCCCTAAAACGCAAAAGTAGGCCCAAATTTTGAAATTTTGAGGCCCATTTTCTTCAAAATTTGGCCTGAATTTAAAAAATAAGGCCTTATAAGGCCCAGTAATGACCAAAAAGGCCGACTTTTTGGGGGACTTAAGGCCTTTTTTTGGCCCAAAATTTTTTTTGGGCCCAATTTTTTTTTCTGGGCCCACCCAAGGGGGGGGGGCCCGGGCCCCCAGGCCCCCCCCCCTAATCCGCCAGTGCCATTGTAGCTTTGATGTTGTAGCGGAATCATCTTTTTTATTTCATGCATTTTTCTCCAGCATATAACAATAATAACAGACGGTGAAATGCAAATAGACATGACTGGATGAATCAACTATTTGATAAACTTAAGAAAAGCTATGATATGATATGCCACATTAGCTTTTCTATCTTATTAGCTTTTTTGACCTATTTTGGTATATGATTCCTTTAATTAAACCTGCCTATCTTAAGGTTGTTTATTATAAACCTGGCTGGAAAATGTCTCCTGAAAGAGAACATTTGAGACATTCACCTGCAGGAAATTTCTCCCTGAAGAAAGTATAATCTATGTACATGTAAATATGTTTATATTGAACCAAGTATATATACCGGTACACTGTGAATTAATTCTTCATCCAGTCAAATCTATGTTAATCCCATCAAGAAGGATCATGAATATGATGAGTTCAGAAGAAATCAAAATTCCACCATTAAGGTGGGAATAGGTCTATCACTTTGTTAGCAGGATTGTTACTTTAAAAATTGAGATGGACCTGACCTTGCTTACCTTAAGGAACATGCCAGGAGAAATGACACAATGAAAAAAGTTACCAGTGTAATTTCTCTTCTAACGTCATCATATTTTCTATCCTTCTACCCTGAGTGAATTTCACCACCTAAATTGACATGATGAGGTGATACTGTTTACTAACATGTCGTTGAATTTAGATGTAGATTTTTCTTATATTTTTTTCTCCGTCTTGACGTGCAGGAATTGGTTGTATCGCTGTCAGGTTTGGTCCACCAATTTGAGAACCAATTTACGTCAATGGCTTATCGTTTCTTGGAGGATGAAAGACGTACGGATGCAGAGCGTACTTTTTTACCTGCGGGATTAACATCTGGTGGGTTTGTGATGAGTATAATTGAGGTAGTGTCGCTGGATGAAAGGTCTTGCGTATTAAATTTTTTGTTGATTGTTATAAGGGATATAAGGTAACTGTAAATATTTTTTTGCGTTTATTCAGGCATTTTAATTGTTTCCCTTTCTGCATTGTTAAGGCTTAAGTAGAAGTAGAAACCTAAGTAGAATCTGTTTGGATATAAATTTTGGCTTTTCTGGTTTTTAGATATATGCTACATATGCTTTGTATTGGTTACTATCATGTATGTGTTTTATAGGGGTTAGGGTTAATCATTGTCTTCTGATGTTGCCTTTTGTGCTTTTTCATTCAGAATTTTAAGAGGGGGTCATAGGAATTTCTGGTCACAAACTGAAATCCTGCTTTTGATCTTCTATATTTTGATTTACATAACTTCAAGTCGTATATTAAAATTTTTATTATTAGTGTTTCCATTTTCGATTGTTGTACTTATTTCATTTTATACCACATCTTCTTCCCAACACTTCTTGCTTATGCTTATACTAAACAACTAAATAGTTTCATAAATAGTTTCATAAATATAGCATTAGAGGTATTAATAATATTCAAATATTTTTAGTTATCAATAGTGTTTATTAAATATTTTGTAATATTACAGACTATAAATTAAATTATTTATTATTCAAGACATAGAATTGACAGATATTATATAAAGTAATGAATAAAATGAAACGTGAATTAAAATTCTGGCTTATTGACTTTGACAATTTGTCTTATTTTTACGTCACTGCCACAAATTATAGCCTAGTCTCCAACTTTTTTATGGCATTGTTCGCCATTCGCTGGTCAGCATCTGTAACAAATGGGAGGTGGTGACATTTTTGCCTTGTCTGTACATAATATTGCTACATTATTATCATAATCTGAAAAAAAACTTGTAGATACAACTATGAATCAGCCTGCCTTATTGAGCCCAACATCGTCAATGAAACGCAGTTCTTCAAAGAGCAGTCTTAAGGGCATATATGGCTCACCATCAAGTAAGTAATCATTATGAAAGAGGGAAGTCATTTTTATATTTTCATTTTATTTTTCAATATTAACCCTTAAACGGTTAGGGGAGCAGATCTGCCCCCCCCTAAGGAACTTTTTTGATTACTTTTTCCGTAGTTTGTCTCTTGGCTTGAAACTTTCTGGCTTTTCAGAAAATTAAATTAGGCATGTTTTAGCAAAGAAATTATGACTCTAACCCATCTTTCCAGAAGGAAAGTTAGAGCTTGTTCAAGTCACGAAAATGCTCAAGTTGTCAGCACTTTTGATTTGAAACGATTAACCCTTATGTTCTGAGAATATGAATTTCTTCATTAGTAATGGCTCAACATAGTTATAACTAAGCTCAAAATACTAGGAATTGAATAACCTTTCTAATGATACCTAATACTCCCTGGTATGATTGTTAGTGCTCCCTAATGCCTGAGTCACATTTGCCCAGATTCATCGCCTGGTGCCTGGCCGATTGAGTATCCTGTTCACAATTGTATTCAGTTTTGAACAGAATACTGATCGACCAGGCGCTGGCCGATGAATCGGAGCAAATGTGACCCAGGCATAACTGTTGGTGTAATTCTCTATAGCCTAACCATTGAATGGTTAACGTTCAATATTTATGTTGATTATTGATTTATTTAAGCCATGGTTTGACTATTTTTCAATTTTCTACATGTTTTCATTATTGCCATCTTTAAGTTAATATGATCTATTTTTATTTTCTGTTCATTCTTAATACATATTGTATATTTTGTTCCACATGTTTGTATTTCAATTTTCATGTTTCATTTTCTATTAAAGTTTTTATATTCATAAGTTAGACATTTTCTACTGAATCAAACATGTTTTCATTTTTCATGTTTTATATATTATTATATTATTCATATTTTTGTGATTATAGGCCACACTGTCAGTCCCCTGATGAACTACAGTAGTGGGAGTAGCAGCTATGATAGTCCAAATAGTGGCGAGAATCTACCTGTGTTTGAACGTATGAAACGTGTCTCGTCCAGTTCATGTATCGCAAGTTTAGGTCAGTGTTTACTCATTCAATCTATTCAAGAAGACTCCTTGGTTATTTATGAATAATACTATAGGTACAAATATTCATTTTTTTAAAAGCTAAGAATATTCATATGCAAAATTTGTATATCCTCAAAGTGGAGAAGATATTGACATGTCCTCAAAGTGGAGGAGATATTGACATATCCTCAAAGTGGAGGAGATATTGACATATCCTCAAAGTGGAGGAGATATTGACATGTCCTCAAAATGGAGGAGATATTGACATGGCTTCAAAGTGGAGGAGATATTGACATATCCTCAAAGTGGAGGAGTTATTGACATGTCCTCAAAGTGGAGGAGTTATTGACATGTCCTCAAAATGGAGGAGATATTGACATATCCTCAAAATGGAGGAGATATTGACATGTCCTCAAAGTGGAGGAGATATTGACATATCCTCAAAGTGGAGGAGATATTGACATGTCCTCAAAATGGAGGAGATATTGACATATCCTCAAAGTGGAGGAGATATTGACATGTCCTCAAAATGGAGGAGATATTGACATATCCTCAAAGTGGAGGAGATATTGACATGTCCTCAAAATGGAGGAGATATTGACATATCCTCAAAATGGAGGAGATATTGACATATCCTCAAAGTGGAGGAGATATTGACATATCCTCAAAATGGAGGAGGTATTGACATATCCTCAAAGTGGAGGAGATATTGACATGTCCTCAAAATGGAGGAGATATTGACATGTCCTCAAAATGGAGGAGATATTGACATATCCTCAAAGTGGAGGAGATATTGTCATGTCCTCAAAATGGAGGAGATATTGACATATCCTCAAAGTGGAGGAGATATTGACATGTCCTCAAAATGGAGGAGATATTGACATATCCTCAAAGTGGAGGAGATATTGACATGTCCTCAAAGTGGAGGAGATATTGACATATCCTCAAAGTGGAGGAGATATTGACATGTCCTCAAAGTGGAGGAGATATTGACATATCCTCAAAGTGGAGGAGATATTGACATGTCCTCAAAGTGGAGGAGATATTGACGTATCCTCAAAGTGCAAGACATTTTATTTATATAGACAACAGGCAGAAATCTCATAGCCTTGAAGTGTTTAGTTAACGATTTTCCCGTAATAGTACAATAACGTCATTTCTAAGGGCAATATAGGCCGAAGGCACAAGGTCCAATATTTCACTATATGACGTTATTAGTATCATTACCACCGTTAACGACCAGGGCTGAAATAGCAAGAAAATCTTACGCACTGAACGATATCTAATTTCCCGGTCTAGAATATATTCTAGACCGGTCCATATGGACCACCACTATGACATCACACATTTCTTAGGTCGATATAGTAAAATGAATGCCTTCTAAACTAGCACTAAAACCCCTAGAACTGGCCCGGCAATGTGGTAATAATAATGATTCATCCATTTAACTTCAAATTTTTTAAAATGCAAAAAAACAAACTCGATCTCATTAGTTTTTTGCATGCTTGGTAATTGTATGTCACCATCAGAAGTGCTTTATACTCTCAAACTTTTTTGTGTGTGTAACAAATAACAGGTAGTGGCAATTTGCATGTTAATGCCTTTTTATGTTTTGTGTTTATTTTTAGGTTCTAGCACAGGATATGGCAACATCTATGCCAATGTATGGAAACACTTACTTCAACTCTCAATGGACCCCTACCCTGAAATAGCAGACCTAGCCAAGGCTCTAATTAACACAATTAAATTAAAGGTAACATGGGATATATTGTATTCATTTATTCTTTTATTTATTTATTGTTTATTTTACTGTCACCTATTGTAAAAATATCCAGTCCTAACTAGGCTTATGAGACTGTATGTGTACTGATAGTTGATATATGTGTCAGGCCCGTAGCCAGGATTTGCCAAGGGGGGTTCACTTTTTGAAAAATTTCAGTGGGGTTTACTTGTGACAATTTTGGTCCAAAAATGGCCAAAATCACTTAAAAAGTGCTCGGAATGTGAAAAACTGCATGATTTTGAAAGATTTTTTGGCAAGGGGGGGGAACCAATCGTCGTACAAAGTTTGTGAAAACATCGGCTGTGTAAAAAGTACAAAAAGCTCATGGTGAAGCCAACATTTTGCTTAAATGAGGCACAATCATAGAATCTCTTGTGCATTTTTGAATAGCTTCCTGTGAGACCATAAAACAAAACTACCAATAAATAAAACACCCTCATAGCTTACAGCCCCATAGCCAGGGGGTGGGGGGGGGGTTCAAGTGAACCCCTACCCCTTGGCAAAAGCTGGGTTCTGGCCGGGAATACATTAAAAGGGAAAGAGGTGGGAAATGCTGAATTAAATTTACACATTTTTGCACACTTATTTGCCACAGGCGGATGCTGCAGCTGCAGCTACCATTAAGTGAGTAGAGTATTGTAGCCATTCAATAAATTACTATAGTGTCACGTTTTAGAATGGGAAATAAAGTGGAAAAATAAGTTATTTATATAATCTCCCATAAAAAATGAATGTTTATGTACCTCAATTCTCTGGTCATGGCAATTCAAGCTTTGGCTGTATGAATTGAATTGTCTATCTAATTTTCTGGAATTGTAATCTTTTCCTTTCTTATTTCTCATTTCAAAACGTGATCACTTCATTTCTCTCATCCTGGATATTATTGACACTTTCAGATGCACAAAATAAAAAACCTTTACTTTTCCATCCCTAATAAGTTAAAGAATATGAGGGCCAAAAATATGGAATAAGAATTATAACCACCCATGTTGCACTCCATCCCCATATGGGCCAACTATCCCCAGTTACCATAATGTTTATGTACTATGGTACATCCAATGGGCCTTCCAGATAAACCATGTGTAATGTCTGATGTCTATACATCCAAATATAAATAAGACCCTCCCTATAATTCATCTTCTATTTTATTTAGGCAAATACGACTGCTAGACCCAGACAGGTTGCTATGCAGTCTTCTTCCTCCCAAAGTGCACCCTCTAGTCCCTCAAACAGACCCCCTGCAAACATGCATCATGCACAACTATCGTAAGTATCTGAAATAGGCTAAGTTTTCTTTTGCATTTCCAAGTAATGCTAACCAAAGAGGTGTTTCTTGTGAATTTGGTATTTTGCAGTGTGTCACATGATCATATCTGGCCAATCATAAGCAGTCTTATTGTGTCATCCCGCTAAATCTATCCAATGAAATGGGCTCAGATGTGACCATGTTTGACCAATCATATCAGTATAATAATGGTCACATGACTCTTCATAATAAATCTTTGTGTTGGTATACACATTTTTAGTATAAGAACTCTAATCTATTTGGTAAAGTAAATAAGTTAATGAATAAGTTAAGGTAACCTAAGGTAACACATTTGCTGAGTTAAGAGTTAAGGTGGCCCTGCCTAAGGTGTCTGAAGCCTCTTTAAGACCATTAATTAAAGCATCTCGAATGCTCCAAAAGGCACTCAACAGCCCACAGAAATAAATAAGAATATATACTTATGCCTTGGTCACATTTGCTCCGATTTTCACTGCGGCGCCTGGCCGATTGAGTATTTTGTTCAAAATTGAATACAATACTGAACAAAACCCTCAATCGGCCGGGTGCCGGCCGATGAATCGCAGCAAATGTGACCTAGGCATTACAAGAAGGTGAACCAAAAATCCGCATGGAGAGTCTTGTGCCAAAAACATGATTTTATTATTTTGAGAATTGAGATCGAAGTCACTTTTGATTCTGGAGTTACATGATTGTGAAAAATTGAGTTAAAAGTCAACGGCTTTTTGGAAACAGACTTTAGCAAGTTGTGATTATTGACCCTGGTGTTGAGACCCTCACAGTGTCAATAATGCAACTCTACCTAATATTACATTTGTTTATGTCACCACTAGTAGTGTTGACATACTGTTATACATGTAGTCTCCAACTTTTTCTTGTTCGGAATTTGGCATCTTTTGCAAATTTCAGGTGATGACATTTTTCACGTTAATTCCTTGTTTAATTCATTGGCTTTAACAGATCACATGCTTTCTTTATGTTATTAGAGAGCAATAAGTAGTGCCAAACCAGTCACAATTGAATTATATCCTCCGTCCATTAAATGCATTATACCATTGATAACATAAATACTTTGTGAGCCTTCTGACAATGACAGTTAACTCCCATGAGGCATTTTAGTCAATTTGTAGTTGAAGATGAATAATGTCATTTTTGTAATACTGTACAGGGTGGGCCAATAAAAATTGGAACATTTTTCTGTTTATTGAATTGTCTTTATTTTTGCAGTTCAATCCATGAAAATTCAGATTATGGTAAAATGATTATTTGTGAAAATGTTAAAGATAAAAATATGTATGTATGATTATTTTTGGCTTGTCATGGTCATGATCTGTATTCTGCGTGTGTCATGAAAAATTTCCAAATTTTCTCTGCTTGAGACATCAGTGCTTAAAATACAGTATCTTCCATACCATACAAAATGCACCCTTCAAATGGTCTCAACACAATTTCCATCAATTAAAACATATGTAGTTATCTCTAGGAGAAGCAAGATATGTCTCCCTTGGATGATATTGCTTAACTGACCTCAGCTTTTTTTCAAATTTGGCACAATATGTCTCAAAACCTGTGATTTAGACCAGGTATGACTGTCAAATACAGCTAAGACTGATTGTTCAGGTGGGCGAAGGACATGTTCCATGTTCCCTTGCGTTGAGTAAAAAAATTGGAACATTTTTCCATCAATTGTAACTTTTTTGTTAGTCATGTATTATCTTCAATACTTTAGGAAATTGATAACCAATTCATTGTCAACAGCTTGTACAAATATGAATATACGAGCTCAACATTTAATTACTGAACGTGTCCTCCACCCACCTACACAATCAGTCTGAACTGTATTTGACAGTCACGCGTGGCTTAAATGATTGGTTTGAGACATATTGTCCCAGTTTTGAAAAAAGCTGAGGTCAGTCAAGCTATATTATCCAAGGGAGACATGTCTAGCTTCTCCTAGAGATAACTACATATGTTTTAATTAATGGAAATTGTGTTGAGACCATTTGAAGGGCATATATTGTGTGGCATGAGATACTGTATTTTCAGCAGTAATGTCTCTGAAGCAGAGAAAAATTTGGAAATTTTTCATGACGCACACAGTATACAGATCATGACCATGACAAGCCAAAAATAATCATACACACATATTTGTATCTTTAACATTTTGACAAATAATCATTTTACCATTATCTGAATTTTTGTGAACTGAACTGCAATAATAAAGAAAATTGAATAAAAAGAAAAATGTTCCAATTTTTATTGGCCCACCCTGTATGTTAGAAAATGTTATTTTTAGTGGAACTCCACCCAGGGATATTCCAGGTATTCTAACACGATCAACGGAATCTCCAGCTAGAGCAAACAAGGAATCTGGGCCCTCTGCGCAGTATACGACGCAATATACAAGATCGAGGAAACTTTTTGATAAGGGCCCAACCCAGGCAGCAGTAAGTGTACTATTGATAAATATGGGTTGCCAAACTCATGTAGGGGGGTGTATTAATCAAAATGTGAACGCATTGTAAGAAATATGTTATAGGTCATTTAGGACAAAAAAGTTTAATACAAGTTTGAATATAATAGAAGCACTGACAGTGTTGTAGCCCCGTCCATAATGTCAGCATTAATACATCTCTATTAGGTAGATCAACATTTCTATATGCAGTAATACAATGCAATACAATACAATTGAATACAATACAATACAGTGCAATACTATACAATACAATGCAATACAATACAATACTATAGAATGCAATGCAATTCTATACAATACAAGGTTTTACATTGCAACATACATTTGGGAAATAATATGAACTAAATACATTGTTGTAACAAGGCAATGGATTAGACGTGGATGAGATATTCTTTACTTTTATTTTAGATTGAGGAAAATCCCAAGGAGCACCCCCCGGATGAGATCGACACCCCCTCATTGTCCATTCGTGATCCTCAGGTGAGAAAATAGTGCCACAGTAGCTCAGGTTTTTAACAATGTGGAGTAAATGTTAAAATTGTTGTAACAAGATGATAGGAGATCAGTTTGTGTATTAAAATTGCAGAGAGAAAATTGTATGAAATAAAATAAACCATATAGACTAATAATGGTGATTGCATCTTTAAATCTTCAACAAATAATTTTATTTTATTTTTCAAATTGATTTCCTAGTATATTCAATTTTCATCAGGTATCCACAGAATTCTTCCAATGGTGCTGTAAATATTTTGCTCAACCAATCATGCGGCCTTCAGAAAAGCGTGACCCCGAAAGTGAGACTCATCAAACTCGAGAATGGCGATTGTTGTGTAGCTTGAACGTTAAAGATGACGCAAGAGACGAACAGTTGAGAGCAGGTAATTATTATGCATGGTGATAATACAAATGCATTATGGGTAATAAAGGCATTATATAATAAAATGATGCATTATGGGTAACAATTATTTATTTTGATTCAATAAAGTATATAATTTAGGAAAAATGAAAAACGATCCTTCTTTATATGTACATGTACTTGTAAAAAGGTAAAGTAAATATGTTTGTTTTTTCAGGTTTTAGTCGTCTAGATGACCAAGTTTTTATCAATCGTAATTGTGCTATCCCAACTGTGATAAAGTTCCATCCGTATGAGTCGCATCTTGCTGTCGCAGATAGAGAAGGGGTCAGGTGAGTCCAGTCTCATGATGACCATATTTGGACTTAATTTGAACATGTTCCTTATTTGGATGAACATGCCCTTATTTTGTGAGAATGGCATGACATTATATATGAAAAATACATGAGAGGTTTTCACTGTAATTTTAATTGTAACAAACCATCTATTGAATCACACATAAAGGAACCCCATGGTATTGATATGAACATGCCCTTATTTTGTGAGAATGGCATGACATTATATATGAAAAATACATGAGAGGTTTTCACTGTAATTTTAATTGTAACAAACCATCTATTGGATCACACATAAAGGAACCCCATGGTATTGATAATAAACTACTTAGGTACCTATGTAAGTTCATCTCCCTGGTTTATATACATGCTAAAACAACTTTATTCATTTCTTCAGAGAAGCTTTGACTTAATAAATAATTCTCTGAAGAAATGAATAAAGTTGTTTTAGTGTACTTAGATACCATATTTGGAACTGGCTTGCTGTGCTCATTATCTGTAACAAATTGTTACACTTTTGTAATTACAAAGAGATTAAGTCATGTTACGAGTTTTAAAGTATTTATATTTTTGTCAGGCCCGTAGCCAGGGGGGGTTCGATGGGTTCGAGCTAATCCCCACCCTGGCCAAAACATCTTTCAAAATCATGCAGTTTTTCATTTCACCATTCTGAGCACTTTTTAAGTGATTTTGGCCATTTTTGGACCAAAATTGTCACAAGTTAATCCCCCTGGAATTTTTCAAAAAGGTAACCCCCCTTGGCGAATCCTGGCTACGGGCCTGTTTGTCATCTTTATATATTTGTATTTCAGCATATGGGAATGGGAGCAAGGTACAAGACTTAACTATTTCTATAACAAGAACCCGAAACATACAAGGATAACATCTATGGAATACATCAACTGTTCTGATACACCATACCTCCTTACTGGAACAGGTATGTGTATTCATAGAAATGCCCCCCCCCCCTCCTTAAAGTTAATGATATTAATGGCATCAGGATGTAGCAAGGATCTAGGTCAGGGCAGGCATACTTGAATAGATAAGGAAAGATTATTAATAAGACTATCCATAAAATTCATTTTCACAGTTTCTATTAAAAAATGTTGACATTGATTTTCTGATTAACTGACTTACTTGCCTTGTGCTTTGCTACATCCATGAGATGGCCTAGATACTGGATACTGTTTGAGTAGAACTGTTGGTCATTGTAAATTTTTTCTGGACACAGTTTCAAGAAATCTATGTCCAGTGAAATCAAATTTTTGGTCTCTGAAATTACTATAGAGAGATGCTACGGCATAGTGCATACTGTGCATTTGGAAACATTCACTGTGTTTTGATTTTTGGGGTTTTCCTGAACACAGTTTTCATTGTCGAAAACAGTGATATGTTATACTGTATAGAATCAATGAGGTTATATAATATCAAGTTTTAATGTATTGTGAATTTGAGGCTTGTGGATAATGTATAGTACTGTATGTATCATGTGGAAAACTAAAGTTACATTTCAATATTATGTGATAATTGTTTGCAGATGATGGTGCAGTAAGACTATGGAAGACATACTACAGTGAAACAGGGGAGAGTCCAGAGATTGTAACAGCCTGGCAGGGTCTCTCTGACATGTTGCCTTCCACAAGAGGTGAGTAAATAATAGTACTATTATACAGTAAAATCTATAAATTGGAACACTTCTCTGGAGGGAATACCTGTCTACAAGGATTAATACACCAGCCCCATCTCGCTCATGTAACAATATACAATTATTGACCTCTCCAGAGGTTTACTGTCAAAATTATATCCCGAGACTGTAAACCGAGACCTACGGTCTCGGTTTACATTCTCGGGATATAATTTTGACAGTAAACCGAATGGAGAGGTCTATAATTGTTTTGTTAGTCCGAAGAATATCTTAGATTTTTCTGACCCTTGAAGTTGACTTGAAGTTGGATCCAGACCCTCGAGACGTTCATGTTGTATTTCAAAACATCGTTTGATGCCTTGAATTCAGACTTGGTAATGTCCATCTTAAGTGTCTCTCTGATGTATCGTGCCACTCCCCATTTAAGAAGCTGAAATGATTTCAACTTATAAAGTCCACCGTCTTTTTTTCTAATACCAACGTAAAACTTTTTCAAAAAATTATCTACATCTGCCACGGCAGTAAGTTCACTCAATGGAGTCAAATTACTCTCCTGGGCGAAGTCCACTAAAAGCTTTGTACAAAGTTTTAGATTTTTCTTCGTATTTTGACTGCCTTTACTCTCTAAGAGACTAATATATATATATCTTTTATCGACTCTTTAGATGTCATATCATGACATATTAGTCACTTAGGTAGAGCAGTTCTTCCCATTGTCGAGTTGAAGAACTGGTATCTTTATCCTGGCTAGAACCATAGACAATTCTAGCCAGCGCCAGCCTTTTATCGAGTTAGCAGCACTCTAGTAATCACCGGTATAGGTCAGCAGTCATAGGTAATATCCTCATCTTCAACATTTTTGAAACGGCTAGTGCTAGCGGCGGCCATTTTATCGTCTGATAATGACGTCATTTTAGTGGAATGCTGGGAATATTATTCACCGGCAATGCATTGCGCGGTGTACAGTTAAAATTATTCACCGCTCGTTGACCAATCAAAATCGAGTATTTTAACTGAGGTACTAACAATAAAAAATTGTACAGTAAAACCTGTACAGGGTGTCCAAAAAAAACAGGACCGTAAGAAAGTTGAATAACTCGGTCAATTTTGCATATTTTGCCTTGAAATTTCAGAATTATTTAGTTCATTCAATGTGAATTTTGTTGTGAAAGTTTGATAATAATCTACCAATTGAGTCAAAAACTACAGCTCCTTACAAAACATGCCCAAAATGTGCAAATCTCATCTCTATGCACAATTCAATCCGGCGAACAAAGCTGTTGATGATCCTCCTACACACATGTCTTTCTGAATGGACAAGTTTGTTCCAAGAACAATTGCTACTGGGGCTTACATCCTCCTGATGAAGGGTTACAGCATCCATTGCATTCTGAACAATGCACTCCCTGGGTGGCAATGAGGAAACATGGAATCATCAGTCCCTTTTGGTTTGAAGGTGACTGGGGACTTGCTATCACCATGAACAAGGACCAGTAAGTTCTCACCAAGTTTTGGAGGTCACTAAGCACCAGGAGGGACATCTAAGGAGATAATTAAGCAGTGGTTTCAACAAGCCAATACCACCCCAACACTGCAAATGATATGCTGAAATGGTTTAGGCAATGCTTTGGTGGTCAACTCATCAGTTGCAGAACGCAAACCATATGGGCAGCTCATTCGCCTGATCTAAATCCCCCAAATTTTTATTTTTGAGGATTTCTCAAAGCCAATGTGTATACTGACAGGCCCCTAACAATCTTAAGAGGGCAATAACTACCCCAATATTTACCATCCACATTAATGTGTATGGGTAAGGGTCATTAACAACAGTTTATCATCAAACCTTCAGAACAAAATTCACATTGAATGAAGTGAATAATTCTTAAATTTCAAGGCAAAATATGCAAAATTGACCGAGTTATTCAACTTTCTTACGGTCCTGTTTTTTTTTGACAACCTTTATATCTGTACACCTTTCTCATGCAAACCCCTTTTTCTTGGTTTCAATTTCTTGTTTTCTGACATTGTCTCACATCTTAAGAATTCTTGGATGTGATCACCTGCTAATCTGAACACATTATGTCACCACCAGAAGTGATGACATATGATTATAGTCCCCAACTTGTTTGTGGACTGTGTCCGGCATTTGGCGTTTTGTGGTTGGTGTTCAGTGGTTGGTGTTTGTAACAAATTGCAGGTGATGACATTTTGCCTTGCTTGTAAGTTGTATTTATGCTTAGATCAATTCTCTATTTTCCATGAACACTGTATTGCAAAATGAAAGTGAGATGTGTTACATGTTTATCTATCAAATTTTTTTTTTCTATCAAAATTGTACTTTTTATTGCCAGGCTCTGGACTAGTGACAGATTGGGAACAGCAAACAGGAATTTTGTTGGCATCGGGAGATGTGCGGATAATACGTGTTTGGGATGTCAATAAAGAACTAAAAATAAAGGTGAGTTTTATGGTGTAGTCATCGCACAGGAAGTTGTTTCAAGACACTAGCATGTCCTTTTTTGGTTCGTTCTTTAGAAGCCTTTGACTTTTTGAATACCTGGGCATTTCTGATTTTTTGCTTGCTTTTGCCATATTTTTGATGTTCATTTTGGCAATATTATTGAACATATAGAAAATTAGACATATTTTAATTCTAGCACACGTTTTTTTAGTTTCTTTGAAACATAGGATAATTTACCACTTGAGCTACGGAGCCGACTGGCTTTTACACCACACTGGATTTTCAAGGATTTGATTGTCCCCTTTGACATACAAGTGTGGTATTAGTGTGTGAATAGTATGGTCAGTTTATTTTCAAGTAAATATTACCAGATTTACATTTTCAGCGACCTCAGCTCTTATGAATTTTTTCTCAACAGAGTGTAAAATTCACATTTTATACAAAGTATACAAATACTTTATCATATTGGCAGGTTGCAAGCAGATTTATAACAGAGTGCCATGTACAGGGTGGTCCAAAAAATGGGACACTCGTATTTCAAAAATAAATATTGATTTTCCTGTAATTATCCCATCGAACTATCACTGATCTGTAAATAGATACTTTTTTTATAATGGACAATAAGAAGTGATGAAAAATAGATATCCATTACATTTATCTGATGATTTACACTTTTGACATTAATTATTTGCTGGTTTTCATTACAAATATAATTGGATGACTTGGGAAGTTTTACATGTACATGTATGCCTGTAGTGTAAACTTTGAGTACATGTATATTGTTGACCTCTACCTATGTACAAACCTGGTCATTTGTATGGAGATTGCAAGAGCTGTTAAGGGGGGGGGTACATCCTCGTATCAAAGAAGCTGTTGTATATTTTCATTCAAAGACTTGTCAAGCGTTTTAGTCATTAAATGAATCAAGAGATCTTTTTGCGTCCTTCCAAGTGAACAATGACACGACAGCGATTCTTAAATTAATTAGCCAATCAGGATGTGAGCAAGATACAGCATGCAGTCAACACCTAAGTACCACATGTGTATATTTTCTAATTAGTAATATGTTTTTTCTTTGATTCAGATGATATCCCTATTAACAAAAAAAGAACACAAACATCTCTGCCTCATGCTTTTCCCTTCATTTAAATAATATGTTTTTCTTTGATTTAAATGCTATCCTTATTAACAAATGACAATAAACATCTCTATTTCACACTTCTCCCTTCTTAGCTAATCGAAAAATAAGAGCTGAGTAACACTTAGTTGATAGTCACACTATATGAGATATCAAAATAACACCTTTAAATAAGGACGTTATGTCTATTCAGGCAAGTGTTTATGAAACCATTAATGAAAAACAACTTTCAAGGATCTTTATCTGTTCATCTTTTGAATGATTTCACTCGTCTTTTCCTTTTGGCACATACTGGATCAGAGTTTTGATTAGTTAAACCTGTGCCAAAGTGAACTATGATTCTTTCAAATATTTCTTGGTCAGATTTTTGAACAGATGATGAGTTTTCTATGAAGCCTTCAGTAATATAATCATGAATAGACATTTTGAAACAGCTTTATTTGCAATATAATGGGGATCAAAATACTTAAAATAATTACTGGTTATTAATTATAATCATTCATAAAATATGTTCATCAGTCCCTAAATTTGAATCCAATTTTAACATCAAAAGCAAAATACTTGGCAGCTCAAGATTCAAACGTCATGGTTTTTTGGTGATATCTTTTGCATTCCTTTGGTCGTGTCTTTTTCTAATTTCTGGAATCAAGCATGTACTTAAATTACCTTAGAAACTCACCTCAGCTAAACTACTGTTGTTTATTTATTGGATAATTGTCACCAATTGACATGTTAAAAACACAACCAGGATGATTATCCCACGTAACAAAGCTCGAGGGGGATATGTAAAAACTGTCCGTCCATCTATCTATCTCCGTTTGTCCACTCGATAACTAAAATACTGGTTTTTGATTCAAACAAAAGCTTATAGATGTAGGACCTCTGCTCAAGAAGGAATTTTCAATAGGGCTACCCTATCCAATTCAAAATGGCTACCATTTTTCATAAAAAATGTAATCTTTGATAACTCAAATACAGTAGATGGATTTAGTTCAAATTTTATTTGCTGATGTCTTGGGACACAGGAGCTTTGATCAAGAAGAAATTTTCAAGATGGCCACTGACTTTCAAAATGGCTGCCATTTTTCATAAAAAACCTAATCTTTGATAACTCAAATACCAGTAGGCAGATTTGGTTTTAACTTTATATGCTGGTACCTAGGGACAAAGGAGCTTTGCTCGAGAAGAAATTTATAAGATGACAGCTGAATTTTAAAAATTGTCTGCCATTTTCCGAACAAAAAAACGTAACCTTTGATACCTCAAATACCAGTAGGATTTGGATAAAATTTTATATGCTGATACCTAGGGACAAAGGAGCTCTGTTCAAGTAGAAATTTTCAAGATGGCTGCTATTTATCAAAACATGTTTTGTTCGGTGGGATTAGCTAATCCGTGGAGTTGTTGTAACTAGTTGAATATGAGGTGACAAAGAGTTCAACCCCCATCATATGTCATATATGCAGACACCGCACCTATAAGAGCTACCATTTCTGATATTCAGTACATTTTCATAGTGAAAGACTTGCGAAGAGCTGTCACAATGGCGAACTGCACATTTGTTCACAATCTCACTAAAAATGAGAAATGCACAAACATCTCTCAGTTCGGAGGATCGATGAAACCGAAAGACAAGAACAATTTACCTATAACATTAGTATTTCAAATTTCAGTTGCAGTCGCAATATGTCTGATGAATCTTTTAGTTGTGATGTCAATAATCCGCTATAAAAAATTGCAGACGGTTTCAAACATATTCCGTGGATATCTTGCTTTAAATGACACCGTATTTGGAGCTACAGTTGTTGTACGAGGACTATTACAACTATCTGGAACATTAAGTAAGACGATACCATGTATGATTATGAACGTTTTCATTGCCGCACCAGCTGGTGTTACAATGACGGGTGTACTACTACTGTGGATTGAAATTTACCTAACCATAAGGCGAGTATCGATAAATGGGGCATTTAGCAAGAAAGTAGCTTTTCGTCTTATAGGGTTGACTGAGATTGTATGGACAGTGTACGTTTGCAGCTTTCTTTTGTTCAATGATAACAAACGTACAGACGAATCTTGCCACTTCGGCAATGGCCTCACACACAAAAATCATTTGATAGGATTGTGCATAATTATGTTCTTGCACTTTATTGCCCTCATTGTTCTACAATGTTTAACATTCTGGAACCTTCACAAACATGTTGCAAATCTTAAGAGGCTTGGTATGATTACACCAAAAGCACCCTTGAACAATGACAGGAATATGACGAATATGAATCAAAGAATCACAGTAATGGAGAATCCAGCATATTCCAATCCATCGCCAGGTAGCTTCAAGCAGGAATGTTCTGATGGTGAATCAAAGGCATCCGTGGAAACCATATCGACAGATCAACAAATGCAAAATGATGTTATCAAAAATACCACGCTGTATTATCGATGGTCATTGCGCATGTCAAGGCTCGCTAAGCTCATAAGTTTCATTTTTCTGTCTTTTGCCATATGTTACGTTCCATTCATCATTTGTGTGTTTCTGTACGCAATCCATCCTGGGCAGTATGTCAGTTCACAAATTAACTACATGTATATAGCTTTTACCATTTTAGCTTTTAACTCATTAACCAATGTTGTTATTTATCTAACTAGAAGTAAGGAGTACAGGAGAGCATTTAAGCACATACTTACATGTAAGCGGGGTATTGTACCAATATGACTCTCTTTATACAAAGTGTCTTTTTTTCATGACCACTACATGTCAAAGTTTTCATAAACCACAGAAACAAAAAGTTTATTCTCTAGCAGTTAGAGACATCTGGGTTTTAATTAGTTTAATGGATGCATTATAAGGAATGTCGACAGTGAAAAAATGAGGTTGATTTTATTATGACTTAGCCCTCCCCCTGAAGATGGCCACTTAATTTCAAAATGGCCACCATTTTCCATTAAAAAAGGTAAAGTTTGATAACCAAATACCAGTTGGCGGATTTTGTTCAAATGTTATATACTGGTGCTTCAGGGATATAAAACTGCTCAAGAAGGAATTTCCAAGATGGCTGCTCGATTCAAAATGGCTGCTATTTTTCATGAAAAAATGTAATTATTGATAATTTAAATACCAGTTATACTCTATTTAGTGCATATTTTATCTCTATCATTTAATGTTCAAAATGATGAGGTATTTATTATTAAAATATGTTTTATTTGGTGGATCTGTTGCTGTATTCTAGTTTGACTTGTCAGTACTGTGTATAAACTAGAAAGTGTAATATGTCATGCATAAATAGTTAGTAATCCTATTGTGTTTAAGGATATCATATTGTGTCTCTGTTGTAAATAATGAATGACTTTCTCCAGATTGAGGTTATACCATCAGACAGACCTTATCTGATTTTACCTTTATTGTTTAGTACTGACTATATTGTATGATTCAAACATGAAATGAGAGTGTGGAGGATACACAATGTGAAATTATGTATAGCAAAAAATTAAGTCTCAACAAGGAGGCCATATTGTGAAAATGGCATTAGTCAAGAATCCATGCTTGCTAGGAAAACTAGGTTGGAAAGACATCCTGGACTGTGTCATTTAATGTTTTTTTAAAACACTGTTCATGAGTTAAGCCTTGCCCAAGTCGGTCTCTTTTACTTATTTTGAATTCAAGATCAGATAAGTAAAAAATACGGAGGCTAGTTCATGAGGTATACTATTAAGAACATGTAATAGGGCCATTGTTTTCAGTCAGAGGGGAGGGGCGCGATTGTGCCATAAACAAGCCAAAAAATAAGATTTATTTTGAATTTTACAGCATTTTAAAGCTCTTTTCTTCTTTCTCATGGTTGTATTTTCATTGATTATGGATGAAAGATATTGATTTACCCCCCCCCCCTGGCTACGCCTATGTGTAATATGTCAACAATGAGAAAATATGTTTTTGGCTAGTCATTTGAATGAATGTTATTTGCCCTATTAAATAAATTAATGTTGCTTGTTAGGTGTTCATATAAATAAAAAATATAAAATCAATTAACTAAAACCATTTTGTTATCTATAATAGTTATGTTATTTTTATCCAATCGAACGAAGTTCGGAGGGATATAGGGAACGCCTCCGTCCGTCCGTCCGTCCATCCGTACGTCCGTCCGGGCAATAACTCAAATACCGTTGGCCCGATTTTGTTCATATTTTGTACACATATACCCTATGGGGGTAGAAGTTCTGCTCGAAAGCCGATTTTCAAAATGGCCGCTCATTTCAAAATGGCGGCCATTTTAGTGCCGATTTTACAGTAATTTAGGTGCAATATGTAAAACTGTAATAGCAATATGTTTTTAGTGTAAAAAAATTATAAAGGACATTAATAAAGCTACAAATGTAGATATTAAAAAAGCACATGGCAGCCATCTTGAAAAATGGCGGCATTTACTCATTATTTTATGATTTTTTGCTGTAACTCGAAAAGTAGTGGAGCGATTTTGTTCATATTTGGTATGTGAATACTATAAACATTGCACACTGTCTAAAGACACTTTTGGTAGAAGGTGGCCATTTTGAAAAATTGTCGTCTTTTTAACGTATTTTACTATAACTCGAAAAGTAGTGGAGCGATTTTGTTTATATTTGGTATGTGAATACTAAAAGCATGGCACACTGTCTATTGACACTTTAGGTAGTAGGCGGCCATTTTGAAAAATGGCCACCATTTTTACAATTTTTACTATAACTCGAAAAGTAGTGGAGCGATTTTGTTTATATTTGGTATGTGAATACTAAAAGCATGGCACACTGTCTATTGACACTTTAGGTAGTAGGCGGCCATTTTGAAAAATGGCCACCATTTTTACAATTTTTACTATAACTCGAAAAGTAGTGGAGCGATTTTGTTCATATTTGATATGTGAATACTCTAAGCATGGCACATTGTCTAATAAAAATTTGGGGAGTAGTCGGCCGTTTTGAAAAATGGCCACCATTTTTATGTGTGTTATTTTACAAGTACATGTGTGCGATTTTTCAAAAATATTATAGGTGGCTACTTAAAAGCATATTATTTCTTCTGATGACAACTTGGCTAGTGAGCAACCATTTTGAAAATGGTGGCCTTTCTGGTGTGTTTTTATGATATTTGCTATATATTTCGTTTGTAAAAATGCCAGCCATTTCTATTCGATGGGATTCGCTACGCTTTGGCGTTGCCGTTGTTCTGGTTTGAGTATTATATATTGGAAAGTCACATACTATAGGTTAAATATCTAGGTTTTGGGTTTTCAATTTGTTGCCCTTATTTATTTTATGTTTTGATATATCTTTCAGGTTGAAAACCTAGGTTCGTAATGTTCAGAGCACCTTCATCAAGTTTCATTTCATAATTTGTGTTTTCAATATATTGCCGTTTGTGTCCCACCTCAGTGATGTTTTTCAAAATACTACTATTTCTAATAGGGTACTCAATTCAAATTGGCACCATTTTCACTGGCCTCCACTTGGTTATTAAGACATTACGCTTTATAACAAAATGGACGAACTTCCATCGGAGGAAATATTTATTTTCGTCATTTTCACCTAGAAGGAGGTCGATTTGTATCCACACATTTTATCCTTATGTTAATAGTAGCATCTGGTTCAGCAACTAGGATGTCAATAGGCCATAAAGTAAAGCAACCAAGACTTGAAATTCACCAGATAGGGTCTCGGTTGCTGAAGTGAGGAATTCTCACTCGATTATTGGAGCTGCTATTAACTGACTGTCTATTAACTTTATTACAGCTAAAATATTTGGACACAAATTGACCTCCTTATTGGTGACAATGATGAATATAAAAATATCCTCCAACGAAAGTTCATCCATTTTGTTATAAAGACATACGTAACATCTTTAAAACTGGTTGGGGACCAGTGATTTTCAGGAGAATTATATTTATGATTCTCGTCCATTTATGGATTTGGTCAAATTTTTAAGCTTTTTGGTATAGGCCCTCTACTTACCTGAGAAGGAATTCCTTATATGGTGTCATCTCATGGATGTATATTTTGCCAAAAGGAGACCATATTACTACACTACTGCCAGGTTATTTCGTTCATGAAATGATCAAAATGATGACTGATTTCATAAAATACTGGATTTGTCTTAAATTTGGTGCTACTTCATTTTGGCGGTTTTATATTTTTGGCCCTATTGATGACTATTTAATGAGGCTGTTTTTCAAGTGTCCCCGACATCCTCCTGTCTAACCAAATTCAAAATATTCATTGTCAGTGTTGTTGATGAACAATTGCTTCAATATTTCTTGTTGTTCCTATCAATTTAAATGGCCTGGCCATCTTGGTATCTTTCTTATATCTGTAAAATGCACCGAAATGAAAAACATGTCAAATTCCCAGGGATTTTGGTGACTATTAAATTTGGCAATTTTTTCTATTCGCAAAAATACACCAATTTAAAACGCTCGCCAAATTAAAGACAAATACAGTATGTTTTGTTTCGTGGGATCTGATACTCAGAGGAGTTGCAATTTTTTTTATAACTTTTTTTGTACTTTGTCTTTTGATCTGAAACTTTCTGACTTTTTATGTCACCACCAAAAAATGGTGACATATTGTTATGGTCACCGTTTCTTTGTGACGATATGTGTCTGTTAACGCCTTTGACCTATGACTAGTCATTTCTGAGATCATAGTTGTAATTCTCTATAGCCTTACCATTTAAGGGTTAAGAGAGAAATTACATCAAATAGGTTTAAATGACACACCTTAAGAGAGAAATGACATCGAATTTACATAAATCATATGTAAGAAACAGAGGGGAAATTGGCTAGCAGATTAGATTTAGGGTATGTATGTAGATGAATTGATTGACACATTTACTGTTTATTGTATTATTCAGGATCTCCCAACTGGGGCTGATAGCTGTGTAACAAGCCTGACTCATGACACATTTGGTCAATCTCTTGTTGTGGCAGGTTGTATTACTGCTTATTGTATTATTCAGGATCTCCCAACTGGGGCTGATAGCTGTGTTACAAGCCTGACTCATGAGACATATGGTCAGTCTCTTGTAGTGGCAGGTTGTATTACTGCTTATTGTATTATTCAGGATCTCCCAACTGGGGCTGATAGCTGTGTAACAAGCCTGACTCATGACACATTTGGTCAATCTCTTGTTGTGGCAGGTTGTGTTACTGCTTATTGTATTATTCAGGATCTCCCAACTGGGGCTGATAGCTGTGTTACAAGTCTGACTCATGAGACATATGGTCAGTCTCTTGTAGTGGCAGGTTGTATTACTGCTTATTGTATTATTCAGGATCTCCCAACTGGGGCTGATAGCTGTGTTACAAGTCTGACTCATGAGACATATGGTCAGTCTCTTGTTGTGGCAGGTTGTATTACTGCTTATTGTATTATTCAGGATCTACCAACTGGGGCTGATAGCTGTGTTACAAGCCTGACTCATGACACATTTGGTCAGTCTCTTGTTGTGGCTGGTTGTATTACTGCTTATTGTATTATTCAGGATCTACCAACTGGGGCTGATAGCTGTGTTACAAGCCTGACTCATGACACATTTGGTCAGTCTCTTGTTGTGGCTGGTTGTATTACTATTCATTGTATTATTCAGGATCTCCCAACTGGGGCTGATAGCTGTGTTACAAGCCTGACTCATGACACATTTGGTCAGTCTCTTGTTGTGGCTGGTTGTATTACTATTCATTGTATTATTCAGGATCTCCCAACTGGGGCTGATAGCTGTGTTACAAGCCTGACTCATGAGACATTTGGTCAGTCTCTTGTTGTGGCTGGTTGTATTACTGCTTATTGTATTATTCAGGATCTCCCAACTTGGGCTGATAGCTGTGTTACAAGCCTGACTCATGAGACATTTGGTCAGTCTCTTGTTGTGGCTGGTTGTATTACTGCTTATTGTATTATTCAGGATCTACCAACTGGGGCTGATAGCTGTGTTACAAGCCTGACTCATGACACATTTGGTCAGTCACTTGTTGTGGCAGGTTGTATAACTATTCATTGTATTATTCAGGATCTCCCAACTGGGGCTGATAGCTGTGTTACAAGCCTGACTCATGACACATTTGGTCAGTCTCTTGTTGTGGCTGGTTGTATTACTGCTTATTGTATTATTCAGGATCTACCAACTGGGGCTGATAGCTGTGTTACAAGCCTGACTCATGAGACATTTGGTCAGTCTCTTGAAGTGGCAGGTTGTATTACTGCTTATTGTATTATTCAGGATCTCCCAACTGGGGCTGATAGCTGTGTTACAAGCCTGACTCGTGAGACATTTGGTCAGTCTCTTGTTGTGGCAGGTTGTATTACTGCTTATTGTATTATTCAGGATCTCCCAACTGGGGCAGATAGCTGTGTTACAAGCCTGACTCATGAGACATTTGGTCAGTCTCTTGTTGTGGCTGGTTGTATTACTGCTTATTGTATTATTCAGGATCTACCAACTGGGGCTGATAGCTGTGTTACAAGCCTGACTCATGACACATTTGGTGGTCAGTCTCTTGTTGTGGCAGGTTGTATTACTGCTTATTGTATTATTCAGGATCTACCAACTGGGGCTGATAGCTGTGTTACAAGCCTGACTCATGAGACATTTGGTCAGTCTCTTGTAGTGGCAGGCTGTATTACTGCTTATTGTATTATTCAGGATCTCCCAACTGGGGCAGATAGCTGTGTTACAAGCCTGACTCATGACACATTTGGTCAGTCTCTGGTAGTGGCAGGTTGCGGCGATGGGTCTGTCAGATTGTACGACAGGAGGCTCTCTCAGAGTGAATGGTAAATGATCTTTCATTTTGTTTGTTGAAAAATATTCAATACAGATTTTTTGTGAGATAATTAATTAATTAATGTAAAATCGGGAATTCAGGATCCTGCAAATTTAAAGTGTTTTGTATGTCTTTTCTAGTTATTATTGAATGTAATTGGAACTCTAACCCTCTGAAAATAAATGGTTTATTTGATCAGTCAGATCTGACAAGGTTTATCTGTTTTTTCCAGCCGTGTGATGACATTGCGAGAACATAGTGGCTGGGTTGTGAAAGTTCATCTTCAACAGGGTATTGATGGAAAGATTATCAGTGGCAGGTATGTAGACTAGACGTCCTCTGATCACAGGGCTTCAAAATTTAGAATATCTTCTTTCTTTTTACCCCCTACTATAACCAAGTTGGAAGCGCCTGATTAAACTGAATCACGTAATCTAATGATGCGCCGATGACGTATACATGATTGCAGTTGCAGTGTTGGGACAGCGAATCAAATTGCGAGTTCTTAATCGGGGAAATGCTAACTGCTTATAGCAGGGGGGAAGAAGGAGGTACAGATTCTGGACACCTGCTTAGGAGGATGTAGACTAGAGGGCGTGGCCTTTGTTAGTTCAATTGGGTAGGCCACGTCATAACTCCCTGTTAAGTCCCGATTTTTACTGCTTATCCTGATTTTTTAGTCAAACCCTCGGTTTTCTAAAATCCTGCTGATTCATCGAATTATTAAACCCCAATTTTTCTCCTTATTTTTAGCAATCCATGTTTTCTCTCGATTTTTTCATATTGTCCATTTATTTTTCAAAACCCCGATTTTTCTCTTGATTTCTTTTAGAAACTAAGATTCTCCAAATTTTTCAAATGATACCAAGATGTTCTATTCTCCTCCACATATGACTGAGCAATGAGGGATTTAAGTGACCATGTCAGAAATAGGTTTGTGCCACTTTTAGCCAAGTCAATTTCATGATCATGATCATGATTCATGATGTAATAACAAACATCAGGATATTACTGATCTGGCATTGTCACTTAAATCCCTTAGAACTCAGTTATCCATGAAGGAAAATAGACAACTTTGATAGAAAGAGGACATCATAACCTGTCAGATGGTAGCTGTAAAATTTTCCTATTATTACTCTTCTTTGAGAAATTAGTAATTTAATCTCGATTTCCTTTTTTGGGACACCCTGTATATTCACATCATGCTATTGTATGTTTCAGCGTTGGTGGTGATATCCGTTTTTGGGACCCCAGGTTCACAGAGTCAGTAAAGACAATCTCAACTTCTCAGGGCCTAACATCATTAGAGGTGCATGAGTATGCTGATGTGCTTGCGTGGTAAGTTTCATATTTCTTAAGTCTCCCTAACCCTACTTAGTAGAACAGGAACGATCTTATTATGTCACCACCAGACGAGATGACATTGTAATAGTCTCCAACCTTTTTTGGACATTTTGGTGGTGGACCTTCGGTGGTCAGCAATCGCATCTGTAACAAATGGCAGGTGGTGACATTTGTCAGGTTAATGCCTTGTTATGGTAGTTTTTTTCATTTTTTGAATTATTTATTTTTGGCATAACTTTATGTGTATATTGTTTATTTCAGCGGAAGTGTCAACCAGTACATTAGTGTGTTCAACCAATCAGGGGACAGTCTCAGCAATATCAAATACCACGAGGGCTTCATGGGGCAGAGAATTGGGCCAATCACATGCATGGCATTTCACCCACATAGGGTAAGTTATTGAAATAACCTAGTTCAGTGAGTATCTAGTTCCATGACTGCCTAAAATTTCACTTCAAGCATCTAAATTTCATTGTTGCAGGGAATGTTGCATTTCATTGACTTTGTTTTTAAAATGTTGAAGTGTTAATGTCTAATCGCTTTGCCTATGTGTTTTATTTTTGTTATATTTTAGTGACTCTCTGTACCAAATGCATGACATAAATGGCAATCGTGTGCAAAGACTGAACCGAATGCATTCGCTTTTTTCTCCATTCGGTATTTTACCGTGTCGGCATTTCACAAAAAACGACTTTTGAAAATATCAACAAAATGCGTGTTTTGCGTGATATTTGATCATACACGCTAAATTGATGCGTGATTTCTATTTTTCCAGCAAATGCGTGACAATCACGCCTAATGCGTGAAGGTTGGGAGGGCAGCTACCTGTTATATTTCAATGACTACCTCTTGTATTCAATGACTACCTCTTCTTTTTCCAGGTGAAGTTGGCTGCAGGGAGCACAGATGCCTTTGTCTCAGTTTACAGTACACCAGACAAGAAGAGGTGACTAGACCGCAACTCTAAAGTGGTCAGCCAGATCTATTCCCATTACATGTAGAGGTGACTAGACCGCAGCTCTAAAGTGGTCAGCCAGATCTATTCCCATTACATGTAGAGGTGACTAGACCGCAACTCTAAAGTGGTTTGCCAAATCTATTCCCATTACATGTAGAGGTGACTAGACCGCAACTCTAAAGTGGTCAGCTAGATCTATTCCCATTACATGTAGAGGTGACTAGACCGCAACTCTAAAGTGGTCAGCCAAATCTATTCCCATTACATGTAGAGGTCTATTCACAGACATTTTGGGGATCTATTCACAGAACAGAATATCTATTTCCAGTACATGCACAGGTGTATAGTCAAGGAACACTATATCTATTACCAATCCGTGCACATGCTTGTACAGATATATTCACAAAACAATATATATATTCCCCGTACATCTACTGATCTCTATTATTTGCAGAACAGTATGTGTTTAGTCTGTTACCAGTATCCCTGAGCAGTATATTTATTGCCAGTTCACAGCACATGTAAATCTATTACCAGTACATGTACAGATGTCTCTTAACAGAACAGTATGAATATTGCCAGTACATGTGTATTTATCTTATTCTAGAAAAGTAAGTTTATCTATTGACAGAACATCATGTACAGATGTCTATTATTGCAATCTATTGCCAGTACACTTGCACAAGGTCATATATTGTTTAATCATATATTGTAACTCTATTAAGTGTTCAGCCAGATGTATTCTCTACATTCACAAAACAGTGTACATGTACCTATTTCCAGTATATATAAAGACTAGAGAGTATGTAATTACCTATTATATGTACATGTACATGTAATAGCATTTAGGTAGTTCTGCACCTTAATAAAAAATTGAAAAAGAATTGGGAAATTTCACTTCAAAATAATTTTAGCATAATATTTTCATTTTGAACTATGTGTTTTTATAATTTGTGAAAAAATCCACATAAAATTTTGAAAAATGTTACCCACTTCTAATCATTAAATTTTGGTAATTGTAATTATGCAAATACTCACCATGCTGGTCTACCTTAAACAACCTGGTCTATTTTAAACAACCTGGTCTAATGGTACACCTGGAAACATTAAACAAACTCTGCATTGAATTGATTGAATAGATTACACAGCCAATCTGCAACAATACCGGATGGTACCATTTTGGCAATGGTACTATGAAATATGGTACTGTACCGTAGGCTAAAATGGTACCGTACGGTACTGTGAACACTGTACGACACCATACTCCAACGGTACCGTATGGTACCATACTCTTAATGTACCATACGGTACCGTGATTTTACAGTGTGGATTGGGGTGTTCGCTCATTATGTGCAATAGAAATAAGTCTTGATAAACACATTTATAAATATGTTCATTTCCTCTCATGACAAACAATTATGGTGTTAACAAACGTGTTCATTTATAAAAAAATATCTGTAATCTCATCGATGGTACATGGGTATAAATCTAGAATTCATTTTACACAGAACATCAATAAGTTATTGTATTGGTGGCTGTCATTTAGCATCTGTAACAATGTGTTACATTTGTGTAACATAGTGATTTATCGTATGATCTGTAAAATGAAGTCTTCTGATTGGTCAATTCTTGTGCTGTACCAATCTGTATTGATACTGAGATTGTCCCCGTTGATCATCTCCGTCTTAATACAGAAAATATTTGTATGGAGGGGACAATCTCAGTAGCAATACAGAGGATCACACAATAAAAACGTTATTGAATGATTTGAAGTGCAATACAGGATATATTCTGTTCTAGAAATTCCGTATTGGAATGAGACGAAGTTGAGTGCCAATACAGAATATCGAGATAACTTCAATAACTTGTAATGTTGTCATGTTAATATCCTTGTATGTAAATAATATCAGCATAATGTAGTGAACGATTTGTATATGTATTATACATAAGAAGGTAATAATATGAACCTCTATAATATGCTGTTATGTAAATATGTAAAATAAAATATCATGCAATCATAAAATATTTGTACATAGAAATATGTGCGTATATTATGTACACAATTTTGCCAAACATTTTTGCAAAACGCACATTAATACCATTATAGGTTATCCCATTGTTATCTCATTGAATAAAGGTTGAGTAGGGATATATATAGGTTATTTACTGGGAGGGATCGAATATGGGTTTTATTCCGAGGGACAATATGATATTGACCGAAGGGTAATATGATATTGACCGAGGGAGCGCAGCGACCGAGTGTCAATATCATATTTCCCAAGGTCAATATCATATTTTCCGTGGTATAAACCCATATTCAATCCCGACCAGAAATAACCTATTTATTCCATAATACATTCCTCCTTAAAATGTTACATTTGGATAATGCTTTTATCAATTAGTCAAGGTTAAAAATAACCAGGAAAACCAAAAATAGGTTAATACGTTCCAATACGATTTTTGTCCCGGGGACAATACGATTTTTCCATGTAATACGCTCCAATACGATTTTTTTTTCCGGGGACAATACGATTTTTTCATGTAATACGATTCAATACGATTTTTATTCCTTCATATTTCCCTGGGAAAACAGTAGTATTATGGAATAATGATGATTTACCACTTGATGTATCTGTTTAAGGAATAAAGGATAGGCCATTCAATATAAAGTAGTTATTCACCAGGAGGGATTTGATATGGGGAATATCACGAGGATGATTCCCGAGGGAATGCAGTGACTGAAAAATTTTGGAAAAATTCAAAATTTTGGAAAAATTCAAAATTTTGAAAAATGTTTTTTTTGAACAAATGAATTTTTGGGGAAATGTAATATTTTTGAATTTACCCAGGATGATATCAATATCAACCCTAATTTCATTTTTTTAATCCCGATATCATCCCTGTTCAATTATATGATTTATCACTTGCTATCATATACCTGATATTGCTCTGACCATGGTGCAAGGTGAAATTCAGTATGAGTTGGACAGAATGGGTAGAGATTAAAAGGTGGATTGGATCGAGTGGATTGGATTCATGTAAAAGGTGGATTGGATCGGGAATCTTCAAAATGTGGAATTTCTTATAAAAAAATTCTGTTGATCTCCCTCTAAACAATTTCCCTCTACAGTATCACAGGTCCTTTTTGAGAAATCAGAACAAAGCAATGACAAAAACATACTCCAATTAGTTCATGGACACTCTTAAGTATTTAACCGCTTTCCCTTGTAAATCAACTTTTGTAAGACATAGATCTTTAAAAAAAGAAATGAATGTTTGTGAATGTTCACAAAACATTTCTGGTATGTTCAGTTTGGATTGAAAACAGATGATATGGATCTTCAAACCAGTCTGCCTTATGATTTATGAAATGCCTCAAATTACACTTGGAATGAATAAAATCGTGTATCAGAAAGCGGGTACCAGGTCATCCTTCTAGCCCATCCAAGGAAAATAATATTACATCTATTATTTGACATTGTGCAAGTGAAGAGAGCACCAATCTTCCTAAAGGGAGATCAATAGAAGTTTTTAAAGGAAAATCCATATTTTGAAGATAGCCAATCCAATCCACCTTTTACATGAATCCAATCCACTCGATCCAATCCACCTTTTAATCTTTACCACAGAATGTCGTACAAAAAAGCACAGCGAATGAAGAATTTCACCATATTGAATGGCCTATCATTATTTATTCCGATTCAAACATAAAAAATGAAACATTGTTTAAAGAGAATCGGGGATTGGTGGTTCATGAATTAACCAAACTTCCTGTTATATTCGCCGACACCATCCCCAGCTGTGACGTCACAATATTCAATTCAAGAGTTTACAATACGGCAACCACTTTATTCAGTGGGATTTACTTTTCCTCGATGGTGCTGTTTCCTGGTTAACATTTAAAAAAATTTAAAATAGAGAAATTGTACCATAATATGTAATGCTCCAAATATGAACAGAAGGCCATGTGTTATGACTATGTGTATTTTATATTGATTGATTTAGGGAAGATAAATAAAATAGATGAAATATAATGTAATTTTATTATGATTCCATGTTCATTTTTCTTCATTTTGCCAGAAAAGGAAGTATACGTGGGAATGTATGTTTTTAAAGAAATTTCCTCTCTACACCCTCAATCCGCAACATCATCTTGCAAAATAGTTCTGAACAGTGCAGTTCGAGTACTGCTTTTACAAACAGCGATGTACAGTGCTGTTTTTGCAGCGCTGTTTCATAAACAGCACTGTTTGACATTGGCAGTATAACATGTCTAATATACATATAAGATGTGAATCATTTACGCAATAGCTGAGTGGAAGCAGGAAATTTTGTGAAGAAATTATTTGTCTTGATGAATATTTCTCAGTGTGAGATATTTGTGTGCCACTCTCATTACGGATTGCGGTACCTGTTATAGACTGGTTTGATTGTTTCGGTACAATTTTTTGACAAAAAGTTTGTAATAAAAGATTTTGTGCCTTTTTAGCACCTCAAATATCCTTTGTTACAAATAAAAGCTTTTTTGTCAAAATGTCTTGCTATGATATTCTTGATTTTGTATTGCATAACATGACTAACATGACTATGTGATACCCATATATGGAGGTAAAGATTAAAAGGTGGATTGGATCGAGTGGATTGGATTCATGTAAAAGGTGGATTGGATTGGCTATCTTCAAAATATGGATTTTCCTTTAAAAACTTCTATTGATCTCCCTTTAGGAAGATTGGTGCTCTCTTCACTTGCACAATGTCAAATAATAGATGTAATATTATTTTCCTTGGATGGGCTAGAAGGATGACCTGGTACCCGCTTTCTGATACACGATTTTATTCATTCCAAGTGTAATTTGAGGCATTTCATAAATCATAAGGCAGACTGGTTTGAAGATCCATATCATCTGTTTTCAATCCAAACTGAACATACCAGAAATGTTTTGTGAACATTCACAAACATTCATTTCTTTTTTTAAAGATCTATGTCTTACAAAAGTTGATTTACAAGGGAAAGCGGTTAAATACTTAAGAGTGTCCATGAACTAATTGGAGTATGTTTTTGTCATTGCTTTGTTCTGATTTCTCAAAAAGGACCTGTGATACTGTAGAGGGAAATTGTTTAGAGGGAGATCAACAGAATTTTTTTATAAGAAATTCCACATTTTGAAGATTCCCGATCCAATCCACCTTTTACATGAATCCAATCCACTCGATCCAATCCACCTTTTAATCTCTACCTATATGGAAGGACATTGAGTTGCATCCCGGAGAGCCAATCCTCCCTGACCATGATGACGGATAAATTGTCGCTACCTGGTAGAAGATGGTAGTATAAGAGATTGAAAATGTCAAGTCAATCTTAACATTTTTCTTCCAATAATACAAATGGTTACAAAAGTTACATTGTTTCAGACACCAAGTGTCCGTTCTGGTAAAAATGGAGTCCATGACACTATTAGGTAGAAAACAACTTACTTTTCTGCCATAGGATAACATGGTGAATTGACAAAGTTTGAGAGAATATTACAAAAATCCTAGCCCATCAATTTCACTCATATTAACAGACAATAAAGAGATATCCTTAAACTTACCTCAGAAAAAGTCTTGAAAAAAATATCCCACGAAAATCAAAAGAACCGCTGGATTGTTCACACGCGTAGTGATTTTTCAATGGAAAAATAACATGGCCCAGCCAACACACCCCCTATCTCATCAATATATTCCAAAATATAATCCAATTTTTTCATGAGTTTTCTGCTTTTATCCAATGCCTAAGAGTCTGTACTTACTTATTAACCAGCAAAAAGGTACATTGCATCCTAATATGTCCCATTTATACACCATCCAACACCCAAACAGTTTTTCAAAATGGACTACTTTTCCTATACGATGAGTAAACAAAAGGCCAAGTGAGTTGTATTGTACCAATGTCACCACAGTAACACATAAAATGAACATAAACCATTTTGGATCACATATTTTCTTTAACTATGTATTTCTGTATGGCGTTTTTACTTATTATCCATAGATGTACAGTTATATAATAATGTTATAGAATTATCTTTATAACAAGATGGACATGTATTTGAGAAAAAGTACAATCTGAGCAATTTATCAAAATATACTGACACTTTTATCATGAACATTGAGCGTAAAAAAATGAAACAAATTTGGACAAGAATTGATACATTAAAGTACTATTCATATAGTATTGAAGGTATAGGATTCTAATGTCAGGTTTAAACAATGGAATCCTGATTAATTTAATGAAAAAGTTATTTATAGATAAAGACCTCATATTCAGATGCAATGATGAATATCATACTGAACCTGCTAACACGCATAACATCAAAATATGTGTTGTATGTTAGATCCTTCATTTTATTTTGCCAATATACAGGGTGTTCATAAAGTCCCTAAAATACAGTCTGTGTAAAGAGGCTTTCTGGACACCCTGTATTGATTTGATAACAAAACATACATAATTGGCATTTGACAGTTCTAATAAATGGCATATATATTCAGCACTCTGGCTAAATCATGTTCTAGACTAAACTACAGTTATATATTCTAACTTAGAAACAATCAAATTGTCACACTCATCCAGTCACATACATCCACATTTATATAGGCAGATCAACTTCATACTTTCAATGAGTATAAATTGCACACAATGCAAATTGTCATCCAGTACAGTGGTGTAACCAGGACCTAAAAATAGGTGAAGCAAATGTACATAGGTGAGGCAAATGAATATAGGTGAGGCAAATTTAAAAAGGAGAGGCAAATTTGAGTAAAATGGAAAATAGTACTTACTACAAATCAATTCCTCAGTTTCAATTTAAACAAAATGTCTCAATTTGTATTTTTCCATAAAATTTTGGTGAGACGTTTGCCTCGCAAGACATTTGCCTCAACTACCTTAAGACTGGCAATAATTTGTATTTTTCCATAAAGCTTTGGTGAGACGTATTTTGCCTCGCAAGACATTTGCCTCAACTACCTTAAGACTGGCAATAATTTGTATTTTTCCATAAAATTTTGGTGAGACGTTTGACTCGCAAGACATTTGCCTCGACTACCTTAAGATTGGCAATAATTTGTATTTTTCCATAAAATTTTGGTGAGACGTTCGCCTCGCAAGATATTTGCCTCAACTACCTTAAGACTGGCAATAATTTGTATTTTTCCATAAAGTTTTGGTGAGACGTTCGCCTCGCAAGATATTTGCCTCAACTACCTTAAGACTGGCAATAATTTGTATTTTTCCATAAAGCTTTGGTGAGACGTTCGCCTCGCAAGATATTTGCCTCAACTACCTTAAGACTGGCAATAATTTGTGTTTTTCCATAAAGCTTTGGTGAGACGTTTGACTCGCAAGACATTTGCCTCACCTGCCTTAAGACTGGCTACACCCATGCAGTAGAATACACAGTTAGATAGTTCACAAATGTACAAATTATTTTAATGATAAACAATAGAATAGAAATGTTGGTCCCTGGCTTTGTAAGTTGAATGTTCATATGTACAAGTATTCAACACAACTGTAACAAAATACATACTTACTAAAGCATTTAACAAACAATGATGAGCTGAGTGTTCATGAGTCATTACCCATAAATTAAGGTAGTCAGTCGGTTACTTTCTCAGATTCAAATTCTAACAAGCCGATTGCCTTAAACAATTAACAAATGGCACCTTATAAAAAGTGTTACACATCACATTTTCTGTTGCTATGGTACTGCTGCTATACATATCTACCTTAGCACCATCCTTAATGGGTGATAAATTACTCCATAGAACAGGTTGATTTTGCATATTTGACATTTTTTGTACACTGTCAGTATCAGTAAATTATGTGTGAAACCCTTAAAATGTTGCTTTGTCTTTCAGGATCACATTCCCAATGTATTGGTGCTTATCACGAGTTGTTTTCATCATTAGTCATACTTGGGAAATGTGGTATTTTTTCAAGGTCCTTGTAAAATTATTTCAGTGTTGGGGATAAAAATTTCCAATGAATAGTTATAAAAATTATAAAATGATACTTATTATGTGTGGTACCTGTCATGTGGTACTTATCATACATGGTACTTATAATGCATGGTACTTATCACCTGTGAGACTGTTTGAATTTAAGTTGTCAATATGAATGGATGGGGAATCAGGTTACGCACACCCACTCTTACAAATATGAGGATCAAGAATATTGTCATCTGATGGTTTTGCGGGGAGTGTTGATTTATCTAAACTGTCAAAGTACGGATGAAGGAGGGCCGCCTTGGCTGATATTCTCTTGGCAGGGTCATAGATGAGCATTTTCTGGAAAAATAAAGAGATATAAGTCTTAGAATTTCGTCACACGGTTACAATAACATTGATCTTAATGTGGTTCTTCTAACATCAATCAGTCTCAAGTATACGAAAGATTTTCAAATTGCAATTTTTCTCAAGCAAACAAAACAGGATAAACTTATTACTGATTTTGAAAAACCTCTTTACTGAAAACAATACAATCTACACCCTTGGACATCATCAATCTGGACAATAAATCCCAAGTACATGTACTTTGATTTATCAAAAAAGTGGCAGGATTTATTGGAAAGATCTAATAGTTAAAAACACTAAATTATATCAAGTTATAACTACATGTATATACACTATTTAGACTTACTTGTAAAAGGTCTAGGCCTGTTTCGTCAAGTTATAGCTACATGTATATACACTATTTAGACTTACTTGTAAAAGGTCTAGGCCTGTTTCGTCAAGTTATAACTACATGTATATACACTATTTAGACTTACTTGTAAAAGGTCTAGGCCTGTTTCGTCAAGTTATAACTACATGTATATACACTTTTTAGACTTACTTGTAAAAGGTCTAGGCCTGTTTCGTCAAGTTATAACTACATGTATATACACTATTTAGACTTACTTGTAAAAGGTCTAGGCCTGTTTCGTCAAGTTATAACTACATGTATATACACTATTTAGACTTACTTGTAAAAGGTCTAGGCCTGTTTCGTCAAGTTATAACTACATGTATATACACTATTTAGACTTACTTGTAAAAGGTCTAGGCCTGTTTCGTCAAGTTATAACTACATGTATATACACTTTTTAGACTTACTTGTAAAAGGTCTAGGCCTGTTTCGTCAAGTTATAACTACATGTATATACACTTTTTAGACTTACTTGTAAAAGGTCTAGGCCTGTTTCGTTCAGTTGTTTGACAGCAGTTTGCAGCTCGTTCTTTTTCCAGTTTGGGAATGTAGGTTTGTAATCTGGTAAACTGGTCACTCCTGGCCATGTCTCCTCTGTGGGTGTTTTCATGATTCTGTAATACAATTAAACGCTCTAATTCCGCAATTTTGTGTCCATTTTAAATTACCATTTTCATTTTACAATTTTCTAGATATTTCTCGATTCAATGAGTAGGATACTTCAAATTCAAAATAGACCAAATGGCGTTATATATAATCGGGCGTTATGTTCAAATATTTTCAGCTTCAAATATTAGACTCTATTATTATCTAACTGTCGTATTCTTCACTATGATTGGTCTATGTCCTTCATGTGACTAAAAAATAACTAGCCATATTCAACGGAGGTCACATGACTTCTGTTGATGATATTCAATCATATTCATCAGTCACTACTAAGTCCAGCGTAGTTTTAATTTTATAGTATACATCCCCAGGAGTACATTCTTACTACTATACATGTAATTAGACATCAATTGTTTGTTATTCCATTAATCTGAGTGAGGGATATAACAACGAATGATAAAACAAATATTTAATTCTATTTAATTCACCTAAATAGAATAAAATATTTGTATAATATTTTCAGACTATACCTGAATATTCTAAAGAGCTGATCAATTTCTGAATCGCCGTGGAACAGGGGTCTCTTAGTGACCATCTCAGCAAAAATACAACCAATACTCCAAACATCGACTGGGCAGGAGTAACGTGGGGATCCCAATAGTACTTCAGGGGCACGATACCATAGCGTCACCACCTGGAGTAAAAGAAACAATAATTATAAAATAAGTATTTGAAACATTTTCTAGTATTACTTCAAAATTCATCATTTCATTCAGAACACAGCTTGATTTACATTCAAGGAATGTTAATAATCAATAAATGAGCCTGGCCATAGGAAAACCGGTCTTATCACAGAAATTAAAATTGTGCTACAGAGTCAAAAATGTGCCCAAGATTAAGAGGAAAATGTGCTAAATTAAGATCCGACTTTCCGGTCTATATATGCAAGGAAAAATTGTTAGGACATATGCCATGGCTCATTTGAAAGGTTTCTTTGTGCTTTTTAAGATAAACAAAAAAAATCATCATATTGAAAAAATCTGTGATAAGACCCCTTTTCCTGTGGCCTGGCTCATTTCTTAAAATTCCAATTATTAAACAGATGCTACAAAACGTATTTCGCATTTATTGCATTTACCTCATGGGTATAGACACGGACTGGTATTCCGAACGCCCTAGCAAGACCGAAATCTGCAAGTTTAATGACACCTTTGTTGTCTATAAGTAAATTCTGGGGCTTGAGATCCCTGTGGAGAACACGCCTCTTATGGCAAAACACGATTCCTTGTAGAATCTGATAGGTATAACTCTGAAATACATAAAAATCGCATTTTATTACAAATCAACAAGCAAACAACAATGTATACATAAACCTTTTGTAACTAGACAACAGCAACGGCAAAGCATAGCAAATCCCATCCAACAGCAATGGCTGGCATTTTTACAAACCAAATATATAGCAAATATCGTAAAAGGCAGCCATTTTTTAAGATGGATGGACGGAGGTGTTCCCTATATCCCTCCGAACTTTGTTCAATGGGATAACAATGTATACATAAACAATTTGTAAATGTGAAGGCATTTTTATTTAAGTTGGAATACTGCTCAATAATATCACATGTTTGGTAAAACATAACATAATCACCATTATTAGTATCAACTCACTAATTTGTCCCGATCCAACTTCATAAATATCAACCGAACCATTCACTTGAGACCCTAAATTATTTATTTCCGGGAAGACCTCACTATTTTCGAGACATTTGTAAGTTTTTCTTATAATCTATGTATGATATAAAAAAATTGTTCCACTTATTTTTTTCAATTTTCCAGATCAGCTCCATCAACATAAATTAGCAAATAGAACTAAGAGATACTACATCGTGGCTTACTCTACTTACCATCACCAATTTGCTGTCCATGACTTGGCCAGATGGGATGGAGTCGAAATATTTTTTCAGGTCCATGGATAAGAATTCAAAGACCAGATAGAGTTTGTTCTCTTGCATAAGGACATCTTCCAATCTGAAATCAAAAATCGAACAATAGGTCAATACATGATCAAGGGTGTCATTGTCATACAGAATTTTTCTTTCAGCCAATTGAGTGCAATTCTGAGAAAGCTGGTTAAATGTACGAGAGTTATGGGTAAAGCATCTTACTACTGAACCGGGTGAGGCCTCTATAAAAGGCATTTCTATAAATGGGAATCCAAATAAACAATATGTACTATTAAAGATAAAGATCAACTTTTGATCTCCCAGCATTAAAGCAAGTGGGCACCACACCCACCTGAGATTTTTAAAAGAGGCTTGCACCCACCTGAAAATCCATTTGTACTAACTTGAAAATGAGAAAAATCATGAAAAAGTGGCAGATTTTGACCAATTTTAGTCTGAATTGTGACAGTGAATGAGAATTTTGCACCTTAGAAAAAATCCTGGGGAGATCTCTGAAGACCCATCACAAAATTTTACTTACCCAACAATATTAGGATGTACAAGTTCTTTTAGGAGTGAGATCTCCCTGATGGCTGTTGATGGGACACCCTCTTCTTCACTTTCCAGCCGAATCTTCTTCAAAGCGACTGTTTTGTTGGTCTTCTTATTACGTCCCTTATATACCACACCATAGGTACCTAGAATGGGTTATCATTCACCAAATATAAATTATAGGCTCCAAAAATAGATACTCACATGTATGGATCACTAATTGTGTTCAAGGATTTTTAGACAATAATTTCAGACAACAAGCAAAGTTATTATACATGTATTGTAATTTTAATATCAAACAGTTGCGAAACTTCTGACAAAATAAAGATTTTGCTTAAAAACAACCACAAAAATATCAAACTGGTGCCTTTTGATAACAATCCCTGAGTATTTTCTGTTCAAATTTGAATGACCTCTTTTATGAAGTACTGTCTTTTTCATGAAAAGTTTTGATGCAGAAAATTAAAAAAAAGCTTAATTATTACCTTAAAATGGAGATTCACTAAAAGTCTATAGTTTCTTAGAAACTTACCTTCACCAATCTTTTCTATTTTTACGTAATCTTCCATCTCGAAACAGTCCTTTCAACAAACAGTTGGGTCCTGAAACAAATGTTTGATCTGGTAACTACTAGTTTATTTTCAAACTTCATTTCAAAGATAAGATAATGTGATTCCCCACTTTCATGAACAATTTCAAAATATTATCAAAATTTTGTTCCTAGTTTTATGGAAGCGGGAAACAAAATTCAAATCAGCTCACATGTAAGCCTACAGGCTACAGTCGACAGTCAATATATTTTGACAAATACCATTAGACATTTCTACCATCTAATTGTTTGATCATTCATTTTCTCACCATCTCGCCTGAATCAAACAGCATCTCTGAATCTATCAACTACCATGGGTGTAGCGCCTATTACGCACGGTATGCCCGTGCGTACCAAATGAATTTGATAAAAATAATGTTCAAATGCATTACATTTGTTTGCAAATTTATTGATGGTTCTGTATTTGTAATTTTTTAAAAAATGATAAAAATGTTCAAATTGCATCTTATGGACGTAATTAAATGCTTTGACGCCTATGGAGAACTTCCCATTATCCATGCACCAGGGCCTCGTTCAAAAGATATTCTGTTTTTAAGAAACACAACTTTCTACCTACTAGATCTAGATTCAGAGTAGTAGGCTAGATCTAGATTAACTGGTTGTTTGAAAATTTAGGCTAAAAAGAACTGAAAATTTATTCAAATAATGTCAGTTAGCCTATTACAGAAATTAGATTACAACAACTGCCACAATTTGAATAGAGAAAGAAGGATACATTTCCTGCGACATTACAGTAACTATTACTCTATGGAATACATCAGAATATAGGCTACTTTGTATTTACTAAGAATACTTTGGTTCCAACTGATTATCAATTCTCAGTCAAACAAAAGTTCAAAACTTTTTCAAAATGCTTATCTCTTCAACATCGATTTAAAGTGTCAAACACAACCAATCTAGAGTCCAAATTGCTTCAACATGATACATATGTATTGAATAATGTGAATCACATACTCTTACGAAAGGAACCCGGTAGAAAATCGTCATATTTTAGCTATGAAATAGAGTATATTTTATACGAACCTTGCACACTTTCAAATCCTATGTTCCATTCAAGTGTACCGCAATTTCGAATTGACCAATAGAAACGAGGCTTTCAAAATATTTTAAATACCTTCGACCAATCAAATTCTATTTTACATGAAAAAAGCTGAAAAATTTCGACAGCGACATCTTTATTTAGAAGTAGTCACAATTCATGATATTAGATTTTGTGATTGTGTTTTCGGGGATAATATGATTACGTCTGTTGGACCTTTTTTTTGGTTGTGTTATTTGAGAGCAGAGGATTGATACGATATTTGTGATTTAGGAATAGCTCATTGTGTTGATTTATCCAGACATTTGTGTTATTCTGTAAATGCATATGGACGAATACGATTACCTGTCGATGATCTGTCCCTGCACCCCGCAAGTGAAATCTTAGTGTGTGTGACTACAAGTGTTACAATGTAAATTAATGATTGGATGATGTGTTTGCCTGTCTAATTATGCGACGAACGACCGGGTGATGTGTTATGTTATTCAGTAAACTCTCTCAATTGAAATCATAAGTGTATATCCAATGAACTCTTGATTGTGTTGTGTGATTGTGCTATTATCATGTATGTAAACAAATGATTGGATGGTGTACAGCAATTGTGTTATGAATCATGATGAGACAGATCATTGGGTGATGTGATTTTGAGCTCAGTATACTCATGATTTGGTAATGTGATTGTGTAACTGGTAAACGCATGATTGTGTGGTGTGATTGTGTTATTCAGTGAGTTCTGATTAGGTGATGTGATTGTGTTATCCAGTAAACTTCTAACATGTCTAATTGGTGATGTGATTGTGTAGATCAGTAGACTCACATTTGTGTAATATGATTGTGTAGCTGGTTTGCATGAAACGCATGATTGTTCTGTGTGATTGTGTTATTATGAGACAGATCATTGGGTGATGTGATTGTGTAGTTAATTATACTCGTGATTTGATTATGTGATTGTGTAGCTGGTTTGCATGAAACGCATGATTGTTCTGTGTGATTGTGTTATTATGAGACAGATCATTGGGTGATGTGATTGTGTAGTTAATTATACTCGTGATTTGATTATGTGATTGTGTAGTTGGTAAACGCATGATTGTGTGGTGTGATTGTATTATTATGAGAAAGATCATTTTGTGGTGCGATTGTGTAGTTAAGTATACTCGTGATTTGATTAGGCCTATGTGATTGTGTAGTTGGTAAACGCATGATTGTTAGGTGTGACTGTGTTATTATGAGACAGATCATTGGGTGATGTGATTGCATATACTCGTGATTTGATTATGTGATTGCTTAACTGGTAAAAGCATGATTGTGTCATGTGATTGTGTTACTAAGTTGACTTCTGATTGGGTGATGTGATTGTGTAGCTGATAAACTCAGTTTTTCATTATAGAATCCGAATCTCAAGAATTAAATGTAAAACATTTTTTGAGCAAGAGGCAGCTGATGAATTGAAGTCTAAAAGTGATGGAAATATATTTTTCGACTTCTTCAAAAATTATTTTATATTCGAATACTATATCTTAGTAATTTAATGAAAAATTAAGAATGTCATTGAAAATTCTTGAGCCATATATAGTGTACTACCGGTTTATTTTGCGAGTTGTAATTTCGCGAATTTTGAGAAACGCCAATTTCAGAATTTTGCGGCCATTAATTTCGCGGATTTCAAAAGTTTAAATTCCATTATTTTCTGAATCCCCAAGCTCTATAAACTAATTTACCCTATCTTCCACTACCAATGCAATATTAGGATAAGATTTACAATTTCTAAATCTTAAGTTAATGCCATGTTGCACCTCAGCTTCTAATTGGCGAAATTCACGACAATTAAATTTTGCGTTTTTAACTCAATCGCTCAATGCGCAAAACTAAATCGCACGCAAAATAAATACTGGGAGTACAGTATTAAGAGAAATAATAAGTTTAGCAAGAGATATGATATGATTCTCACATGGCCTGTCCAGGGTACTATGAACCATTCATGTTGTCAAAACTTAATTCTAGCTCGATAGATCAGCTATACATCATTGAAATATAAAGACTCCAAGCAATCACAGCTGCAGCATTTCTTCTAGACTGAGCATTGACACTTTGTGAAATCACCTTGAAAATAATTTTGTATCATGAGCATTCAAAGGGAGATATGTGAGGTGTACCCCCTCCCCTTTTTGAGCAAATCCCTGGGTATTTCACTCGTGGTACCGAGGACAAGGAGTCTCGGCCGGAAGAATTATGTGGAACAGGTGGAAAAGCTAGCAAGGCTCTGGGCAAGGCTTCAAGTGAAAACCAGGATGATGGAGACTGTCTTTTAGATGTAAACGCACCCCACCCCTTTGGAAAACCTTGGGGACACCTATGGGTATTTTGGCAAATATTTGAATTGACAATCTTGTACAGAATCGGTAATTCAACAAACTGAAGTTGGTGATAAATATTGCATCAAATTGATGTAATTTCTAACAAACATAAACAACTTATAATATGATGATTTTTTCAAATGTATTCATTTCAAAAATTCAAAATACTGTACATGTAATCTTTTCTGCAATATTTCTTAACATTTGGTTCTGATATAGATTTTTACATAATATGTACTTGTGATTTACAGAGTGACAAAAATTTCAACCCCATAATTTTGGAATAACTCATAGGTTATTTATTTATATGATGGAATCTTTGAAACTTCTTGTCGGTCTATCTGTATCATATTAGAATCATAACAAGGACCTCAATTGCATTTCAGTGTTAAACCAAGCCTCAATAAAAATGCCATTCCTCTAAACCAATAAGTCTATTTACACCTGTTTGTCATGAAGGTCCGATAATAATCAAGGTAGTTAACATGGTTAATAGTTATTCAAAAAATAGAGGATTGAATCACTCTATACTTGTGAAAATATCTTTAATGTGCTTTACACACCAACCTAATACAATCATAAATAAACTATGTCATTGTTCTGTTCTTTAATCTTTGATCATGGGGATGATTTGATCAACAATTCAATAGTCATTTTTGGCATCATGTTTGCAATTCCAGATCCTTACTGCTACATAGACCCACTAAAGTTGATAGAATCCAGTCATAAAGTACTGATGTGCCTCCTTTTCACTCTGTTATCTGACTGTAGTAAAAAGGTGCATTAGAATATCTAGATCTATAATAACACCATGCAGCATACTAGTATTCCATTTCCCATCATTATTCACTCCTCATTCAGCATGTTTCCCGCTTGGCAGTCGACATACTTGAGATATTCCCTCCCAATAGCCAACATAGTAGCACCAGAAACCAATCCAAACAAAGTTTTAATCGCAGGTTTGTCTGGTAGAACAACTTGCTTGGCAGAAGCCCACATGAGAACAACGGCAAAATTAAACATAGCAGATCCAAATACGCTAAACAGAATCCTCTTTGGTAAAGGCGCCCTCTTGATGTGCTTTCGACTATACAGATAGAGTCCAACACCAAGGTGTGAATTCAGCCATAGACTATTGGCGGCAACAAGATTGTTATCTCCAAACACACTGAAATAGAAAAACATTATACTGTAAATCTTCCATAAATAGAGAAATATCATATAAAATGATACCAACGAAGTCATTCTGAAGTAGCCTTGTACAAGACGCCAGCATTTGTTTATTTTTAAAAATAGACAATAGACTTGTACCACAGGTGCTCCCTGGGTAATGAGAGTACGGGGCCTGCAACACATAGAAATATTTTTGCTGCAGGGAGGACCCACATTCTTATTACCCAGGGAGCACTTATCCTGTGCAAGGACTATAGTCCTGGGAAGGCCACCATCTTTGACCTGTACAATAATGGCAACTCCGCGGAGTAGCAAATCCCAACGAACAAAATATCAATTACTGAATTCCAATCAATTATACTCATTACTTTGGTTAAAATTGAAAAATTTAGATTTTAGAATTGCGAATTCCTGCAAAGCAGCCATTTTGAATTTTCTGAGGTACAAATCTGAAAAATAATAGCATAATTGTGATCTACTCCAAAATTCCTTCAATTTGAGTATAATATAGCCATACTTTGAAGGGATCAAAAAATGATTGCGAAATCGTACATTAGACGGCCATTTTGAATTTTACGAGGCTCGAATCAGAAAAAAGATACAATATTTGCAATCTACTCTTAATTGCCTTTCATTTGAGTATAATAAAGCTATACTTCAGAAAGACCCCTCATACACAGCCCCTGGGGGTCAGGATGAAAAACACGGAATATATGTGAAATAGATAGATGTTGCAAATATACTACCAAAATTTCAAACAATAATATTAATTACTTTGGTTTAGAATGAAAAATTTATGATTTTTGCGAAAAAGTCCCGTCATTTTTAAAGCGGTGGCCATCTTGAAAAACTTTTTTTTGCGTAAAACTATTCATCAATATACATCTTTCCACCAAATATGAAGAAAATCCGTCTACTAATACATGTATATGAGTTTTATGTAGTTGAATCCCCAATCATCTGGCGTTATCGGCAGAATGAGGAAATTTTCGTGTTTTGATTGCATTTTTTGCTTATTATTTATCTTATTTCAACCATTAAATTCCTCCATTTATTAGTTCTGGGGTATGTGGCATCAGTTAATACGATGATTCCCCTTTTCAATCCAACCACCATTTTGAAAAGTGATTCAATCTCTCTTGATGAAAGTAGAAAATGTAAACCCAGATAATTGGGGTGTCAACTACATAAATTTATTGAGGAAGGTATTTTAAGGGAGATGTGGATCATTCTCCCATGTTGTAATCGTACAGGCAAAAGATAGTGGCCTTCCCAGGACTATAGACCTGGAACGGGATAAGGGAGCACCTGTGCCAAGATTATTCTGAAGTAGTCTATATCCAATAGACTGAATTTCCTGAGAATTCAGTCTATTGATCATTATGTCCCTCCTGTGGGAAAAAACAGGAAATTTCCTGCACACAATTATCAATTTTAGGAAACTTCACTTCCCAAAAATAAGCATTATAACAATTCAATTAAGTAGTAAGGTACAATTAAATGCTACTAAAAGTAACACAGCATATTGTCAAATGGAAATAAAGCTAGGGGAAGTAACAAATATGCAAATTAATTTACCCAGTCGGCCATTTTAAATGGCACTTTCTATGTAAACAAATAATTTTCAATCCCTAATTTTAACATAGGTGGGCTATAGTCTGAATATTTTCATTCCAAATTTCAAAAAAAATTCAGACTAGAGGATATAGTCTAATTCTGAAGGGGCAATCAAAATTCAATGTATGCAAAAATGTTGCTGGCTTACTGAATGTCCTTGAATGAGTCATTGAGAAATAACAGAATTACTACTTTTTTCAAGGCCTGACTTCGTCGCTAAGATGCTAAATATAAGAGTTAGCTGACGTTTGGGAGTCTGACTTACCTTCTAAAGGTTAGAACCCGAATCTTAATGAAACCATATCACCTTTGTTCCGTCAACCATGGAGCATTTGCCACAACATCCAAGAGGTAAATCATGGACCGAGAAAATGAATGATTTCCTTGTAAGTTCCGGAAGTTTCAATACGAAAAATTACCGAACATATGTGAAAACCGAATATTTGTTCGTTGTTTTCACGATTTACAGGTTCGTTTGTTCTTCAATGTTTTGGTCTAAATTATAAAGCATCACCAACAGGTCTTACTCTATTAATCGACTAATACAGAAGACGGCTCATATTTCTACGTAGCATTTCATTCAGACCAATAGTGGGAGTGTAGATCACGCAGTTTCGTTCGTTGCGTACTTCACTTGAAATTGGTAATTTTAAATATTGACTACTTCACGTAGCTTGGCGGATGTAGAACATTGCTTAATATTCTTTTAATTTTCACACCAGACATGCTTGGTTGACACGTCAACAAAGTAAAGTTCAAGGGTCAATGCGTTATTTCGTGATAACTACAACGCCTTCCCGGAGGTCAACATTGATGAAAAATGAAAAAGTCGGAAAAGCATTTACACTAATTTCTATCAAATGCTATGTTTATGCATCATCATCGACGCAACAAAGGTGATATGGTTTCATTAAGGACAGGGTGCATGTTGGGAAATTTTCTGCATTCCTCAATTGAGTCACATATTATTTTTCAAACAAGAATAACTCCTTCCCCACATTGTCTACATCTTCCAAGTTTGCACAAAGAGTGCACTTATGTGCCTAGAAAAGCCTTGTGAGAAGGTTTGTTTTGTAAAATGTATAAAAAATGAGAAAATTCAGTGAAAAAAATTTCTGAAATTTTTCTGATTTTTTTACTGAATTTTCTTGTTTTTTATACACTTTATCAAAACATTCTTCCCACAAGTCTTTTCTAGGCACATAAGTGCACTCTCTGTGCAAAACTGGAAGATATAGACAATGTGGGGAAGGAGTGATTCTTGTTTGAAAAATAACATGTGACTCAATTGAGGAATGCAGAAAATTTCCCATCATGCACCCTGACCTTAAGATTCGGGTTCTAACCTTTAGAAGGTAAGTCAGACTCCCAAACGTCAGCTAACTCTTATATTTAGCATCTTAGCGACGAAGTCGGGCCTTGAAAAAAGTAGTACCAGTCAAGAATATATCGACTTCCGTCAGTCCCAATACTTTGTACGTGTATTGCATGCTATTTAATCTATCATCATGATAAAATTTCTGATGAAATTTCTAAAAACCAAGCTTTTTTCAGGTAATCTCACATCTTACCGGTTGAAATCTGCTGAATTCAATATATTCACTGAAAAGGCTAGACAACTAGCACCACCAGCCAAGGGTATGTACCGAAAACAAACATTTTCTAGAGATAAATCTCCCAAATTTTGAAAATATTTCTTGAACATGGGCGCCGCCATTTTAAATATCACGTGACAAAAGAACGAGGTTTCGGTTTTAAAATCAAATTAACCCTTAATTACTTATTACATTTAAAAGAAATATATATTTTGATCATAAAAAGTTAGGGTAGTATCATTATAGGTTATGATTACAAAGAAATAAATCTTTGAAAAGTCACAATTATTTAAGTCTCGTGCACCTGCGAGAGCTCAATAAAAACAAGTATTTTTTGGAAATAGAAGGAATTTTTTATGTTTCCTTATTTTACTGGTATTAGCCCGGCGAGGAGTTGAAATTGGGCGTTAAACGTTGTTACATATATTCCTTAAACATCGAAGATGGCGCGAAGAAGACGGGATACTTCGGAAGTTAGCTGTGTGATCAAGTACTTGGTGTTTGGATTCAACGTTGTATTTTGGGTGAGTCAAACTCAAAGAAAAAAAATTTTACACACCCAAATATAATGACATGTTTAATTTTATGTAATAAAGGGATGTTAATATATTTCTTGATCCTTGTACTAGTGATAAATAACTCATGATCCCGTGTTCGATATTAGGAGTTCTATTTGCATTTGAAACAAGAACGTCCACCTCTTTATGTTCATAGGAAAGAATTAGAATTATTGGTCCATAAAGTCAGCTTGTCAAATTTGGGTGGAAAGGAACTTTTCAGCAATACCAAGGGTTAAAAAAGATACCTCACATCCGTCGAGGATCCCCAACCAACGTTTGTATACAGTGAACCCCCAGGTGGAATTGGCATGATATATCCTGGAGTTTTGACCATACTCGTAGAAGGCTGAAGAATTCCAAAATAATCAGGTGTATTGGTATCAGGGATTTAAGAAATATTATCAGTACAGTATCAACAATTATCAGTAACGGTAAGGTAATGACAATTATACGTAGTGAGATCCATTACCGTTACTGCATATGCTTATCTGTTAAATCAGACCAGAGGTTTTTTATATATCAATGTGATGACAAGTATATACAGAAAGCACTCTATATTTATTGGCAAGAGTGATCTGAACTCATTGAGTCAGTTACTACTTATCAATATTTATATTAGTAATTACAATACAAAAGAGATTATCATTCACTTATAAAGGCATTTCAGGCTTAGTATAAAATGAACTATATTAACTTCTGAGCAACATATTTTGTGATGTTTGGCTTTGTATGGAAAGTCTAGAATGATGCTGTTTTAGTTGTGTCTTTGCTCACTACTGGGATAAAAATAATTGGCATTTTTAAGGTTGTCTATGGCGGACCTATGGTTGTCAGTCAGTCCCAGTTTTTGCCCAACCCGTAAACTTATTTTATATTGTTGTTATTTCTTCTGATTATTATCAATAGGTATTTGCTTGATTCTGCTTTGCTTTCTGATTGGCATTTCGAAAAATAGACATGTTTGAATGATTAATAGCCAAATCATGACATTATAATCAGGTTTGCTTATCAAGAAAGCATGCCCTATTAAGAGGGTATTACACTAGGTAATGGTCTCAGGGTACTTAAAAAGGAACACCTATATCTGATCAGAACACCTCTCAATATGAACACTTTTTTGGTCCCATTTTTGTTTAACATGCCAGCCATTCATTTCCATGCTAAAAGAACCTTGGAAAGTGAAAACCCACTGTTCCAAATACTTGGCTTGTCCTACTGGCATTCAGATCAGAGAGATTTTACTGTACATCTACTTAGTAGATAACTGTTAATATACATTGATACACCTGTAAGCTTGTTAATTGATTGATTGAGTAATTGGTCTCGTGTCAGGTATGTGCAGAAGGTCAAAGTAACCTTATATAACATTTATGTTATAACCTGTTTTTGTCTTGAGATAAGTGTGATGTGAAATTAATATGTTTACTACTACCAACCTATGATATAAACCAGGACTAGCCAATAGCCACCAGTTTCTTTTTATTAACACAGTCAAATTGAGAGGTCTAAAAACCATAGATACCAGTATTCCGTAATTCCGCGGCGTGGACGGAATTTGACAAAACTTCAATTTTTTGCAGAATCCCTGATTTTCATGAAAATCCCGCGGAATTACCAGAATTTCCAGAAATTACATATTTTACGATCTCCTACCTTTGCTGGGTATTTGAAGAGTGTCTGTTTATGTCCAACAATCAATCATTATTGAGTACAAGTACGATTTCACCGTGAAATTCAACATTCTATCACGTTTAAATTCGCTAAAGCGAGTTCACTAATGACGCGCAGTTCTTACCTAGAAAGTAGCTGGCTTCCGTTTCCATTTGCTACGTCAATTTTCATCGTTTTAAAAGATTGCAGAATTTGGACTTTTTTTGAAAATTTGTGCAGAATTTCGATTTTCTCCTTGCAGAATTTGCTGTTTTTCTTGCAGAATTTTTTGCAGAATTTTGATTTTTTTTCATGCAGAAAACTAGTATCTGTGAAAAACATTTTGTACATGTATATGCTATTTTGTTCCAAATGTTTACAAAAACTGTTAAAATAAAATATTTCTAAATAATTTTCGCATTAAATTGTTGTCAATAACACACTACCCTACCACGTGACCACGTTTAAAAGGGAGACAGGGTACAGCTAAGTTGCAAATGGAGGACGTGGGTTTCATTCCATATTTCTGAACGTAAAATACATTTTACATTTATTTTTAGTGTTCTACCAGACATAGAATTGATTCATCAAGCAGTTTGTAGAATATTGTTGGCAAAAAACCACTATAGGCAAAGATAGATAATAGTGGGCGCAGTGAAGCAAAACTTAATGCAATACACGATACATTTCAGTAAATCTGTCAACGTACAGGGAGCATGTAAGTTTCCCTTCGAAAATGTTACATTGATATGTAACAAAACCCCAGTAAACTGTTATTTAAACTGCTTGTCATCGTGTTATATGTGGATACGTTTTCCAGTATGTTATTCAACTGTACTTTTGTGAATTAATTGTTTTTCTAAAATCTTAAGATACAAAATAGTCGTCCCAGAAATGTATCTTTACTTTGCCGTAAGGCATAACATATTGTGAAACATTTTTCCTCTTGTCACAAGGTTGATAATGTTTGTTTCGAGGTGTCTTGTGATGAGCGTTTCATGATTAAATGCAAAATCACTGGAGCAGATACCATCCAAAAACATCTGACATTCAACACGTCATATAAGACTACATCGATCTGGTATTAGTTTTTTTTACAATAATAGAGAAATACGACGTCATATCACCTCTACAGCAAATCGTGAAGAACAAAATGTCGTGGCATGATGGTATTTTGAACAAACTATTTTAAATGATCGGTTTTTGAGGACAGTAGTGAATTAGACCATTCAAGGGGTTATATAGAAAGATTCTTTACATGTAGTTCACGCAATTTTAATTATTCTGAATAGCGGATAGTCATTAATCCTGATAGCCAATAGTCATTTATCACTTACGTGTTTATATTTAATTTCGTTATTTTATTTCAATTTGATACCCTAGTAACACGTATAATCTAGCATTCTTGTTAATTTAATGACTAAAATGCATTTACGACCTGAAAGCCCGTGTCTAAATCTACTAAATAATGTTTACTTTATTTGGATTAAATAACAATTGATGACACCTCAAAGCATCAACAGGCGGCCTTTTTAGTATTATTTTCACTGTTTGCAACGTAAATATACATGAGATCGGGACATAGTATGTCTGTATAATCAGCTTACTTTCTTGCTCCCTGTACTATTGAACAATTTACATACCTTGTACCCTGTATTGATCAACTTTTGCAGCTGTGTACCGTGTACTATGACATATCAAATATTTTAAAATTTAAAACGATATTATTTACATTATTTCTTCAACTATCATATAACTTGGAACATGGACTTCACTATTGCACCACTGAAGTTCAGCGAATAGCAATATTGACTCACTCCGAGCACCAAACGTATTAACCTTTTCACGAAGCAGTCGATATACTCAAAAGCGACCTGATTGAAAGCCAAAAAATTCGCGCATGCGCTATCGAGGTAGGGTAGTGTGATAAGTCAACATTACATAAAATACCGTGTTTTTTACAGAATGTTTTCAATGATTGGTTTAGATTAAGAGAAAAACATTGTTGAACTCAGTTCTCCATATCGATACCACTGCTTTGATATGATGGCACTCGGTAGGTTTCTTTGTAATTTTAAAACTAATTTCTGAGAGAAGTGGCTTCATGGGTGACGTGGGTGTGGACCTGACTCCAACATTAAAATGAATAGAACAACATGTAGGCATGCACTAGTGATTTAAATATGAAAAGAAATTTGTTTTAGTCATTGTGGGATTTTCTTGTTCAATTCTGGTCTCACTCTGTCCTTATTCAGTTAAATAACAAAAATAATGACATGCATTTTCTTATTTGAACACTGCCTTAAGTTGTCGGGTCAGATTGACACATGTAGTTGTAATGCTATACAGTATTAAAGCTAATATACTGTTTCTTTTACGCATGTTAATGATTTCCTATTGCGCTATATTCGAATGTAATTTGATTCATATTAGAAGGATGATTACAACAGATCCTCTACTTGATTACTTGATTACAAAACATGGCAGTTTCATTTTCTGTTTTGATCCACTTAAAGATCTTTTTTGTAGAGGAAAAATTGTTATTTTTTTATTTATTGCTATAATGAAACCTCTCTGAACACCTCCCTAATCTAAACACTTATCAATTTGAACACTTTTTCCTGATCCCTTTGACTCACATTTTGCAATGTGAACACCTTATAATCTTAACAATTTTTGCTGGTCCCTTTGACTCACATTTTGCAATGTGAACACCTTGTAATCTTAACTGTTTTTCCTGGTCCCTTTGACTCACATTTTGCAATGTGAACACCTTATGATCTTAACTGTTTTTTCTGGTCCCTTTGACTCTCATTTTGCAATGTGAACACCATATAATCTTAACTGTTTTTCCTGGTCCCTTGAACACCTTATAATCTTAACAATTTTTCCTGGTCCCTTTGACTCACATTTTGCAATGTGAACAACTTATAATCTTAACAATTTTTCCTGGTCCCTTTGACTCACATTTTGCAATGTGAACACCTTATAATCTTAACTGTTTTTCCTGGTCCCTTTGACTCACATTTCGCAATGTGAAAACCTTGTAATCTTAACTGTTTTTCCTGGTCCCTTTGACTCACATTTTGCAATGTGAACACCTTATAATCTTAACTGTTTTTCCTGGTCCCTTTGACTCACATTTTGCAATGTGAACACCTTATAATCTTAACTGTTTTTCCTGGTCCTTTTGACTCACATTTTGCAATGTGAACACCTTATAATCTTAACAATTTTTCCTGCTCCTGTTCAGATTAGGCAAGTTCTATTATACATATAACCTAGCTAAGATACAAGCTCTCGTGAGCCCCCTC